TTCCTCACTGATATCTCTTCTCTCCTCTCATCCCTGTCCCTCTGCACTGAACACCTGCTCATAATGGGTGATTTCAACCTCCACCTAAACTCCCCTTGCACCACCTCCTCAGATTTCACTGCCCTCCTCTCCTCCCTAAACCTCACCCTCCACATCAACTCATTGATCCACAGCTGTGGCCACTCCCTCAACCTCGTCATCACACACGGCCTTGACATTTCTGACCTGTCTATCATGGACAAGGCCATCTCGGACCACTTCCTCATCTCCCTCTCCTCCCACATCCCCCTCCCCTCTTCCAAGCCCTCCACCATCTTTTTCTGCCACTGGAAAAAGCTTTCCCCTGAGTCTCTCACAAATGCCCTCTCTTCCTCGGACCTCCCCTCCCTCTGGCCCTCCACCACAGCGATCCTGATGCAGGCATCAAGCTGCTGAATGACATCTCTCCACAACCTTTAATTCCCTGGTTCCCCTGAAATCAAGGGCTGTTTCCAAACCCACCCACTCCCCCTGGTACAACAGTCATTTCCGTTCACTCAAAACACAAACCTGGACACTTGAGCACTCATGGCAGAAATCTGGCCTCACGATTCACTGCCAGCTGTGGCTCGAGCACCTCCTCACCTACCACCTCTCCCTTTCACACGCCACAACTGACCTTTACTCCATAGTCATCCTGGAGGCCAAAAACAACCCAAGGACAATTTTTCACCGTCCATCACCTCCTCCATGCACCTCCTCAAGCTCCCTTTATCTTCACATCAAATGCCTCACAATCCTTTGCCCCCATTTCTCCCTCCTCCCTCTCAACCACAATCATCCGCATGAAGTTCACCACCTGCTGCCCTGACCCCCTCCCCACCCAGCTGCTGTCACTCAATTCCCCCTCCTCTCCCCCCCTGCTGGCCGACATGGTCAACCAGCCTCTCTCCTCAGGCTCTATTTCACTCCCCCTGAAAACCACTGTTATCATATCCTTCTCAAAAAGCCCACCCTCGATCCCTCTAATCTCTCACACTACCATCCCATCTCCAACCTACCTCTCCTTGCCAAAGTCCTGGAGCACGTTGTTGCAGGTCAACTTCGGTCTCACCTCCCCCTCCACTCCTTCCTCGAGCCCTGCAGTCTGGTTTTCGCCCTGCCCTCAGCACAGAGACAGCACTATCCACTATTATTGTCAAGGTCACAAACAACGTTCTCTCTATCTGTGACCAGGGCTCCCTCTGCCTCCAATCCCCCCTGGATCTCGCTGCAATGTTCGACACTATCAACCATGCTCCCCTCATCCACTTTAGTGGGACTGCACTCACATGGTTCGAGTCCTACTTAACTAACCGCCTCCACTTCATCACGGCAAATGGTTTCTCCTCTCACTCCTGCCCAGTCACCTATGGGGTACCCCAGGGCTCCATCCTTGTCCCTCTCCTTTTCCTCATCAATATGCTCCCTCTTGGCGATGTCATCTGCAGACATGGGGTAAACTTCCACATGTTTCCACAAATCTACTTTGCCTCCTCCAGTACCAACTCCAGGTCTACCGATGTTCTATCAGTTTGTCTGGCAGACATCAGGACCTGGATGAGTGCAAATTTCCTGCAGCTGAATATGGACAAGACGGAAGACATACTCCTTGGCTCCTGTCAACATCTTCATCTTCATTCCTGTGGATCTGACCTCCTAAAACTCCCTGGGATCCCTCTCAGATTCACTGAACCAGTGCGCAATGTAGGTGTCCGGTTTGACCCCCAGCTGTCCTTCCTTCCCCACATCCCGTCCCTGACCAGGATCGCCTTTTTCCACCTCCGCCACGTTGCCCGCCTCTGACTGTACCTTATCCCCAATGTAGCCAAAACCCTCGTCTGTCATCTGCCGCCTGGATTCCTCAAACACACTCCTCGCTGGTCTCCCCAGCTCCACTATTCAAAAGATCCAGCTCATTCAGAACTCTGCCGCCTGCATACTGACCCAGACCAAACTCTGTACCCACATCTCACCAGTTCTGGCCAGGCTTCATTGGCTCCCCATCACCCAACTTCAAGGTCCTCACACGTGTTCAAATCCCTTCACTCTCTGGCACTTCCCTACCTCTCTGAACTCCTCACTCCCCAATCTCCGACCCAGCACCTCCGCTCAACTGGCACCGGCCTCCTGCTCGTCCCTTGCACGCTCCGCTCCACCAATGAAGGTCGCATATTCAACCACTATGCTCCAAAACTCTGGAACACTCTCACTCAGTCCCCCCATCTTGGCCCCTCTCTCCTGTTTTTCAAGTCCCACCTGAAAACCTTCCTTTTCAACCGTGCTTACATTCACCTCCTGCACGCCACCCCCCCCCCCCCCCCCCCACCCAGTTCAGAGACAGGTTCTGCCACTGTTAAGCGCTCTGAGACGTTACCCTGCATTGAGCGTGCTATATAAGTGCAAGTTGTTGTTGTATTTCTCTGGCGAGTGTATCTGTTGTAGAATGTTATTGTTCTTGCTCAGTTTGTTGGTGACAGGGCAAATACTGCACAATACCTCATCCGGGGACTGTCCCCGGAAATTAGGGATGTATAGTCAGCCTAAGTACCTGACCAATGCTGAACAGGGCCTAAGTTCTTCACATCATCCTCATGTGATTTCTCTTTTACGTACACTGTGAATTTCTCTTCTGTCCTTTGATGTATCAAGGATAAACTTCTAAGAACAACAAAGCCCACTCATAAGGTTGGTAATATAACTATACACTGAATCCTGGTCACAGCCAATAAGCTTGAAAAAAACACGAACTTCAGATAGAATAATGTGGATCAGAGTTCATTTATTTAAAAAAAAGTACCAAAATGTTCTAGATTGTGAAATGGGAGTGTAATACTTGCATCATTTCTAACAGATGTGTTATGCAACAGGATCTCTTTGCCTTGTAAGTTCTTTTATAGTTCAGATCCTTCCCATGTGGATTGTTCATGACCATGACTAACAACACGTTACTTAACCCATTGAGCCTGTTCCAGCAGTTTATTAGATCTTGTCAGATCTTTTAATCTCAATGCTGTAGGATTCTGTAATGAATGTGTTAGATAATATCTCAAATTATATTTGCGATGTTTATATATTTGAAACATATGATCAATTGGAGTCCTGTAGCTCAGTGGTTAGAGCACTCGCTTTGCAAGTGAGAGACCTGAGTTCAATTCCAGGCAGAGGGCGAAACCTTGGGCAAGTTTCCTTACTCCACACGCCTAATAATAATCCCTCCAAAAAAAAAAAAAAACCAAAAACAATAATTAAATTGGTCATTTTCAATCTACGACTGTTTGTGGGACATTGCTGTGCGCAATTGGCTGCCGCGTTCGCCCACAAATATACAGTCAATTCACTTTACAGTGTGTTCTGTGAAGCGCTTTGGGACGTCCTCCCGACGTGAAAAGCGCTATATCAAATGCAAGGATTATTATTATTATTATTATTATTAATCTCATATAAGGGGAGTCGGTTGTGACTAGCTTCAAAGAAGATCCTTTCTCAAGGAGGAGAAACAGTTTATAAACAACAAACTGTTTTCATTCATTATCGATCATTTTCTCATGGAAAAATGGTCTGCAGCTGGAGAGAGCTATGTTGCATTTGTTTTTACAAAGTAACCATCTTGCAAAAGATAATAGGTGAAAGGTCACTTAACGAACTGAATAAAGGTAGAACGATTCGGAAGAGAATCAGAGGAAAGAATTGAAGGAGAGGGATCAAATTGAACATGCCGTAATAGAATTGGATGTGCCCATAATATCTGGATACTTTCGAGTGATCAAATTGAACGTACAATAATACCTGGCTATTTTTGGGTGGTTCAACTGAGAAACGTACAACAATATTTGGATACCTTTGGATGCCTTTTAAACATGCAGATTGATTCCACCTCCACAGCTTCCTAGGGCAGAACAATCCATATCTTAACTCTCTGTGTGAATAAGTAATAATAATAATAATATGCCTTGCATTTGATATAGCGCTTTTCACGTCTGCTAGACTTCTCAAAGCGCTTCACAGAATATACTGTAAAGTGAACTGACTGTATATTTGTGGGTGAAACTCGGCAGCCAATTGCAGACATCAGTGTCCCACAAACAGTCCCACACTCCTGTGCGCAATTGGCTGCCGTGTTTCGCCCGCAAAACAGTCACTACACTTTTCAGCGGGCTCCAGGCTGCTCTATGTCCCCTGCCTTGCCCGCCCCACCATTGGCAGATGAGCCTCCAACCACTCTGCCCCACTCTCTGGAACCCCATCCCGCAGTCCCTCCTCATTGCCAGCTCCCTTGCCTCCTTCAAGACCCGTCTCAAGACCCTCCTCTTCAACCGTGCCTTCTCCTACCCTCCTTCTCCCCCTGCGCTCCACCCTCCACGATCCCGACCCCCAGCTTGGCTCCGAAAAACTGATTGTCCAGCGCCTTGGGACGTCCTCCCGATGTGAAAGGCGCTATACGAATGTCATTTTGTTGTTGTTGTATATCCTTTGAAGTGTTTTGAGACGTCTGAAAGACGTGATAAGGCTCTGAATCAAATGTAAGGATTATTATATCATTATTTAATAACCCTGCGAGCCAAAGCGCTGGTCCTAGCTGGACAAGCAGTGGGAAAGCTTGTCGGACAACGCTTTCAATAGCAAACAATGCAGTTTTAGCCGTAGCCCCAACACACAGTATGGTGTGCCCAAGCCTTGACTCTTGGCAATCTGCACCCAATACTCACAGCCCAGTGATCCCTCCCTCCCTCTCCCTCTCCCTCTCTCTGTGAAGAGAGACTCACTATCCAACCAATCAAGTTCCTCCATAGCCCTCCGTCTCCAGGGCGACCAAACGGTTACATTAGACAACAATCACAGAGAGAGAGAGAGAGAGAGAAAAAGGGGCAGAAAGAGAGAAAAAGAGCAGATATGGAGTGTGAGAGAGAAAGAGAGAAGCAGGAAAGAGAGAGATGTAGTGGGTGAAAGACAGAGACAGACAGAAAGAGAAGAGAGAGAGAGAGAGATCAAGTGAGTGAGGGACACAGAGAGGCAGAAAGAAAGAGAGGGATACACTGGGTGAAAGACCAACAAAAAGGGGCAGAAAGTGAGTGAGAAAGAGATACAGTGAGTGGGAGAGACTGATCCAGTGAGAGAGGGCTGGAGAGACTGTGCTCCTATGCAGCTCTGTGGTTAATGGGACAGGATCTGGCAGTTGTAAACCAGCTTAGGGTATTGCTAAACTGACACGTTTGGGCTCTCCTCAGAACAACAACCTGCGTTTACAGTGAACTCTGTCCTGTGGCTTTATTCAGAGGGATAGGATATAAAAGTGAGGCGATGTTGAATTTATACAAAACCATCGGTTAGACCACATTTGGAGTATTGCGTCCAATTTCGGTCTCCACACTGTAAGAAGGATGCAGAAGTGATGGGAAGAGTACAGCGTAGGTCCAGGAGGATGATACCAGGGATGGCAGGTTACTGCTATCAGGATAGACTGGGTCTTTTTTCACCAAAGACATTTAAGGGGACCTTGTAGAAGTGTTTAAAATTATAAGAGTGCTCGATAAGGTTAACATAAATGGGTTTCTTCTACTGGGTAGGGAGGTCTGTAACCAGGAGACTCAAGTATAAGATAGTATCTTGGGGATGTAAAGGAGAATTGAGAAGGAACTACGTCACTCAGAGGGTGATGAGATTGTGGAACTCGCTGCATGAAGTGGTGGTTGAATCAGATAGTATAGATGCATTCAAGAAGAAGTTAGACCTTCATATGAGGGAGAGGAGTAGAAGGGCTAGGAAGGAACCAGGAGTGGGTGAAGACTTGTGTGGAGTATAAATGCTGGCACAGACGGGCTGTTTCTGTTCTGTACAGTCTTTGTTATCTTTGTAATCTGTCTCTGGGTCAGACCAGAGTGTGTTATGCTTATATTTTTAAAATTGAATTGCTTATAATATCATCTTGGCATTGACTTACTTATTTCTGCTAACGGTTCTGTTTTTTTTCAAAGCTGCAGAATGTCTCGAACTCAGGCTGAGTGTGTCATCAAAAACATCATTCGGGAAATAGCGCAAGAGTGTGCAGACAGAGCACAGACAGTGTCCGAGACCCTTGTAGCTTTTATGGTGAGTCAGTGCAGGGAGGATCGCTTGCTCGCTGGCCAGCATTCTCCCTCAGCCTTTTTAGAATCAAATGTAGGATGCACAATGTAGGATTTTAACTTAACAATGAGCTTTTATTGTTTTAGAATTTCATTTTACTTTCCACTTTTTTTTAAACATTTAAAGTTATTTTTAGGCCACTGTCTGGCAAAGATTCAGTTTCTATTTAGTGCAGTTTTTTCTGATTGGAAACTTTATAGAATCCTAGAATTGTACAGCACAAAAAGAGGCCATTTGGCCCATCGAGTCTGTGCCGGCTCTTTGAAAAGAGCAATGTAATGTCAATCCCACTCCCCAGCCCTTTCCCCATAACTCTGCAAACCCGTTCTCCTCAAATACCCATCCACCGCGTTTTTAAAAGTTGTTATTCGAATCGGTCTCCACCACCCTTTCAGGCAATGCTTTCCAGATTCGAACAATTCACTGTGTGAAAACATTTCTTCTCACCTCCCCTCTGCTCCTTTTAGAAACTATTTTGAATCTGTGACCTTGAATCACCGACATACCCAACAGTGGAAACAGTTTTTCCCTTTCAAATCCCCTCATAATTTGAAAACCTCTATTAGGTCTCCTCGTAACCTTCTCTGCTCCAATGAGAATAATCCCGGCCTCTCCAGCCTTTCCTCATAATCAAGGTCCCTCATTCCTGGTACCATCCTCGTAAATCTCCTCTGCACTCTTTCCAATGCCTTAACATCCTTCCTATAGTGTGGTGCCCACAACTGGGCACAGTATTCTAACTGAGGCCTAACTAGTGTTTTATATAGGTTAATCATAACCTCCTGACTCTTGTACTCTATGCCCCTATTTATAAAGCCTGGTATCCCATATGCCCTTTTTGCAGCTTTATCTACCTGTCCTGCCACCTTCAAGGATTCATTTACCTGCACCCCCAGGTCTCTCTGTTACTTCACCCCCCCTTATAATTGTATTACCAGCCTATATTGCCTCCCCTTATTCTTTCTTCCAAAATGCAATACCTCGCATTTCTCCACATTGAAATTCATCTGCCATGTGTCTGCCCATTTTACCATTCTGTCTATGTCTTCCTGCAGTTGGCTGCTATCCTTCTCACTGTTTACTACCCTACCTAACTTTGTGTCATCCGCAAACTTGGAAATGGTACTTGCTATACCCAAGTCCAGATCATTTATGTATATTAAGAAGAGCAGTGGTCCCAATACCGATCCCTGGGGGACGCCACTGTACACTTCCCTCCAATCAGAAAAGCAGCCATTCACCTCTGCTCTCTGCTTTCTGTCTCCCAGCCAGTTCTGGATCCATGCTGCCACTCTCCCTTTTATATCGTGGGCTTCTATTTTTCTTACAAGTCTTTTATGTGGCACTTTGTCAAATGCCTTTTGAAAGTCCATATGAACTACCTCAATTGCACTACCTTCATCTCCGTTATCTCATCGAAAAATTCTATTAGATTTGTTATACAAGATTTGCCTTTAACAAATCCGTTCTGGCTGTCCCTAATTAACCCATATTCTTCTAAGTGAAGATTTATTCTGTTACCGGATTATAGTCTCAGGAGTTTCCCCATTACTGATGTTAGGCTGACTGGCCTGTAGTTCCCAGGTTTGTCCTTCTGTCCCTTTTTGTACAGGGGAGTCACATTGGCCACTCTCCAGTTCTCTGGCACCACTCCTGTGTCCAACGAAGATTGAAAAATTGTAGCCAAAGCCTCCGCTATTTGTACCCGTGCCTCCCATAGTAATCTTGGCTGCATCCCTTCTGGACCGGGCGACTTATCTACCTTGAGCCCAGTCAACCTTTTTAGTACTTCTATTTATACTTATCCCATCCATTTTCCCTACCCTCTCCTCCGATACTGCGGCATTTGGTGCATCCACTTCTTTTGTGACGACAGATGCAAAGTACTGATTCAGTACATCAGCCATGCCCTCTGCCTCCACAAGAAGATTTCCACCTTGGTCCTTAGTTGGCCCCACCCTACCTTTGACTAACCTTTTTTTCTTGATATGCTTGTAAAATATTTTAGTATTGCCTTTAATGTTACCCACTAACCTTTAGATCTTCCCAGCTGGATTACCTCTACAGGGATTGAATCACTAGAAACAAAACTTGCTTGGGTGTTTTGTTTTGCCTGAATGAAAGATAGATATTCATGTTCAGATGAAGTTTTAAACAAAAGATAGACTTGCAATGAAGTTTTCTTTTATCTTTCTGTTATTTAATAGTTTTGCAGTTCTGCTAAATTAAACCTTCGACTTAACTATGGGGTTTCGCCATTTGGATATAATGTATATCCAAATAGGTTGTGCATTAAACACTCATTCCAAGACTACCTTTTCGAACCCCTTCAGTCAGGTTTCCGTGCTGCCCATAGCACAGAAACTGCCCTGGTCAAGGTCACCAATGATATCCTGACCATGTGTGACCAGGGCTCCCTCTGCCTCCTCGTCCTCCTCGGCCTATCGGCAGCATTCGATACGGTCGACCACGCTATCCTACTCCACCGCTTGTCCTCCCACCTCAACCTTCAAGGCACTGTCCTTGAGTGGTTTAGGTCGTACCTTTCTCACCGTCTTCACTTTGTCTCGACGAATGGCTTCTCCTCCACCCCCCGTACTGTCTCATGTGGTGTCCCTCAGGGCTCTGTCCTCGGTCCCCTCCTCTTCACCCTCTATATGCTCCCCCTGGTGACATCATCCGCAGACATGGAGTTAACTTCCACATGTATGCGGATGACACCCAACTCTACCTTTCCTCCTCTACCCTCAACTCCACGACCACCGATGTCCTGACAGCCTTCCTGTCCGACATCGAGTCCTGGACAAGAGACAACTTTCTTCAGCTCAACGTGCGAAAAACCGAGGCCCTCCTGATTGGCTCACGTCAGCGCCTCCGCACCTCAGGCGCCGACACCATCAGCATCCAAGGCTGCACTCTCCACCTCTCAAAGCCGTCAGGAACCTCGGTGTTTTGTTCGACCCTGAGCTGTCCTTTCTCCCTCACATCCGCACCACAACTGGCACCGCCTTCCATCACCTTCGGAACATCGCCAGACTACGGCACTACCTCACCCCTCACGCTGCTGAAACTCTGGTCCACGCCTTTATCACCTCAAGGCTGGACTATGGGAACTCTCTCCTCGCCGGCCTTCCCGCCACCTCCCTCCACAAGCTGCAGGTCATTCAGAACTCTGCAGCTCGTGTACTGTCCCGCACCAGGCTTCGGGACCACATCACTCCCACCCTCGCTCGCCTCCACTGGCTCCCCATCCCCCAGAGGATCGAATTCAAGATCCTCATCCTCACCTACAAGGCCATTCACGGCCTTGCTCCCTCCTACCTCTCCGACCTACTATCCCCCTACCTACCTGCCCGTACCCTCCGTTCCTCTGGCTCCGGTCTGCTCCACGTCCCCCGCCCCAACCGCCCTACCATCGGTGGTCGGGCCTTCAGCCTCTCAGCCCCCAGGCTCTGGAACTCCATCCCCCAGTGCCTTCGCCGCCTCCTCCCTTTCCTCCTTCAAGGCCGGTCTCAAAACCTTTCTCTTTGACTGAGCCTTCAGCTCCCCTCTCGACTCTCTTCCCCCTCCTCGCTCCCTCCCTCCCTCCCCTCACCCTGACCATTTCCCCCCTCCTCGCTCCCTCCCTTCCCTCCCCTCACCCTGACCATTTCCCCCCTGCTCGGGTCATGACCCAACTGTGCAGCGCCTTGGGACGTCCTCCTGACGTGAAAGGCGCTTTATAAATGGAATCTTGTTGTTGTTGTTGTACCTCCCATTCCAAGATATAACAGCCCTTATCTTCTTTGAACTTTCACCAGAGAGAATTGTTGGCAGGCTACATTGATTGTGTTATCTTAAAAGCTGTAATGACATTATGCCACCAAACGTTTTACTCCAGAAAAGAGACAATAGCTTTCAGAATAATTTTTGGAAGCAGAATTTGTGTGTTTAGTTGTACATTCATTTGCAAACGGTTAACAGCCTTTGTTACATATATGTCGAAAGAAGATACTGTGTGCTTCCTTTCAGTGCTCCAACAAGCTAACCTGCTGAAGGACATTATATAAATGCAAATTATTGCAGGATAAGCAACATTGTTTACATTGTTTAACTGAATAAACTGCTGTATCTTTAAAGGCTAGTAGGTATGAGACACTCATTAGAAAATGAGGCATAGACAAATGTTATCCTGACATTATTTTTCATATAAAAGGTTAAAGCTGTTGTTCTGGATCCAAGGAATGAGTTTAACGTGGATAGAAACCTCACAAAGAATGACGTACAGAAACTCATTACGGTAAATACTGATTTCATTGAACTGCAATAGTGTGACATTTAAGGCAGCTATTTAGACAGTTCAGTTTGTTTTTCCCATTTGAATTGAATGGCAATCAAAATTGTACACTCCCTAAGGAGGGCAAAGTGCATAGGTCTATCAACTGATTTTAATAGCAAGTTTTCGCTGGGCAAGACACCATTGTCTTTGTATTAAGTACAATCATGTTTTACAATTCCATAACATAAGGTCCTATTTTCTCTACTCTCCAACCTACTTCTTCCTACTGTGGTTTGGTTTTCAGGTGCCGCACCCTATTCCTTTTTGTCAGTACCCATTATCCTTGACGTTTAGCAGGCTATTTGATTGAAGGCCAGGATTCAAACTTGCTACAAATCAAATGCAAGGATTATTATTTTTTGCCAATATCTTCGGAGGAGCTCAAGTGCTAAATATTAACAGGGATCTTTTCTGAAGGTGGTGACTCCTTCTGCAGTTCAGCACAATTGTACAGTATTAACAGGATACTGAGTACTGAGCTATAGTATGTACTGGATATTGATAAGACTGTTGTCTCTTTAAAGGCTAACAGGTTTGAGACACTCACATTGTATAAAGTGTCACATTGTGCAGTGCTCGGTGAACTGCAATGTCAGAGATGCCATCCTTTGGATGTGATGAATGCTTAAACCAAGGTCCCAATCCGCCTGTTCGGGAGGGCATTAAAAGATCCCATGGCACTACTTGAAAAGAAAAGGGAGTTTCTACCGGTGTCCTGGCCAACAATCCCCAGATAAAATTGGTTATTCACTTAATGGCTGTTTGTGGGACATTACCCACTGCAAATTGGCTGCTGCATTCGCCTACAAAATACATAATCACTACAAGTTTCGGTACATCCTGTAAAGTGCTTTGAGACATCCTCCAGATGTGAAAGGTGCTATATGAATTGTAAGGATTATTATAAATGACTCATGATCAAAGGAAACAAGGAAAATGAATGGATCTGGCAGTAATATTATGAATTAGATGCTCTGTAAGCACCCAGTTTTCCTATTCAGAACAGCAGCATAATGAAACTGGAGGGGTGGGGGAGAAACTTTCAAACTCTCATGTTGTCTTTAGCCAGCACTTGGAAATAAGTGTACAGAGGTCATCGTTTTGTTGGGAGCCTAAGGGCGTGGGCAGTGGAAGATGTTTGTGAAAGGAGTGGTGTGGTGATGGCAGTTGGGTGCGTTTGTAAGACTACAATATTGTACTGCAGATGTAATCAATTACATCATTCCATTGAATAGATATTTCAATCTCAGTTTTTAACCATACTTCAAAATGGTTTCTAGCTTTGTGTGGACAGATTACTGGACACAAAACGCCCTTCACTTGACACAATCAAGATGCAAGTTTACTTCGACATGAATTACACAAGCCGAGGTCAGTCTTTCTTAGAGGAAACCCCATCGAATTGCACTTAATTCAATCAGTTATCTGATTGGAATTGACTTGTATGGGCAAGTATGAAGATTGTTTCTTGTAGAAATGTTTGTCTAGTATCATAAAAGTAATTAATATCCTCCAAAGTTCTAATGGGTAACAGCACTAACAGACTTACAGCACCTTAGAGATTGGAAGCTTGCTGTCACTGGATGAATAACAATTTAAATTTGAGATGCCATATTAAATGCAAGGATCATTATTATAAATTGGATTTAAAAAAAAACCCAGAACAATACTTTAAGATGCACCAAGACATTGAAACAAGTGGACATAGATTTAGAGTTGTAATGGGCAATTTCAGGACAGATACCAAGAAGTTTTCCTTGAGAATCATAGAATCATGCAGCACAGAAAGGCCATTCAGCCCATTGCGTCTGCGCCAGCTCCTAAAAGATCAATCCAACTCAATCCCACTCAATGGCCCGCTTTCTGTCCATAGTTCTGCATCCTGTCCTCCCCAAATACCCATCTACTTCTTCTTTTAAAAGTTGTTATTGAATCGGCTTCCACTACCCTTTCAGGTAATGCATTCCAGATCCGAACAACTTGCTGGGTGAAACATTTTTTCCTAACCACCCCTCTGTTTATTTTAATAACTATCTTAAATTGGTATCCTCGGGTTACTGACCCACATGCCAGTGGAAACAGTTTTTCCCGGTTCAACCTCTCAATTCCTCTCATGATCTTGAAAACTTCTATTAAATTCTCTCTTAATCTTCTCTGCTCTAGTGAGAATAATCCTAGTTTTGCTAACCTCTCCTCATAACTAAGGTCCTTCAATTCTGGTACCATCTTAGTAAACCTCCTTTTCACCCTCTCCAATGCCCTAACATTTTTCCTAAAGTACAGTGCCCAGAACTGAACCCAGTACTCCAACTGAGGCCTAACCAGCATTTTATAAATATCCAACATAACTTTTGAATTGTATGCCCCTATTTATAAAACCGTATCCCGTATGCTTTTTTAACAGCTTTATCTACCTGTCCTACCACCTTCAGAGATTTAATTCTGTGGATCCCCAGGTCTCTCTGTTCATTTTAAGATTGTACCATCTAGCTTATAATGCCTCTTCTCATTCTTCCTACCAAAATGCAACACTTTGCATTTCTCCACATTAAATCTTATCTGCCAAGTTTCTGCCCATTTTACCAATCTGTCTAAGTCCCCTTGGAGTCTGGTGCTATCCTCCTCACCATAATTACTTTTCCTAGCTTAGTATTGTCTGCACATTTGGAAATTGTGCTCCCTATATCCAGGTCCAAATCATTAATATAGATCAGAAAGATCAGTGGTTCCAATACCGACCCCTGAGGGACACCACTACACACCTCCCTCCAGTCAGAAAAGCAACCATTTACTACCGCTCTCTGCTTTCTGTCTCCTAGCCAGTTCTGGATCCATGTTGCCATCAAAAAATTCTGTTAGGTTTGTCAGACGCGATCTGCCTTTAACAATCCATGTTGACTGTCCTTTATTAAACCATATTTTTCTGTGAGAATTTATATTGTCCCGGATTATAGAATCCAGAAGTTTCCCTAGTACTGATTGGCCTGTAGTTCTTAGGTTTATCCTTCTGCACCTTTTTATAATAATAATAATAATAATCCTTGCATTTGATATAGCGCTTTTCACGTCGGGAGGACGTCCCAAAGCGCTTCACAGAATATACTGTAAAGTGAGTTGACTGTATATTTTGTGGGCGAACGCGGCAGCCAATTGCGCACAGCAATGTCCCACAAACAGTCATAGATTGAAAATGACCAATTTAATTATTTTTTTTTTTTTTTTTTTTGGAGGGATTATTATTAGGCGTGTGGAGTAAGGAAACTTGCCCAAGGTTTCGCCCTGCCTGGAATTGAACTCAGGTCTCTTGCTTGCAAAGCGAGTGCTCTAACCTCGCTTTGCTTGCTTGCAAAGCGAGTGCTCTAACCACTGAGCTACAGGACTCCACAGGGGAGTAACATTTGCAACCTTCCAGTCTTCTGGCACCACTCCAGTGTCCAAAGAGGATTGAAAGATTGTGGCCAGAGCCTCCGCTATTTCCACCCTCGCTTCCCTCAGTAACCTGGATGCATCCTGTCCGGACCAGGTGACTTATCTATGTTGAGCACCGACAGCCTTTTTAGTGCCTCCTCTCTGTTAATTTTTATCATATCCAATTTCTGTTCACATGCCTGCGATATTGTGGCATTGGTTGCATCGATTTCTTTTGTGAAGACAGTTGCAAAGTACTTACTTACAAAGACGATAATTAATGATTGGAACAGGTTTCCAGGAAGAATGGTTGCGTCCAAGAGACTGGACTCATTTAAAAATAGATCGGATGGACCGATGCACCTTCTTCATCCAGACCAATCTTGTGAAATTGTTGTAAGATCCTGGTCCATGCTGAATTAACTACAGTTCAAATGCTACAATTGGCTTCTGCACTCTTTAATTTGCAAGGGAGAAATCAGCCTGCAGGGTGAGAGCTGGAGGATTGAGGCAAGGAGTTCCAGAGATTAGGATCATAGTGCCTGAAAGCACAGCCACCTATGGTGGTGCCTAGGGAACATGCAGCAGGTCCAAGCCATCTGAGCAAAGGGGGCAAGCAGAGAAGTAGCCATCACAGTGGACTGTTCAAGAGTGTATTCTATTTAGAGAAATCGCTGACAAGAAATCTGGCCCACTAGAGTCTCAATTAAATCCAGTTACCCTGGAATGAAGAAAAGTAACTTTGAAGAGTTGTTTTATTGAGCAGAAATGAAAAAAGGTCATCACTAGGTGCGTTGTGCAACATTCCATGATTCAGTAATTCCCTGATTTCAGTATAATTTGAGGGTGGGGATATTTGACAATACTGAAGTATTTGAACCATTTACATGCTGCACCTTGTACACAACTCATACCTGTGCTCTTCAGTTTCTTTACATGTTGAACCAGTTTCTTTTGGTTGGCTAACGCTAATCTGATTATATTCTTTTAAATCCTACATAGTAGCCTAAATTGTTCAGAGAACTATTTGATCGAAATACGGAATTTAACAGCCTTTTAATTTGTATGTTTTCCATTGTGTTTGAAACACAAAATTTTAAACTATCTTATTTTGGCACTAACTCTAATAAAACTTCCCTTGTACCCAATACAACACGTGTAGAGATCACTCACTGTGCTCCCTGGCAACTCCGTTGCTTTATAATATGAATCCTCACATTTGACATGATGTGTTTGACATTGGGATTTACTGTAAAGTGAGTAACTGTATTTTGCAGAGAAAATAATATTTTGGTTTAATCAGTGATGACATTGGTGGGTAAACCAGATATAATTCGTAACTGGTTAAATTCAAGTGAGATAGATTATCCGTGCTGCGTTGAAATTAACATGGTCGTTGAAGAATCCTGGGTTGATTGCTGCATCTCTACTTATGTTAATTGATGGAAGTAGATTGAAAAAAGTCTTTACATTTGTACCTTTTCAAAATTTGCTGTATGAGTGACTTAAGCTCAGTGTTGTTTCCTGACCCTGCAGTTGAATTTCTTTGTGAACATCGCCGTGTCTTGGAATCCAGGCTGAGCCCTGTGTGCAGAGAAATCACTGATAGTCGTGCAAGGACCCGAGATGAGTTGGAATCTCTCTACCGTAAAATTGTCAGCTTTGTATTGCTTCAATCGGGCCTCGGATCCCCCACCAACATAAATGTGGTGAGAGAGGCAACTGGTACGTTTTAGTCTTCATTCATGTTTAGCATGTGTTCATAGAATCATAGAATTATCCAGCACAGAAGGAGGCCATTCTGCCCATCGTGTTTGAAAAGAGCTATCCAAATCAATCTCACTCCCCTGCGCTCTCCCCATAGCTCAGCAAACTTATGTTGTGTGTTACGTGTGGCGTAATGGGTATAATAATATATTTTTAAAAATACACAAAAATATATTTATATTTTTTAAAAATTAATATATAAATTTTAAAAAAAGTTCCACAAACAGCCATGCAGTGAGTGACCAATTTTATTTGAGAAATTGTTGGCCAGTACACTGGGAGAAACTGCTTTGTCTTTTCAAAAGTTGCCCTGGGATCTTTAAAATCTACCAGATCAGGCAGACATTATTAATTAATACATCAATAAGCACTTCTATCATATCACAAGCATTGTATTTTCCATGCATCATCAGTTAGCCAATATATGTTCTTTACAATAACAAATAAAATTCTTAAATTATCATTTTAAAATTAAATTATATGATTTGCTTCTGCCCATTATTTACAACTGGTGGGGAGTAGCTCAATAAGGAGCAAAGCTCCACCTCTCCCTTCTCGCTCTCTCTCTCTCCCCCTTTTGTCACAGTTTTGTACACATTCAACTCCCCCAACCCTGCCCAACCCCCCCCACTCATAAATTCTCACTCCTTTTTATCCTCAGTCATTCTCCCCTGTCTCTCCCTCCACACACTCACTTTGTCACAAACTTCCATGCTCGCTCACTCACTTTTCTCTCTCTCTTCCCTCATGGTGTGGGGCCTGGTGTGGACATATATACGCATTTCTTCGACTTGCAAGAGAACAGAGATCAGGCTCAAGACCCTGACACACAGTGCCTCAGTCTCTTTCACATCATACAATGTATTACAATATATAATAGTTATCTTTATTACAAGATTCACTCAATACTGCTGGGCATGAATGACTGCTGTGTTTTGCCCACAAATATAGTCAATTCACTTTACAGTGTATTCTGTGAAGTGTTTTGAGACGTCTAGAAGACGTGAAAAGCGCTATATCAAATGCAAGGATTATTATTATTATTAACACAGGAATAAGCTTGCGCCTCGAAAGTATGGTTGAAAAGAAAGGTCTTGAAATCTTGGAAATAAGAAGGGGAAAGAGATTTTATGATGAAGTTTGAAGATAGTGGATAATTTAAGGCATTGGTTCTGTTCACGTTCATTGAGTTTCATATTTCTCACTGTGACATGTCACTTGAATGTTTCTTCCTTTGTCTCAGCTGCTCTGCAGAGCGTCTTTCCACAGATTGAGCTGAGCACCTTCCTTTCCCTCACGAAAAAGGACAAGGAGAGACAGCTGAATGAACTGAACATGATTGTCACTGGCATTCGGCTGTTCAACAAAAGCTGTAAGAAAGGTGGCGAGGGCATCGATGACTGTGAGTGCTTCATGATCAGTTTCTAATTTGTAAGAATTTGAGCTGCTGAGTGAAGAACTCACAAAAACGTCAGACCCAGGATTTTAATTAAGCATTGCTACTGTCTACATTGCAGAAAACTCACTTTGCTCACACGAACAACAATAAGATTACATTTGTATAGCGCCTTTCACGTCGGGAGGATGTCCCAAGGCGCTAGACAGTGTACAGCATTTCAGACTCAAGCTGGGGTCGGGTGAGAAGGGAGGGGAGGGGAAGGGGGATGGCCGATGGCATGGTCGAAGAGGAGGTTTTGAGGCAGGACATGAAGGAGACTAAGGAGGGAGCGAGGCGGAGTGATTGGGGGATGGAAGGCAGAGCGGGTCATGGCTCGGATGTGGGGAAAAGACAGTTGAGGGTCGAACCTGACACCCAGGTTCCTGACTGTCTTGGTGAATTGTAGTGAGCAACCATGGAGGTTGATGTTGCCAGAGCCTGAGGTGCTGAGGCGCTGGCGCGAGCCAATCAGGAGGGCCTCAGACTTGTTCACATTCAACTGTAGGAAAGTTGCCCTCATCCAGGACTTGATGTCCGACAGACAGTCCTCAAGACAGCAGTGGTCCTGGAGTTGAGGGTGGAGGCAGAAAGATAGAGTTGGGTGTCATCCGCATACATATGGAAGTTGACCCCATGTCTGCGGATGAGGGGGAGCATGTAGATATTAAAGAGGAGAGGACCAAGGACAGAGCCCTGGGGGACGCCAGACATGACAGTGCGGCGGCTGGAGGGGAAACCGTTAGAGGCAACAAAGTGGAGACAGTGAGAGAGATAGAATTCTATCCAGGCAAGGGCAGGTTAAGTAAAGAGGAGAGGTGGTGTATGAGGATGGAGTGGTCGACATTGTCGAAGGCGGCAGAGAGGTTGAGGAGGACAAGGAGGCAGAGGGAGCCCTGATCACAGATATTCAGAATGTTATTAGTGACTTTGACCAGAGCTGTTTACATGCTGTGGGCAGCACAGAAGCCGGATTGGAGGGGTTCAAAGAGGAAATGGCGAGAAAGAAAGGAGCGGAGCTGGAACAAGTTCCGTCATTTCATAGTTGGGCTTCTAGATCAAGTTCCAGGTGGAACCGAGGGAGAGAGGATGATTCACTGGTGAAGACATAATAGCAATAATGATCCTTTGCATTGCAAATAGCTTTGAGATCATAGAACCATAGAATTATACAGCAAGGAAGGAGGCTACGTGGCCCATCGTGTCTGAACTGGCTCTTTGAAAAGAGCTATCCAAATCAATCCCACTCCCCCGCTCTCTCCCCATAGCCCTGCAAACTTGTCCTTCCAAAATAATTATCTACTTCTCTCTTAAAAGTTGTTATCGAATTGGCTTCCACCACCCTTTCAGGCAATGCATTCCAGATCTGAACAACTCGCTGTGTGAAAACATTTCTCCTCAATTCCCCTCTGTTTCTTCCACAACTATTTTAAATTGGTGTCCTTGGGTTACCGACCCACCCGCCAGTGGAAATAGTTTCTCCTTGTTCACCTTATCGAATCCCCTCATAATTTTGAAAACTTCTATTAAGTCTCCTCTTAACCTTCTCTGCTCCAAGGAGAATAATCCGAGCTTCTCTAACCTCTCCTGATAACTACTCTCATTCCTGGTACCATTCTGGTAAATCTCCTTTGCACTCTCTCCAATGCCTTGACATCCTTCCTACAGTGTGATGCCCAGAACTGAACACAGTACTGTAGCTGAGGTCTAACCAGTTTTTATAAAGGTTCATTATAACTTCATGACTTTTGTATTCTATGCCCCTATTTATGAAGCCTAATACCCCATATGCTTTTTTAACAGCTTTATCTACCTGTCCTGCCACCTTCAAAGATTTACTTATATGAACCCTCAGGTCTCTCTGTTCCTTCACTGCCTTTAAGATTGTATCATCAGCTTATATTGCCTCTCCACATTCTTCCTCCCAAAATGCATCACTTTGTATTTCTCCACATTAAACTTCATCTGCCACGTGTCTGCCCGTGTTACCAGTCTGTCTATGTCCTGTTGCAGTCCGCTACTATCCTCCTCACTGTTTTCTACTCTTCCTAGCTTATCATCTGCAAACTTGGAAATTGTAATCCGTATACCCAAGTCCAAGTCGTTTATATAATTGATATGTCATTTATGTGTCATGACATCCCAAACCTTTTTGCACTTTGCAAAGGAGGGGAGGTAGAGGCCAGGGGCAAATCGGGGAACGATGGGGAACTGGTAGAGAAACTGAGAACAGCAACAAGGAAAATATACGTAGGGAATTTTTTAACTTAATAGATTGTTCGATAATTTGGTCTTCTAATTGAATGCCTGATAGATTTATTGGTAAAATATTTAGAGTGCTCACATTAGTAACCAAATTTAATTTAGAATGCCAGTCATTTTTTTTTCCAGTTTTAAAAGGTGCTTTTATATTACTGAGTGCATACAAGTAAACTTAATTTTAATCTTCATTGTATATGGTAGAATTTGATTTCAATAGCTGATGCTTTACATATTGTAGTTTTAAATGTGATTCTTTGCAGGCTCCTGTATTATTATCATAGTGAGACTTATCACCTCACCTTTGCATTCCCATGGGTCGGAATAATGTACATGAAGCAAATGCACTGTACATCCCAATGTGTTTTTCCAACATCAAAGCAACATTTAAGCCACTATTTTTCTGGCAAGCGCTTGCTTTTTTAACCCCATTATATTCTGTCATTGCATCATAATATCTCCCCTCCTTCAGCACATTAATCTACAAATTGAAAAAAATTTGTATTTTTGTTCTACTTTAAACTTCTCCTGTATGTTTAAGCAATTGCTCTTGACTAAATGAGATATTTCTGTGAATACAGTGCCTGCTATTCTGAATGAGGCTGTTCCAGCTACGAGCCAAAACATAGACCTTGAGCTGCAAGCTACTCAACAGCTAATTTACCACTACACAGCCATCATTGAAAGGCTTGAGAACAGCCGGGAACATTGCTATGAGCAAGATGGGCTGCACGATAAAATGAAGGAGGCTTTGTTCAACGTGAGACAGCATGAGATCTTTCTGCGTATCATTTCGGTAAGAAGATAAGTGGCACCTATTGCAGCTGGAGGAAACTTTAGCTAACTGTTGGTACAATAAGGAAGATCCTTTGGATCACAAGATGAGTTCGGGTGAACAGTGTGATTTAATCCTCTAGAACTCTAACCTTACCAATTTCCTATTAGAGCATCAAGCTGTTTCTTAACTGAGACTGGTGTTCTTACTCTTCATGAGGAGGACATGACTGCAGTGTAACACTGTCTGAGCTCCTCTTTATACTACATGATTGGAGGTAACCCCTGCCATAATCACAATGATTTGCCACTGTGTGTGAAGTGTAAACATGGCATAATCTAATGTAAGAGCATACAAGCATTCTTATCAGGCAGCCAATAAATAAGTATTCCTTTTGGTTCTTTTCAGTAATTTCTTGGTAATACCTTGCATGTAGTAACATTGCTATACATTTCTCAAGCTACTGCCACAATTTCATCTATTTTTACTGTGCTGTTCAAATAACCAATTGATTGCTCTTCAAAGCACTGGGTCACCATTTACAACAACAAATCATAATTATATAGTGACCTTCATGGAGGGTAATATCTCAGAGTTCTTCACAGGAATAGGTTTAGACCCTGAGTAAGGATAGGGAGGTGGCCGTAGACACATGCACATGATGTATCACGTGATAGTCACATTAAACATTTGACTAAGTTCTCATGCTCTTATTTTACAGCTGAAATGCTGCAATTTAAAACTAAATCTTAAACTACTGCCTTCAGAGTTTGCCTCAAGTGGTCTGGCCACAGTGATTCAAAAGGAATTGAATGATCCATATGCTCTACTTGTTTTTATACAAAAAAATCCTGAATTAAATGTGTAGGATGTGTTAAATATTCTGCAAAATACATAGAAAATAATTTTCAAAATATGGAACAACTTTCTAGAGCTTTGGTGCCTTTTTAAAAAGACTTCACATTTCCAACAGGATCTTAACTTCAGTCATCACAAAGGCTTACTCTCATAGAGGAGACAATGGTTGAATGTAATGGGTTGCCTTGTCAATTGGATTCACTATTATAAGTGCACATCCACAAAATGTGCTCAACTTACTGGCACAGGGAGCTCACCTCTCCCTCTGTCGTCTTTCTGTAGACAAACATGTTATGCAAACACAGATGTTACGCACTTACACAATATCTAATACTAAAAGATTAATCGTTTCATTTTCTCAAAGGTTTTGTATAATTGGCAGCACTTTCCGAAGTACAACTGCTGCTGTCAATATACTTGGTTGGACTTATAAACTGTATTGTATTGGCATCCAGTACAAAATGCCCCATCCTCATGAGTGAGGTATTTTATTAGATTCCTGTTGATATGAAATGATGTCCCCACATACAAAGACCCTACAAAAGAATATTTTGTAATTGTCCAGTGTCAATATAGGAGGGTTTATTATTATTATTATTATTATTTGAATAGCAGCTTGTCTAAGATCTAGATTTTATTAGTGAGTAAACAGTAACTTCCGTGTACATTCCTGGAAGAAAAAATGACCTTAAATGTAAAAAGCCGCTTCTGAAAATGTCACCTTTTATTAAGAGTATGGGCTCTGGGGTGTACACCAAACAGCCACGGAGCATACACACTTGTACTTTGCGATCTATGACCTCATACAGCTTGCGACTCTGAGACTGAGGTTGTCATTTTAAGCCCTATGTCAGGACTTGAACTCACAGAGTCTCATCTGGGGGTGTGATGCATTGTCACTGTTCGAAAAAAGAAGGGAGTTTTTCCTGGTGTCCTGGCCAACAATCCCCCAAATAAAATTAGTCATTTATTACATGTTTGTTTGTGGTTGCTTAGCGCAATTGGGCTGCTGCGTTCGCCTACAAGTACATAGTCACTTCATTTCACAGTAGCTCCTGTGAAGCACTTTGGAGCATCCGCCTGATGTGAAAGGCACTATACCAAATGCAAGGATTATTATTATATGCGTGTGGAGTGTTCATTGTTTCTTAGCCTATCAGTCTTTGGGGAACGTCAAGGGGAGCTTTGGGGAAGGTCAAGGGGAGAAAAGGAATTGTGAAATATACATCGCACACTGCACTGTTAGGTCCCAGGTTCATCTCTTGATGTAGCTGATCTTACCTGGCCGAACATTGGAGTCACTAAAGTTCATGGACTTAAACAGCACAGAAGGAGGCCATTCGGCCCATCGTTTCTGCTGGCTCTTTGAAAAGGACTGTCCAAATCAATCCCACTCCCCTGCTGTCTTGCTATAGCCCTCAAACTTGTCCTCCCAAAATAATTATCTGCTTCTCTCTTAAAAGTTGTTAATCGAATCGGCTTCCACCACCCTTTCAGGAAGTTGGAAGTGTCCAGGAGTTGAGAAGAAAATTATAAGCTAGAGTTTCTACTTCTTATTGTGATTCATTGATACGTGCTGGAGAATTTACATATTTGGACATTGTGGGAGGGTAGGATCCAACAACAAGTACTTGCATTTATGTAGCCCCCTTCCCATGGGCTAGCATTCCAGAATCTAGTTGTTTTGCCCAATCTCTTTCTCCTGGTTGATGAGTCGCCCAGTGCTCATGTCTAAACTCACACAAGAAGAATGATCACTTCCATGTGAAACCACATAAAATGGATTTAACAATTTAATCCAATTTTTTGATTTCCATCAGGACTTTCTAAAATGCAGTCATATAAATTCAGTCTTATCATTGCTTGCGACTTAATCTTAGTAAACTTTCTTAACAGTCACACACACCCTTGCTGCCTTTAATTCCATACTGTATTTTGTCTATTCTATGTCTGCAGCTCGTTGTGAAAATTCAATGGTTCCCAAATAATTTGTTCCACACACTTGTTCTTTTTTTCCTCCAGAACGATATCGTAATTTGTGCTCAACAAGTAGAGGTGCTGGAGTCTCAGCTAAGGCAACAAATGGAGGAACTGAATTCCATAATCAGGACAAAGGCAGCCGTACCCACTGCACAGGTCTATGTAAGTGTTGCCAACCTTGTGGGATTTATTCTGACAACTTCAAATTCTGTCAACTGTTTGCCTACAAAATACAGTGACTATGCTTTACAGTACATTCCAAAGTACTTTGAGACTTTCTCCTGGAGTGAAATGCACTATATCAAATGCAAGGATTGTTATTTATTTATAATGAGGAGTATTTTATTTTGAGTAAAAGATTTGAGTTATGTTTATTTACTTAAATAATAGGAACAGTGAATCCCTTAATCTCTCTCAATCTTTACTCTAGGTCACATAGGGATTGTATCATGTGCTGATCGTTAACACATGAGATTTTTTCCATTGTAAACCTGCAACACTAGTGTTAATGAGTAACCTGTGACAGATCGGATTAAAGGTACAAGTTACTGCAGTGAGTCAATCTATCACTTTCAGAACAATATGCTTCAGGAAGCAGATTACTTACTCTGTTTGCTTGTAATTTAAAATATATGACGCATCTTTTGTCACCAATTCTTTCAAATTATATTTTCTGCTGAAATATATAATCACAAAGATGACAAACTATAGTGATAAACTTGCAAGCTTTGAGTTGTTAACGGTTTCATATAACAGCTTCTACTCTACCCCCCGCACCGTCATGTGTGGCGTCCCTCAGGGTTCTGTCCTCAGTCCCCTCCTCTTCAATCTATACATGCTCCTGCTTGGCAATGTCATCCGCAGACATGGAGTAAATTTCCACATGTAAGCGCATGACACCAACTCTATCTCGCCACCTCCGCCCTTGTCTCCAGGACTGTTGATGTCCTGGCTAATTGTCTATCTGACATCAAGTCCTGGATGAGAGCCAACATCCCCCAGCTCAACGTTGGAAAGACAGATGCCCTCCTGCTTGGCTCCCGGCAGCACCTCCTCACCTCAGCCGCTGACACTATCACCATTCATGGCTGCACTCTTCATCTCACTGAGCCAATCTGACATTTCAGTGTCCTTTTCGACCCTCAGCTATCCTTCAAACCCTACAATCGTGCTGTGACCCGTTCCGCCTTTGTACCCCCCCGCAACATTGCCCACCTCCGCCACCGCCTCTCACCACAGGCTGCCGAGCCCCTGATCCAGGCTTTCATTAAGTCCTGGCTTGACTACACCAACTGCTGGCTCACTGGATTTCCCAACTCTTCCCTCCACAAGCTGCAGATTATTCAGAACTCTTCAGCTCGTGTCCTCTCTCGTACCAGGTTCTGGGAACCTATCACCCCATTCTTGCCGGCTTCATTGACTCCCCATTCCACAGAAAATCGAGTGCAAAACCCTTGCTCTTACCCTCAAGGTCTTCCACGGTCTTGCTCCCCCTACCTCTCCGACCTCGTAACTCCATATCAGCCTGTCCACTCCTCCGCTCAGCGGACACCGACCTGCTTCAGGTCCCCTGCACTTCCCGCCACACCATTGGCGGTCAGGCATTCAGCATCTCTGCCCCCTCCTGCAATCCCTCCATCTCACCCCCTGTCTTGTCTCTTTCAAGTCCCCTCTCAAGAACTTCCTCTTCGTCTGTGCCTTCAGCCACTCTCCCAACCCTGTCCTCCTCAACTTCTGACCCCAACTCCCAGCTCAGGTCCAAAACCTCTGATTGTCCAGCGCCTTGGGACGTCTTTCCGACGTGAAGGGCGCTACACAATTGTCATTTGGTGGTGGTGTTAAATGGCTCGTTTGGTAAAATGCAGTTCCTTACTCTGGTTCAAGCTTATTGTTTTCATGTAAATGCTGACCAAACAATGGTTTAAGGGATGTTGCTTATAAAATAGTTTTTTTTGAACTTACATAATTTTTTTTTAAGCTATGCTTTTCTGAGAAGTCAAGCTCTAATGTAAAATATTTTAAAGTTACTAAAATAGACTTTGAATCTAATGTGAGCTTCCTTTACCTTACACAGCCTCATTTTATTGCATTGTCCAACCTGTGGACATGCTTCCAGGATGAGATGGTGCTGCTCAGTGTCTTCAGTAACTTAGTGACCAATTTGGATCCGTTCCTGGCAACCCATGTACAGCTGTTTCCAACGGCTGTCATTCAGCCCTTGTTGGAAGGAGTGACTGTGAAATCAGATGAGGACAGGATAAAAGAATCAGAAGGTAGGTCATAGCATTTTGTCATAGGAGAAGGAAAGTAAGTGTCTGGATTTTGTCCTCCTTCCCTAGCAAATGATGTGGAGAGAAATGACTGTTAAGAAACAGTTGCAATACCTTGATCGTATTATCTTGTCCTCTGAATGAGACGTTAAACTGGTCTAGTCTGTCTGTTGAGGTGGACGTTAAAGATTCTGTGATTCTATTTTATTAGAACTCCACGATTTTGTGTATTCTGTGAAACACTTTGAGACATCTCGAAGACGTGATAAGGCTCTATATCAAATGCAAGGATTATTATTCTACTGAATAACACAAATGTTTCTTTTTCAGGAGTAACAGTAGATCCAGAAATCTTCCAGAATCGTGTGTGGATCTTCCCAGGGAGCGTGCCAAATTTTAAACAAATCTTATTGCAGTACCGAGGATTTTGTGCCTATGCATTGGGTGGAAGGCATGGTTTGATTTTGCCAGGTACACAACGTTAACATGTTAAACATGTTAACACTAACAACACTAACATCCCTCTTTGTGCAGGCCCTGCCAATTTAGTTTATGAAGATTTCTTCCCTGGGATGCACAAAAAGTATGTTTGAGAAGGAAAGTGTTTGAACTTCTCCCAGGCCTCTGTCAACGTGTTCTGAACCCACCTCAAGGAGATCCATGAGTGGGGAAGCGCTATCCTAGCTAGCCTTTTCTCCTAGCTTGCCTTTTCTCCTCTGTCTCAGTAGAAAAGAAATGTGGAATCCATTTGTTACTTCTTTCTTGGAGAGGAGACTCGAGAATGGGTTGCAATTGCAACCCCCGCTATTCCATAATAAGAACATAAGAACTTGCTAGGCGAAAGAAGACCAAGGACTATCTAGTTCATCTTCCACCATCCTGGCAGTCGCTCGACCTGTCGTGTCCCAAACAAGATACTGTATCCCGAGATATTATTTTCTAGTAGAAATCTATCTAATTTGTTCTTGAAACAAACAGTATTTTATGCTTCCACTGTCTCCCTAGGGAGCCTGTTCCATAAATTTACTCCTCACTGAAGTAGTGTCTCTGCAGATTTGTTCTGAATTTACCCACCTTTAATCGCAGGTCAACTTCTCTGGTTCTACTGTTCAGTATAAGATAAAACAGCTTATCATGGTTTACATTATCTATTCCCTTCAGAATGTTAAAGACCATAATCATATTGCCCCTCAATTTTTTCTTTTCCAGAGTGAAAATGACTTTTGATATGATGCCAATTTCCCTTCACGCTTCATGGGAAATGTCTGACCTCCACTTTGTCAACACAGATGCTCAGGATGACAGCATTGTGTTGAGATTAATAGTTTACCTATGTGGGGAGAAGGGTTGGTGTGGGAGACCTCACACCTCCTGTTACCTGGTGCTCGTTCTGACTGGTGTTATATGAAAGCCCAGCACTGCTCCAAATATAGTTTTAGTTTTCATTACACAGATTAAGCTTCAGTGATATTTTTTGTCCTACTGATCAAGTACTGTATCTTGATAACTTTTCTCAAATATAGTACAACAAACAGCTGTTTGTGTTCACCCACGAAACACAGAGTCACTGCACGTCACAGCTTATCCTGTGAAGCGCTTTGGGACATCCTCCCAATGTGAAAGATGTTATACCAAATCTAAGGATAATTATTATTATTAATAACTTGCATTTATAGAGCACGCTCCCCATGGCATAATGTCACAAAGCACTTCACAAAGATTGTGTCTGTCATTATCACACAAGAATATCTTTGAATAACCTTATATTGATATCTTTCAGCAAACCCAAATATTGGAATTCTTAATTATCAAGGTAAATACTATGGATTCTCCTCCAAGGAGGCTGCGAGTTCGTTTGCTCGAATACCTGACTACTACATTGCTATGGTCGCACAGGAAGCTAAAGCCTGTGCAGAGCTTATTCAGCTGCTGGAGCTCCACCATCAGTTTGCCTCAATTACGACTTATTCACAGGTGGTTATTCACATGATGGATGAATTAAAACAAAAAAATACAATGTTTGCAGCATCTGTCTGATGGGGATCACAGTTTTCATTCTCCAGGCAGGGGTCAGTCTAAATAGAAAATAATCTAATTGTTGCCAACATAAGCAGTACCAAACTAATGAACAAACTCTTCAAAATGAAGCATCTATTTTTATATATAAAGAGACAGTCAAACACAGTGAATAGATGTCACTTTGCTTTTTGCAAGAAAGTGGTTCTTTTTGCTGTTATTCATTTACTGTTTCAATGGAAAAGAGATAGTAAATGAATACCGTCAATGACTACAGTAAATGAAAACAGAATCTAGCGGCTTTGGATTTTTTTCAAGGAGAACTGTCTCAATGAAAATCCCAAAGGTTCATTTCTCCTTAAAAAATTCCAAAGTCACTAGATTAAAACCCTGGCTCACCAGACTAATGGGGGAACTGCAGTAGGTCAAGCTGGAATTTTGGCTAAGTGCAATTACAATATCACACTGGCATTTACCAGCTTTTTCAGTGCTGAAAAATGCCAGTAAATACCGGTACCAGCATTGTAATTATTTGAATCCCGCGAGCAGAAGGTAGCAAATAAGATAGGTTTTGTTCGCGGAATTCAAATTGAGTGAAAGTGGATATACCTGACTACTGAGCAAGGTGAGGTGGGATCACATATTAGGAGAATGTGTACATAAGGTTCAGCTCTCCTACACCAACCAGTGTGCTTGTAAAGGTATCAGGATTGCTCTCAGATTGCAACCAGTTAAACCCTATTGAAGTCGCCTTCTTCAGAGCTGTCAAACAATCAGTTGTGGATTGCGTAGAATGATCCTTGACTAATCCAGGAAAGGAATTTCTCTAGAAGCTTATAACTATTGATTATTTACCTAGCTGTTGGGAGAGTCTCAGAAACACCATTATCCAGCATCCGAAGGACACATGAAACACAACTGTATAAGAAATATAGTCTTGTCAGAATAAAGCCTTTCTAGTATCAAAACAGTGAAATCTCTCTAGCATTAAGACATAATAACCTTATAACCAAGGTGAAAGTGAGAAAATATTTTTTGGCAAAAATTCTAGGTGAGAGTAGAGCAGGAAAGCAAAAGCAAATAAACCAATTTACATATTTTGTAATTCACTGATATCCCTGTTGCTTCTGGGTCAACAGTTTTCTGGGGTGGAGCATTCCCCACCTCCACAACTCTGTGTGAAGAAATATCTCAGTTCTAACTGCCATAGTTCTTATTTTCAAGGCTGTGCCCTTAACCAGGGGTGAATATATTCCCAGTCTAACCAGCCCCTTAGCTGAGGATATGCTCCTTGGGGAGTGGGGAATGAGGTAAGCAGGTCTCCTTGGAGCTGCACTGGCAAGCATTCCCGCTGCACTGGTGACATGTTTGGCAATAGAATGCCAGAATTGAGCAGTCCTCTGTGGCGGTCTCGGTAATCCAGTTCCTGAGCCAGGTGGGTCCGGAGTATTCAGGGCACTACTGATGACAGCACAGTGAGCTTGGCTCATCGGCAGAACCTGGAAGAGCAGACCAGTCTTCCCACTCAGCTCTTGTTTACCCTGCAAGCCAAAGTCCTAATGCGTAGGGTAGTCCTAGCTGGACAAGCACGAAGAAAGCTTGCTAGATAGTCCTCTCAATGGCAAGCTAAGCAGTTTTAACTAGTTAAACTCCAGCAGTACCTCAGCACAAAATCTGGGGTCCCCAAGACTTGGCTCTTACCAACTGAACTGAATTAGGTAGGCAGGGTGTGTCCCTCTGGGGAGAGTGTGTTTTTTATTCCAGATACGGGAATATCCACATGTAGCTGGCATGCAGGGATCTCTATCTAGTTTGGATAGTCTTAAACTTTGTGATGGGGTGTTTGCATGTGTCAGACAACAGCCTAATCCCTTCCAAAAAAAAGACATTCATCCAGTGAATTGTACATCCAGGCTGACACTGCCCTGGACACCCACTAAGTCTAGTAGTTATTTCCAAAGACTGAGTACCCAAAACTGAATACAGTACTCCAAAGGCGGTCTGACCACCATTTTGTACACCTGGAGCAACATTCTTACTTTTATATTCCAGACCTCTTATCATGAAGGCTGGGTTCTCATTTGTCTTATTGAATACTTTCTGCATTGGGTATTGGAAATGTAATTTTGCTGCATATCTTGTCAGATTGACATCCTGGCTGTATTTATGTTCATGTTATCAATTTCAGACTAAATCTACAGATAAATGGCACATAAGGTCCATCACGAGGAATGACAGTAGCACACAGACTGATACCCACATCCTAGAATCAAATATTGTTAAATCGTATGAATGGAATGAATGGGAGATCAGACGAAAAGCTATTAAACTGGTAAGATTTTAAAATTCTACTCTACCTGCCAAAAGGTGATTCTAGAGATTAATTTATATATTTGTCTTGCAAAAAATGAACTTGTATGCATCTTTTTGTGTATCTGTAGTGTCAGCCTGGCTCAAAAGGTATTTCTCCTTTTGTCCTCGCCAATAATTAATTTCACTTCATAGCTGTTTGTGGGACATTGCTGTGCTCAAATCAACTGCTGCGTGTGCCCACAAATCACATAGTTATTTTACTTGACAATATATCCTGTAAAGCACTTTGGGATGTCCTTGTGATGTGAAAGGCTCTGTACTAAATACAAGGATTATTATTCAAACAATAAATAACTAGACCTTCGAAAAATATCACTTCAGGTGGGTGCTCCATGTGAAAGCAGATTAGCCCTGACCTGCTAAATTCACAGCACTGGATCCTGGAAGGTTCAGGCTGTAATACTTTGGAAATAAAATGAGGATTGCTCCAGGTTTCAGCTCAGCAAATCGTATTGACTCATACCTTTACCAAAAGAGCCCAGGATACAGATGTGGAATGTGTAGTAATCCCCCTAACTGATCGAGCAACTTTATAAGAATGAACACGAGCTTCAGTTCTTTAATGTGCGACCTGCCAAATTTGTTTGAAACACCCAGAATCCATCACAATACGTAAGAGAATTTAAACAAACTGAGAGTTGCACATTATATATTATATATATAATAGTTATATAAGTAAATAATGTATATAAGTAAATGATAGTTATTTCACCCAATGCGATCTCCTAAATATTCTCTTTCAGTACATAGGTGGAGAGATGTTCAGATAATAATAATAAATAATAATAATTCTTGCATTTGATATAGCGCTTTTCACGTCGGGAGGACGTCCCAAAGCGCTTCACAGAACACAGAGTAAAGTGAATTGACTGTATATTTGTGGGCGAACGCGGCAGCCAATTGCGCACAGCAATGTCCCACAAACAGTCAGAGATTGAAAATGACCAATTTATTATTGTTTTTGGTTTTGGAGGGATTATTATTAGGCGTGTGGAGTAAGGAAACTTGCCCAAGGTTTCGCCCTCTGCCTGGAATTGAACTCAGGTCTCTCACTTGCAAAGCGAGTGCTCTAACCACTGAGCTACAGGACTCCACAGGACTGCTCAGACTGAGTCTATCTCTCCCTGGAGAGACTCATTCTGCTTAATTAATTCCAGAAAGTATTAGGCACAGGTTGGCAAGAGCCAAGGCTTGGGGACCCCAGGGTATGTGTTGGGGTACTACTGGAGTCTAACCAGTTAAAATAGGACAATTTACCATTGAAAGCATTTCTGGTAAGCTTTCCTGCTGCTTGTCCAGCTAGGACCACCCTACCTGTCGTGGCTTTCGTTTCCAGGGTTAACAGGAGCTGAGTGGGAAGAAGTCCTGCTGATGAGCCAGCTGGCTGTGCTGTCAACAGTGCCCTGGAGAATCCGCCTGAATCAGGAACTGGACAATCAAGTCTAGAGAGTTGGCTTGATTCTGATATTCAATTGCCAAAATGCCACCTTGGAGCAGGTTCAGCTCTCCGAGACCCCGCTTACTTCGCCACCAAGGAGGATAGTTACTACTTGATCATTTGATTGCTGGGTTTGAGCCCTTACTCAGTGGATGTCAGGTACCGGAAACTCCATGTGAGCTTCCTGGTGGGCAGCACAACTCAGTATTACATGTGTGAGAGCATTGTTTAACAAATATGGTATAACATGTTGTCAAGCAAACTGTCTCTGGAATTGGATGGTGAGAGGCATCTATAAGTAATCAATGAATAACTTTTGTTTCTGAACTTTTTTTTGTAAGGCAAACTTGCGTAAAAAGATGAGTCATTCCAACCAGACCCAACTCAGCCACATGAGAAGAGACAACTTTACCCAGGTTTACGAACAAAGGAACAAGGGAGTACAAACAAAACGAGAAAATTCCAGCAATGTACCCAAACCAAAAGTCTTCTATGCAGGCCTGCGTGGAGGAAAATCAACAGATCCTACAGTGGTGACCAAAATCAACTTAACAAGAGCTGTGGATGAAACCTAAAACTGTTCTGCAAAAAGAAATCTTAATCATTTCTGTGTCAGTTTTAAATATTATTTTTTCATCATAAATGTTTTATAACAATGCTTTAACATTGTTTTTTCTAAATGTTCAATTCATAGTTATTCTGTTTGATGCCTATTTTTGAAGTACAGAAGTTCAGGCTGTATTATGTATTAAATGAAAATTAAGTCAAATTAGTCTTGGTATTTGGAATGTCAGCCAGCTAGGAACCACTCAGAATTTTAAACATTCACTAAAACCATTTAAGAGATTTGGGAATGTAATTTCAATATTGGATGAGAATTTGGATTATGCAAAAATGTCTCATTTATATTGCAGACCACAGAACGTCTTCAGAAGTAATTATGCGTATGGAAATGTTTTATTTTCTAATCTAAATTGTCCATTGACACCTACTGGTGTATGTTTTTCCATCATGGGTCAACTTCCCTTGGCCAAGTGGGAGTTTTTCAAGTAGAAGGCACCACAGTCAAAGCTGCTCCCATCCACTCCCATGTTCACATATGAGAATCCTCCAGCCAAGGTTTCTGGATTGTGATCAGAAGCAGAAACCCTGGCTGACCCAATGGCGTAGATCAATTGCGTAGACTGGGATTCAAATTTACAATCTCCTAGTATGTGAATCATACGACTCCCAGGACCTTGCTTCCTTGTTTCCCTTGGGAGCAAACTGCGATGTTGCTTTTAACTTGGAGTGACTTTTATTTCTGATAACTGCCTTCCTCATTGGCTGAAGCAACTTTATACAGACCACTAAGTGTTTACTTGGCTGTTGTGTAGAGGTAGGTAATGGCAGAAGCTGTTAACCTGTAAGATCGCATGGCTCAGTTGGTCGCACTTTCATCACTGAGTCAGAAGGTTGTGGGATCCAGCACATGCCGAGACTTGGAATTTATGTAATCTAAACTGTCGGAGGTGCCATCCTTCAGATGATGTTAAACCTAGGTCCTGTTTGACTGTTCAGATGGATATTAAAGGTCCCATTAGCACTATTTGAAAAGAGAAGAGAGTTTCTCTGGGTGTCCTGGTCAACAATCCCCCAAATAATATTGGTCATTCACTCCATGCCTGTTTATGGGAAATTGCTGTGTGCAATTGGGCTGCGACTTATGCCTACCAGTACACAACAACAACAACACGATTGCATTTGTATAGCGCCTTTCATATCAGGAGGACGTCCCAAGGCTCTGGACAGTGTACAGCATTTCAGACCCGAGCTGGGGTCGGGGGGGGGAGAATGGAGGGGAGGAGAAAGGGGGTGACCGATGGCGGGTCGAAGAGGAGGGTTTTGAGGCGGGACTTGAAGGAGGCTAAGGAAGGGGCGAGGCAGAGTGACTGGGGGATGGAATTCCAGAGGTTGGGTCAGAGTGGCTGAAGGCTCTCCCACCAATGGTGGGGTCGGGGGACGTGGAGCAGGCCAGAGACGGCTAAGCTGAGGGAGCGGGCAGGTTGATAGGGGGTTAGGAGGTTGCAGAGGTAGGGTGAGGTGAGGCCATGGAGGGCTTTGTATGTGAGGACCAGGATCTTGAACTCGATCCTCTAAAGGATAGGGAGTCAATGGAATCGAGCAAGAGTGGGGGAGATGGGGTCACGGAGTTTGGTGCAGGAGAGGACACGGGCTGCAGAGTTCTGGATTATCTGCAGCCTGTGGAGGGAGGAGTTGGGAAGGCTGACAAGCAGGGCGTTTGCATAGTCGAGCCTGGAGGCGATGAAGGCATGAACAAGAGTTTCAGCGGCCTGAGGGATGAGGTAGTGGCGGAGTCGGGTGATGTTACGGAGGTGAGGGAAGGCAGAGCGAGTCATGGCTTGAATGTGGGGGAGAAAAGACAATTGAGGGTCGAACAAGACACCCAGGTTCCTGACTGGCTGGTGAGTTGCAGTGAGCAACCATGGAGGTTGATGTTGCCGGTGCTGAGGCGCTGGCGCGAGCCAATCAGGAGGGCCTCAGTCTTGTTCACATTCAACTGTAGGAAAGTTGTCCTCATCCAGGACTTGATGTCCGACAGACAGTCTGTCAGGACAGCAGTGGTCCTGGAGTTGAGGGTTGAGGCAGAGAGGTAGAGTTGGGTGTCATCCGCAGACATATGGAAGTTGACCCCATGTGTGCGGATGATGTCACCGAGGGGGAGCGTGTGGATAATAAAGAGGAGAGGACCAAGGACAGAGTCACTACACTTCACGTGCAGTGTTTTGGGACGTCACCCCCCACCACCCCACTGTGAAAGGCTCTATTATCAAGTGCAGGCAATGCTATTCTATCTGAGAAGGGGGTGTCCACCAGTAAATGAAGCTCAGGACAGAGGAGCTCGAGCACTGCACATAAACAGTGAAGGATGCTGGGGGGGGGGGCAGTCCCCGGCGCAGGCGCAGTGGAGGCTGGAAGTGTGTGGGTGGTGGGGGGGGGGAGGTAGCCCAGGGCGCAAGCGCAGTGGAGGCCGCTGGTGGTGGTGGTGGGCGTGGCGCAGTCGCAGTCGGTGTGCGAATGTTCCAATCGCATTGTTGCGTCTCTCGGCGGCCGTCCACTCCGCGCTGACGCTGACACTGACGTCAGCTCCAGCCCTCGCTGGGCTGCTCCCTCCCCGCATCGCCCGCCACACGGTGCGGGGCGCCCGGCGGGGAAGATGGCCCAAGGTAAGCGGAGGGCGGACAGAGCTCCGGGAGGCGGTTGGTTCGTTCGGTCCCTTCACTGAAGCATTGCCGCTTAATGTCTTCTTATAAGAGAGAGAGTGAGGGAGAGAGTGTGTGTGTGTGTGGGGGGGAGCATCATCATCAATGACGCCAACTGCCCCCCCACACACCCACACACACACCCCCCCACCCCCCCACCCCCCCCACACCCACACACACCCCCACCCACACCCACACCCCCCACACCCACCCACACACACCCCCACCCCACAACCACACACCCCCCCACACCCACCCCCCCCCCCCCACATAACCCCACCCACACACACCCCCCACACACCCGCCACACCCACACCCCCCACACCCACACCCCCCACACACCCCCACCCACACACACCCCACCCCACAACCACACACCCCCCACACCCCCCCACATAACCCCACCCACACACACCCCCCACACACCCGCCACACCCACACCCCCCCACACCCACACACCCCCCACACACACCCCCACCCCACACACCCCCACCCCACAACCACACACCCCCACACCCCCCCACATAACCCCACCCACACACCCCCCACACACCCGCCACACCCACACCCCCCCACACCCACACACTCCACCCCCACACACCCCCACACACCCGCCACACCCACACCCCCCCACCCACACACCCCCACACACACCCCCACCCCCCACACCCCCACTACCCCCCACACACACCCCCCACACCCACACACCCCCACACCCCCCACACCCACACCCCCCACACCCACACACACCCCCACACCCCCCACACCCACACCCCCCACACCCACACACCCCCACCCCCACACCCCCACACCCACAAACACCCCCACACCCACACACACCCCACACCCCCCCCCCCACACCCCCCACACCCACACACCCACACACCCCCACCCCCCACACCCCCACATACCCCCCACTCACACACACCCACCCCCCCACACCCACACACCCCCCACACCCACCCCACACACCCCCACAACCACACCCCCACACCCCCCCCATATCGTATTGTTTGTGAGATGTTGTGAATGATTGTGTGGGGGCGTTTGAGATCCACAGATCTCGCTGGGGGGCGTGAGGAGCTTTTACTTTGAGGAGAGACGAGGGGGAGAGAAGGGGGGAAAGACACTGGGATTGTGTTCTCTTGAACAGGGAAAGTTGAGAGGGGGACCTGATCGAAAATTATTCAAAATTGTGAGGGGATTTGGTAAGGTAAAAGTGCATTAATTTCCACTGGTCGGTGAGTTCATAATTGCACAGTTTAAATTTATAATTGTTCCGATAATGCGGGGAAGAGGTGAGCGAAATGTTTTCACACTGATTATTTGTGCCTTTCAAAGTCGGTTGTTGAAACAGAATGCATAGCAGACCGTAAAAGGGGGACTGGGCATATATTCGAAAAAGAAAGATGTAGTAATAATAATCCTTACATTTGGTATAGTGCCTTTCGCCTCAGGAGGCGTCTCAAAGAACTATAACCAGTGGAGATTATTTGTGGGCAAATGCCTACATTTATTAGTTGAAATGTTTTTACACAGCAGGTTATTAAGATGTGGAGCGCCTAGCAAAACTGGCAATTGAAACCATTCATAATAGGTATTAGCTTTGTATAGCCCTCAGGTGAATAAATACTTCACTATGCTGTACAGCTAGGAATCGCTTGCAGCTTTTTAAACCTTAAAGACACTCACAAATGTCAACACATAAGCGTGTGACTTATCTGACAAATTCAATACGGTTAAAATGCAGGTTATTACACATAAAAAGTAACATAGGAGGTGCATACTACATAAACGACATAATGCTTTGCAAGAAGGAGGTTCACATCCAGGCTCGATTAGGCTAACTTCCTGCTTGTAGGTCTTCTCAACTCTTCCCTCCCCAAAATGCAGATTATTTGTGTCCTCTCCTGCACCAGGCTCCGTGAACCCATCACCCCCATCCTTGCCCGGCTACACTGGCTTCCATTCCACCGGGTTAAAAATCCTCATCCTTGCTTTCAAAGCCCTTCATGGCCTTGCTCCTCCCTGCCTCTGTGACCTGCCAACGACATACCAATCTGTCTGCTCCATCCACTGAGCAGGTTCCGGCCCGCTCCATGTCCCCAGCCCGGCCCTCCCCGCCCCACCATTGGCAGTCGGGCCTTCAGCATTTCTGTATCCATCCTTTGGAACTCCATCCCACAGTCCCTTTGCCTCGCCACCTCCCTTGCTTCCTTCCAAGGCCTGTCTCAAGACCTTCCTCTTCCACCATGCCTTCGGTCACCCTCCTACCCCCACGCTCCCTCGCCTCCACCTCTCCTGATTCCCAACTCGGGTGCACATCCTTGACTATCCAACGCTTTGGGATGTCCTCCCGAAGTGAAAGGCAGTAATAATAATTACTCTTGCATTTGATATAGCGCCTCATTATGTCTTTGAGACATCTCAAAGCACAGAATACAGAATCTCACAGAATATGCTGTAAAGTGAATTGAGTGTAAAGTGTGGGCTGATCATGGCAGCCAATTTTGCACAGCAGTGCCCCATAAACAATCGTGGATTGAATGACCAAATTATTTTGAAGGGATTATTACCCTGGAAAAGTGATCCCACCAGTCGACTAACAACTGGGCTCCTCCTTAATGCTAGATAAACAGAGGTGTGTGGAGTAACCCAACCTGCCTGCCTGGGGATAATCGTTTCCTGTTGTTCAAAGAAAGGCTTTGGTTTATCATTGATTGTGTCCAATAGTGAGGGAGTGTATGCAGTTGTCACTGAACTACACCTTTCTGCCTCCATCTCCGACTCTAGGGCTATCGCTATTCTGATAGTCTGCCTGTCAGACTTCAAGTATTAGTTGAGCCTAATTTTCTATCTCAGCATCAACAAAACTGAGACTATCAGCGCTTCTTCACCTCAGGTGCTAACCATCTTAACCTCCTTGGTTGTTCCTTGGTTGTTCACTCCAACCTTTATTATTGCATGTAGCTTGTGACCTGTTCCACCACCTCCACAGTATTGTCTCACATCCCCTCCCCAACCCACCCCAGCTGAAACTTTCAATCCTCACCTTTGTCACTTCCAGACTTGACTTTTACCATGTCCGGCTCCAGAGCATCCAGAACTCCACAGTCCACATCCTTTCCTGCATTATGCTTCTCGCCATCCTCATCATTCCTGGCTCCCACTGACTCCTTTTCCCCTAGCAGATCCTCATCCTTACCTTCGCCTCGCTCCCCTTTTCGCATCAAATGCCTCAAATTGCTTTACACAATGAACTTCCTGTAAGAGGAGGTGAAAGTAATGAGATGATTGACCAATTAATTTTTTTGTCAAGTGTGATCAGAGGAAAGTTGGACAGGACACTGGAGAACTATCTATTCTAAATTGTGCAGTGGGATCTTTGAGCTCCTCCCGACCAGGCAGACAGGACCATAAACATAATAATCCTTACATTTGGTAAATACCACCTTTCACATCAGGACAGTCCAAAGCACTTCACAGGATATGCTGTAAAGTGGATTGACTGTGTGTTTTGTGAGTGAACGCAGCAGCAAATTTGTGTACACAAACAGCCATGGAGTGAGTGAATCTCATTTCTGACCTGGATTATTAATTTACATTGTGAGATTAAATTTTGGTGGCAGACTTGAGTCACAGAGTTCTAACTCAGGTGAGAGTTAGTATTTTCTGAGTTTGTGCTCATATGTGCAAGAAAGAAAGTGCCCTCAGTTTTGCTATGTCTTTTAATGTAATGTTTTGTTCACGCTTATCTTTCTTTTATATTTCAGAGAATGTCACCTTGCTGTTTAAAATATACTGCTTGACAGTGATGACATGTGTAGCTGCCACCTACACAGTGTTACTGCGATACACAAGGACGACCTTAACAGAAATGTATTTTGCGACCACTGCTGTTTGTCTCACAGAAGTGATCAAGTTAATTCTGAGTCTGGGCATCTTTGCAAAGTATGTGTTAGCTCACATTAGCTGCCATTAGCTCACATTTGCACAATAGGTATCATATTGCATTTTGTATCAAGTTATATGTTAGGTTAATACTGACTCCTAAAAGCAGGAGAGGTAGTTTATGCATTATATTACTTGTTTAAATGTTGTATTTGTGGGGCTTTTTCCCCCCAAGCTTCACTTTCCATGGAAAATTGGATTAATGCATCCTAAACATAAGGCACCTGGTGTGCAGGCCCTGTGCTGATCTGGATTTGGTGGACGTAGAGCTTTTTGTTCAAAGTAGAATAAAATGTGCTCAAAACTGTAATTCAGGGCATTGTACATCATGTGCAGAATCTGCTTTTGAATTTCAAGGCCAAATAGAATACTTGGGAAAACTGATCCTGACTTTTGGCAATCTAATTGGAATGTGTGGGAGCTGCCTGCCGAGCTATCTTCTACGTTTACTTCGTGGCTGGTGCAAGCGACTGCTGCATTTGCTATAAATTACTACAGAGCTACAATAAAGCAAGTCTGGGGTACATGAGCATCTCCCAGTGTCTGCGTCCCTTAATTTGGTATTGACCAACCAGACAAACAGCTTTGAAAGGGCTGGTGAATATGTAAGGCAAATTATGTCATTATACCATGTCCAGTAATGAACATGAGTTGTGAAAGCTTTTTGTCCCTCAAAAGTATAAAAATGGCTTAATACAATGTCTTTTAGTTCCTTCATATGTTTTTTTCCATGCTGAAAATTATTTCTTCATCTTTGTTCATAGGGAGACGGGGGATTTGGGTATGACATTGCAACACTTACGAGACCATATCCTAAGAAGTCCCAAAGAAATGCTGAAGCTCAGTGTCCCATCTGTGGTGTATGCTATTCAGAACAACATGGCCTTTGTGGCACTTAGTAACTTGGATGCAGCTGTGTATCAGGTACTGAATATTAGGATACTCTGTTCATAAAGGTTCATTGCTTTGTTCAGAAGAGTTCATAGCTGCCTAATTGCCCACAAAATATGCAGACAATACCCTTTACAGGAATGTTGTGAGCCACTTTAAGACATTAGAGGTACAATATCAAATGCAAGGATTACTATTATTATGATAAAAGTATTCTTAATGGTGGCTATCCAGTATTGAGTTTGGAGAAGTTTGCCAGAGAGTACATAAGAGAGCCTGAGGTGACCTGGGTCTTGTTCATCTCTCTGGCGTAGGGGAACAGCCTGTCCTATGCTGGAGGCTCCTTGATGTCACCTCAGAGTTTAGACCTACTTTGTGTGGAACCTTGTGGCCCAGCTGGTTGGAGGCTCGCTGCACTGCCCTCGAAATGAATTTTTTTTTTACAAAAACAATTGTGTACAATGTGCTTTTGAAATATCTAAAGATGTGTTAATTTGAAATCTCATGTACTGTCCCCTTAGGAAGCCTGATGCATCAAACCTTTAGGAAAGTTACGGTTATCCAGTGAATGAGCTTGATGGCCTATTTTTGTTATGTGTTCTCTAATATTTTCAACGACTGCTCTGAGCATATTTAATAAGTGGTGGCTGTTTATTGAAATATAATTTCCAAAGTAAGTTTTCAGAAACTATATGCAAAAAAATTGTCCTGGTTGTTCAGAGAGGCAGAATTAAAATAATGTAGAAGCAGTGTGTAAAAAAAAAAAAGAACAAATAGAGTTGTATTTTCTGTGACATTTATAGGTCAGGCTTGTGACGACTCTCATCCAGGCTATTGGGAGAATATTGTGTCATGGTTTTCTATTGTAATAAAGTGACATACTGTCAGCTCTGCTAGTATTGTTTGTAGGCATTTGTGTTTGTCAATACACCTTCAGTAATTCAGAGTATTCTCTGTGAATTCAAGATTTTAAAACTGCTTAAAATTGCATACCAAAAGTTTAGGGCAGCAACCTCAAGATTGTTTGCTAACTGAGGAAAAAGTAGCAGCATGCATTTCCCCTCTCTGATGGGCAAGAAAGTTATTGGCAGTCGCTTGATTTCTCATTGAACTGTGTAGTGTAGTGAATACCACCCTGCCAGTTGTTTTTGATGCACTTTGAGGCGTGATGTCCATGGCACCAAATGTTTCTGGTTCTTTATTTAAAAGCAGCAGAGCAAGGAATCACAGAATGTTACAGCTCAGAAATGGGATATTCAGCTCTTTACATCCGCCCTGATGTTTTTATAATAATAATCATAATCTTTACATTTGATAGAGTTTCATGTCAGGAGGACATCGCAAAGTGCTTCATGGGATATACTGTAAAGTGTTGTGACTGTATTGTGTAGGCAAACAGAGCAGCCAATTTGGGCAACGTCCCACAAAAAGCCATGAAGCGAATGCCTTTATTTGTGGGAATTGTTGACCAGGACCCAGGAGAAATTCCCCTCAGTTTTCATATTTAATTCATATTCCATGGCATATTTAATTCCGATTGCTTAGTTTACGTTGTGGCACCAATCTAAGTGAAGTTTTACTCTTTCTGCTTTGCCCGAATAAGATTCTAAGAAATCAGGCCAGCCATTTTGGGATAATTGGATTGGAGAATCAAGAGTATGTTTAGAATTGATGTTACTCTGCAGATCTTGCATTTTCTAAATCTGATTTAGCTAATGTAAGTGACACTCTAGTTTCACTGTATCTACAATGTATTTTATAGAGCTGTAAAGAGGCAAAAAACAACAATGAGGCCGGGTTTCCTCTTCCTTCAGCTTTTCCCTGGGCCACCACTCAAAAGCTAGTTAATTCAAAACTCTGCTGGCTGTACCCTCACCACCCCAGTCCTTGCTCTCTGTACCCTCACCACCCAGTCTGTGCCAGGCTCCAGTGGCTCCCTGTTGCAGAACAGGTCAATATCAAGATCCTCACACTCACTTACAAATCATTTCATGCCCTCCGAAACACGAAGGGTTTGAAGGCTGCTATATAATTGCAAGTTATTATTTCTTTACACCTTCCTGAAAGTAAACCAACTAAACTATGTTCACCAACTATAGCAACAAATGGCATTTATACAGTGCTCTTCAGGGGTGGAAAGTAGCATCTCGGAGACTGGCTTTCCTCTTGGGGGAGGGGAGGAGGAGCAGGAAAATGGAACTGAATTGGTTCTGAGGTGATGCCTGGCTGCAGAATTTCAGAATCAAGTCGATGCTCTGTGGCAGTCTTGGCCACCTGGTTTATGAGCCAAATGGGCCCACATTACTCCAAAGCAGTAGAAATTACAGTGAGGCCAACCGGGCTCATTGGCAGAACTTCAGAGGGGCCACCAATCACAGGGGAAAGGGAATTGTCCCACTTGGCTCCTGTTAACCCAGCTAGCTCTGATATCTCCAATGCTAGTTGCACAAGCAGCAGAAAACTTGCCAAACAGTGTTTGCAGTGGTAAGCTGTGCAGCTTTAGTTAGTTAAACTGCCAATGATGTCTCACCGCACATTCTGGAATTCCCCGAAGCCTTGGTGGCTCTTGTCAATCTGTAGCTAATGCTTTCCAGAATTGGGTACATAGGGTGTGTTCCTCCAAGAAGAGTCTGCATTCTATTCCAGTCACATAGACAGTCACATGTGTAGGTGGCATATATACGTGGAACTCTGTTTTGCATACTTTTAATCATGGTAATGGATTTATGAATGTGCCAGACGCTCTTCAGCAAAAAAAAGGAAGTTGTCCAGATGCTGTTCCTTTAATGCACATGAAAAATGCAAAGTTGGTTTCCTATGTACCTGTGGTGTTGACTCAGATGTGCACTGTGAATTGAGCTTGGGTTTCACTCTGGATTTCCAAGACACATTAAAGCAGAAATCATTTTTTATAATATACAAAATACACAGTATATTCTGTGAAACGTTTGAAATGACTCAACGACGTGATAAGGCGCTATATCAAATGCAAAGATTATTATATAATCCAGACTAAAATATTTCTATCTTTTTTGTTAATAGGAAAGGCGTAAAACTTTTGTTTTAATTTTTGTTGTCTCTATCCTAAGGTGACCTACCAGTTGAAGATTCCCTGCACAGCATTATGCACAGTCTGGATGTTGAACCGATCACTCAGCAAGATCCAGTGGCTGTCTGTGTTCGTGCTCTGCACTGGAGTCACGTTAGTGCAGTGGAAGCCGGTGGAAACAACGAAAGTACAAGTGAGTTGTTGGAGCTGTGAGATCTGATCTACGTTTAATTCCTCTTAAAATCAGTCCCTGACCAGATTGTTTTGATTTGCCAAAAAATAGATTGTATTCTCAGAACAGGAATTTCTTGTTCAGACGTCACTTATGATGCAGTGTGAGGCATTCTGTAAACCGTCTAAACCTTTCTAATAGGCGTTAGCAGATCCAGCTCATTGTCTGAGCCAATAGGTTTTGTTGCATTTTTTTTCAGACCTGCGACACATTTTTTTCTCCTTCCTCAGTTTCTCCTCTGAAGGTGTGGCTCAGTTTCATGTTCCATCAGCTGCCCTCTGGTTCATCAACAACAATTTCAGGCTGGGTACCATCTCGGAGCACTTAACTTGAGTCCACTTCATTCCAGTAGCCATTATCTACGTGTAGACAGTTGTGTTGCCAGTGTATGTCTTCTGATCCTGAAGATGTCACTGTTTGCCAATTTGTCTCCTCTCTGTTAGTGCTGTATTGGATAATGGGGTTGATCTTTGAAGATGGGGATGAGTGCAAGGTGATGGGAAGAGGGATGGTGGGAAATAAAGCAAACAGTTAGATTGAAGAGATGTTGTTTGGTTGTAAAGTGGATACTTTTGTTTCTTCCCGGGAGCCAACACTAAGTAAGATTCCCAGATACAAGCCTCACTGTGTCCTGCCGTTTGGTCACCATGTTGCACATTATCATTTGATATACGGAGTTCAAATTAAATTATAGCGCGCGCATGAGGGAGAGACTTTGAAGTTTGCCCTGAGGTGGGGAAGCAGAGGCACACAGTTTGTCAAGGATTGGACTAACCACGCAGGGTCCCATAGCGGCTGCACAGCCGGGTGACCAGCAACATAGCCTTGAGGGGCGCTGCGCAAAAGGTACAATGACCTGTGACCTGAGCACCATCTACCCCTCCAATGGCTGTCCTGCAGGCCCCACAAGAAACAGTGGCTTTGGGGGCAGAGCTTTGCCTAGCAATAAAATGGATGTGGTTTCTTGTCTAAATTAAGGCTGAGAGCAGTAGTTAAGGATACTGACGTCTCTAGCGTTTGATGATTTATAACTTGTAAATAAAATACCTTACGTTTTCCAACTTTCAATATTGTCTGATCAAAATTATATTTTATTATACCGAATCCTGCTACAATTGAATCTTATTTAAATGTAATTTTGATCATAATCACAGTAGAGCATCTAGGAAGGGAAGACCAGGGAAAACAAACTGAGTATTGCTGTGAATTGTATTGTACATTCTTGCGTTGTCCTTGTATAATAAGAGTAACACGATATATCATCTGTTGTTTCAGGTTGAGCAGAATCCAGTTTGGGGATTTACTGCCATAGCCATTGCAGTTCTGTGCTCTGGATTTGCTGGTAAGTAAATAGAAGCTGAACGGTAACTACGACAAGGTGGATTCGACTATGATCTTAATTTTCAGTTAACATGGTCCATATAAGCTCACCCTTGCTTGATCTCTGCTGCGTTTTTCGAAGTAACTGGTTAGGGCAACGGTATGACTTAGTGGGCCTGCACTGTTGCCTTGGACCTAGTCTACAGAGTGGGAACTTCAAATCTTAGAGGGTAAATGTTACTCAAGGTATAATCCAAATATCTTGCCCCTTGAATTGGAATATTTGGGCACTGACTCATCTGATGGGATGTGCCTTACAGTAATGATCCACTGTTTAATTACTTCAGTACTTGAAGTGACTTGTTTGTTTTCACTATAGGCGTTTATTTTGAGAAAGTTCTGAAGAGTTCAGATACTTCCCTGTGGATGAGGAACATACAGATGTACATCTCTGGCATCGTGATAACTGCAGCCGGAATTCTTTTAAATGATGGCGCTGGTGTGATGGAGAAGGGCTTTTTCTTTGGCTATACCCATTGGGTTTATTTAGTTATATGTGAGTACTCTCATCTTCATTTCTGTTTATAGTAGGCAGATAAAAGTTCTCTGACTTTTTTNGGTTAGCCGGGTGTCTATCACACACAGATGCCCACCTTCATGCTTAAGAGTTTTCAGATCAAACTACTGAGAGTTCCACTTATACCTAGTTCTCACTTGTCTGGTCAATCTCTCCCTGAAGAGACTGATCCTGCTCTAACTCTCCCCCAAAACTCTCATGCACAGTAGGATGATAAAATGAGCAATCTCTGAAAGTGAAGGATGTGAAACGCTCTGTGCAGTAATAAGAAGTAGTGCCACATTGGTTGAATAGCTGGCCCGCTCGTGCACAATGTTCCTAGCCCCACACTTGAACAAGAGCATTTAGATCAGGTACAGGAGAGTAAATAACAGCAGTGGAAGTGTCCCTCATAGAAGGAGAGAGTGAAACGTCTCCAGGTTTAGAGGGTAGAAAATGAGTGAGGAACAAAACACAACCCTTGTGATATAAGGATTGTCTTATAGGAAATATAATAATAATAATAATAATCCTTGCATTTGATATAGCGCTTTCACGTCAGGAGGACGTCCCAAAGCGCTTCACAGAACACACTGTAAAGTGAATTTGACTGTATATTTGTGGGCGAACGCGGCAGCCAATTGCGCACAGCAATGTCCCACAAACAGTCGTAGATTGAATATGACCAATGTTTTTTTTGTTTTTGGTTTTGGAGGGATTATTATTAGGCGTGTGGAGTAAGGAAACTTGCCCAAGGTTTCGCCCTGCCTGGAATTGAACTCAGGTCTCTCACTTGCAAAGCGAGTGCTCTAACCACTGAGCTACAGGACTCCACAAATGTAGTTTATATCTCATCCAAAGCATGGGTACCTTTGGCAATGCAGCGCACACCCAGCGCTGCATTGGAATGTAGTTCCATTGAAATGAATGAAAAGATCCTCTGTGGAAAGAGTGAACCTGTAGTCTTAAGTAACAAATGAGCTGATTCCTATCTTGTTGTTGATCTCTGTACTGAAGCTGTTTTGGTGAAGAACTGTTGTTTCTGGTTTTGTCTCCACAGTTTTAGCGAGTGTTGGAGGTCTGTACACGTCTGTTGTTGTGAAATACACTGATAACATCATGAAAGGATTTTCAGCTGCAGCAGCAATCGTCATTTCCACTATAGCATCTATCTTTCTGTTTGGCCTGCAGATTAGTAAGTCATATTCTCGCATAGCAATTTCCCATGAGCAGCTAGGAAGTGAACAACCAATTTTATCTAGGGGATTGTTGGTCGGGATACTGTGAGAAACGCACTTCTCTTTTTGAATTGTGCCATGGGATCTTTAATGTCCACTTGAACAGGCACACAGGACCTCAGTTTTATATCTCATCCAAAGCATGGGTACCTTTGGCAATGCAGCACACACCCAGCTCTGCATTGGAATGGCAACTTAGACCATATGAGTCGAAAGTCCTTACGTGGAGCTGGAATCCACAACCTCTAACTCCGAGGTGAGAGTTTAACCAACTGAGCCAACTGACGTCGTATTAATCGTTAGGTGCAAAAATCATTACATAGCTTCACTATTGATACACTGTTGGTGTGACAAAAGCTTCATGATTGATGAACCCTATTGATGACAGCTAGAAAGGTGCTGTTTATTGCCTTTAATTGATCCACTTGGTGAATTTTCAGACTGTTTGTTGGAAATGTCCAAGTAAGGCATTTCTATGTAGGGAGAACAATTTAAGTGAGTAAACTATCCTGGGTTTCACATCTTGGAGGTTAACTCAAAATCAGAACATCAAGAACCTTATTCTAAAGTGGTAGAATTATTTATTGATTATAGGTTGCCTTTTTTACGTCAGTAATTTGTATTGAGTATTTTCTTTCCCATTTCAGCTTCAACCTTTATAGCCGGAACAATACTCGTCATTGTTTCAATATACTGCTATGGTTTACCAAAGAAAAATACAACCACACTTCTGCCAGTTGAAGTAGAGAAGTCCAAAGAGACACTGAACGTGTGATCTGCAGGCGCTGTGTTCGTAAAAGGTCAGAACATCCATTGTCCTGATCCTCACCTTTTCACTGTCCAGCTGTTAAGGAAAATGGTACTATTGAATAACTTGTCATGTTATTGTCGAAATGGCAAATTATTGTTGCACTGTTGGTTGGTATCTGAATGATTGAGTTATTCAGTGCAGTGTGACAATCTAAACACATGCACAGGTTATAACTGAACCATTCTCTCACTATAATACAATACCTGTTTGAAGATGCCGTAAGCTCTTAAGTAGATCACATTCAGTGATGAGTCTTAAATTTTTCAATTAGCCTTTGATGGTGTTTTGCAATGTTACCTGGTAAACACGTTTGTAAATATAATATCCTTTATAAAATATTTGCTTACCATTTGTTAATATTATTGGTACCTGTTTATCAGTACGGGATGGATTACTACTTTGACCTGCTCTATTTGTGTCAAAGGCAGAGCAACTCGAGACTGATTTGATCAAAATTTGTACAGAATCAACTTTTAAATTCAATGTTTACATTTACGTGTTTTATGTTTCACACAAAGCTTAAAAGTCTTATATTTTGTTATCCAACTTTTTTAGCGTAACTATAAGAATGGACACTAATGTGGAGTGGAGTCCTGTAGCTCAGTGGTTAGAGCACTCGCCTTGCAAGCGAGAGATCTTGGTTCGATTCCCAGCAGGGCAAAACCTTGGGCAAGTTTCCTTATTCCACACGCCTAATAATAATGCCTCAAGAAAAAAACAATAATAATTTGGTCACTCAATCCATGACTGTTTGTGGAGCACTGCTGTGCACAATTGGCTGCTGTGTTTTGCCCACAAATAAACAGTCAATTCACTTTACAGTATATTCTGTGAAGCGCTTTGATACATCTCGAAGATGTGAAAAGCGCAATATCAAAGGAAGATTCACAAAGAACAAGGTCAGCAATGCTGCTATATTAGTTGTATTGTGTCAAAGGAACCCTTATTACACCTGCGGTACCCCACTGCCTGGTTTAATTGAATTTCTGTTGATTTATGCACACAATCTCACTCAGTGGCCCTGTTGAGACCAGAAGCTCTCACAGCTGATAAAGCGTCTCCCTGTCAATTGCAGAGGATCATGCACCATGCCACACCGGGGAAGTGAATAGTATTCCAGCAGTTCTCTTGTAAAAGTTTTAAAAAATGATTTACATAAAATGTGTTTAATGAGCTTGTGTGTGGTGCACATGCAGGTGTGTTTGGAACGAGGGAGGGTGAGGGGAAAACAGATCTTAATTTAAAACTACCGCAGTCCAGTGAAGCATAATGCATATTGAAGCATTCATTGAAGCTAGATATATAATGTTACTGATTCAGCAGTAATAGTTGAGCTCTCCATGCCGTGGTGAGGTGATAGCAATAACTACACATTTGGTTACCTGTAGGTTTTATTGCCTTGTTCTATAATGGTTCAACCCCCAATAAAGGAACCATGTGATACAGATAAGGTTTATAACTTGATCTTCCAGCAGGTTCATGGTTTACCTGCACAGGAAAGAGATGGTAAAGCAACTTCTGACAGGTTGAATTACATGGTATGAGGATTATTCTCTTCACTCTTGCACCTGAATGTTAGAACAAGATAATTGATTAATTTATGTGCTTCCTCTCTTCCCAACCCCTGTAACTGTGGGTGAGCTTAGAATTACAATTTTACCATGGAATAATGATTTGTTCCCCCCACTTTCTCTTAATAAATGCGATCACATTTTTTGTCCAATATTGACTTTCCCCAGATTCATTCACCTGGTTACCATCCTTGTTCCATGACTCTCTGTAATTTACTTTGTGATTTACAGGTGCATGCATCTGTTTTAAGTGATGGTGTTTGCAATTTCTTTTCATTTAGTTGAATGTTTTTGTGCCTTCAGCAGTTACCTTGGAGTCCTGTAGCTCAGTGGTTAGAGCACTCACTTTGCAAGTGAGAGACCTGAGTTCAATTCCAGGCAGAGGGCGAAACCTTGGGCAAGTTTCCTTACTCCACACACCTAATAATAATCCCTCCAAAACCAAAAACAATAATAAATTGGTCATTTTCAATCTACGACTGTTTGTGGGACATTGCTGTGCGCAATTGGCTGCCGCGTTTGCCCACAAATATACAGTCAATTCACTTTAGTGTGTTCTGTGAAACGCTTTGGGACGTCCTCCCGATGTGAAAAGCGCTATATCAAATGCAAAGATTATTATTACCTCGTGCAGACACTTGTTTTGAAGCATCAATATTTAAGTTGGTAGTTTGGACTGTATATATGGAAATTATTCTGCTGATATTTGTATGTTATTGTATACAAATACTGATTTCTGGGCCTTCAAACAAACTAATAATATTGGATATTTTCTACTTCTAGAAAGTAGTTTGGGCTGGCAGTATGAATGTATGTATGGAATATAAATGCAAAAAGAGTTGTGAAGTTCACCATTGTATATTTTATGATGAGAATTCATTAAACAACATTATGGTGGAAGTTCAGTAATATCTACTGGGGCTGGGCAATTGGGTGATATTCTATAATGTAAGTTTGTTTTGTTTACATGATCAGTGGATGTATTAATAAAAATGGATGATTGAATTTGAAACTTGTGACTGGAGTTCATATATTTTCAAGAAAGTCTACTTAGTATAATTTTGCTGAGGAGGGAGAAACAATCTACTATTGCTCTTTGATAATTATGTTTATCTTCAGGTAAAATCCTTTGGATAGATTTTAGTGGTAACACTGTTCACCTGGCTGCTGTGCTGATAAACTGTGACACTTCACCCCTGTTTCATACTCAACATGCTTTACATGACATGGGTTAGATTAGAAATGAAGTGAATTGTGTAACATGAAGATAGGGAGTGGACCACACTGTGGCTATTCCTATTCAATGCTATTAACGAGTGCCAGATAAAATGAGACAGGAAGCATACTCCCAGATTTACAGGTATTTAGAAACAGGCTGACAGGAGGCTAATGCTTTCTCCATATCCACCAGAGTACTGAAACATGGTTACAAGGTAGGAACTGGAGGCCCATCTCTTCTTTAGATAATACAATCAAACCACTACTTAAGAGCAGTATCTCTCAAGTGGAACCTTTTACAACAAGTTAAAGGAAATATGACTGCTAGTTAGTCAAAATCTAGATTACATAGATTATATGGTTGCTGATCTTGGGAGCATGAAAAAGAATGACCACAAACAAAAATAAAACCTTAGAACCAACAATATTGAACTTGGATCAACTTTAACATACATGTTTTGTTTGCTTACTAACCTTTATATAAATCCAATAATCCAATAATACCATGAGCAACATTATTCTTAAAATAATAAAATAATTATAAATCACCAAAGTCAATATTTATAGCCTATATCAAATGCTATTAATAATAACCAATCCCATTCAAAAAATCATGTTTTCTCGCCTGGCGGATATAATACAATGATTTTTCCAGTGTAAAGGTTTACACAGCAACATAAGAGCCTTAAGGCAACTCCACAATACATTTGCATTGTTCAGACCTTAGGGAGTGGTTTCTAATATAAAGCATTAAGTACAAGCATTCGACACATCAGGGAACAATGGTGCACATTTATTAACAAGGTATAATTATACAAGTAATATAGTTTGCATACTTTTATAAAAGCAGTTTTTTTTCATTCATCACATATTGTAAAAGCAATGTTTCCGTTGCTGATAATAATATAATAATCCTTGCATTTGATATAGCGCTTTTCACGTCTTCTAGACGTCTCAAAGCGCTTCACAGAATATACTGAATTGATGTTACGCTGAGTAGTCTCATTACATGGGCTAGAACAGGAAAGCAGGTTAACTGATCACATCTTCTCGACTGGAGTTATACCAAGAAGTTTCATTCCATTGGCAAGGACAGAACAGGTTGCCTTGAACAGTAGAAATCGTGCCTAGAAAAATGATGGATAAAGGTCAAGCATCTATTCTAAATAGAAACAGTAGAGGAGCAATAACATGATCTGATAAAGCATTTCACACAATTAATTAATTTGAAGTGCAGTGACAATTGTTATGTAGGCAAATATAGCAGCTTATCTATGCCAGCAACATCCAACCATGACCATGATCTAAACCTATGTGTTTGGGGAGCGTGAGTGGAAGGCAATATTGGCCAGACACTGCGAGAACTACCTGTTCCTTCCACACAGTGCCCTGGAATCTTTAATGTTCATCTGAAGAACCAGAACAAGCAGTAGCGGTGAGTTTCAAGTCTCTTCTGAATTGCACCTCCAAGCTAGCTGCACTCCCTCAGAAATACCCTGGAGTGTCGGCCTTGATTATCAATTCACAGGTAACAACCCATTTTTAAACTAAGATTTTGCAGACAACCCTTTTGAAACTGTTGATGCTGACAACTGACCAGGAAAGTGTGGACAATTAATTTTAAGTTTCTTTACATTCATCCCATGCACAGTTTAGATCTGGACCTCCATAAGTTTGGAGGCTTGTGGGCCAACACCTTGGTTAACTGTTGCTTTATTTGGCTTAATTTATTTTCACTGTGAGATAGGATTCCTTCCTCAGCCAAACACGTTGGTTCTGGTACAAATAGCCCTGGTATATACAAAGTTAATTTTAAGAATAACAATCAAGGTTTAACCACAAACTAGGTGGTTAGACTCCAGCCATACTCCAACACAAACTCTGGGGTCCCAAAGCCTTGGCTCTTGCCAACCTATGCCTAATACTTTCCGGAATTAAGTAAGTAGCATGCATCCTTCGAGGGAGAGAGTGCGCAGTCCATTCCAGAGGAGCAACATAGCCCCTTCTCCCAGGTATTCCTTGGAGCCAAGACATTAATTCTGGTACATCTCTGGCTGGAATGACAAATAATCCCAGCATTGAACCTAAAACCCCTCCGTGTGCAAAACTGTTTTCTCAAAAACAATATCTTACAATAGTTGAACAACCCTGTCATCTACTAACCTGGGCTACTTCAGGTAAACTGCCCTTTACGTGCAAAGTCCTGTGTGCTATAGAAACAAGACGACTGCAAGAAAAAGGAAGTTGGTTTCAGCACATTTAGATTTGGACAAGATAACATTCTTCTTTAAAATTAAGTGATCTTTACTTAAAGTCTATTGATCATGAGGAGAATGCATTCAATTATAACATGGTTTTCTTTGTTTTCTTTACACTGGTCGGTCACATTTATAAAGGGGTTTTGTGATACAAATGGTTACATGATGGTCGCAGAGAAATCTTTTGATGAAACGCAAAAGTAAGTTTTGTGTTTTGCGTTTGGCTGACCAAAATAAATCTTTACTGAAATTTTTTTAAAAAACACAAAGAACTTTTAAGTATCCACAGCAGAAGTTTGTGACTCACAAATTTCATAAATAATACTATATATAAATAATTACCTCAACATTAGAAGGTAGTTGACAAGATGCTTAGGTTGAAGATCCTTAGAAGCCTTGTACAATACTTCATCAAATCTTTATTAAAAATGGAAACAGATTGATTACATGAACGCCTTTTAATAACAACAATAATCCTTGCATTCTTTGCTCTAGCGCCTTTTACGTCAGGAGGACGTCCCAAAGCATTTCACAGGGTTTATTGTAAGTGTCCGTTTTGACTGTTTAGTGGGTTGAGCACAGCAACCAATTAAGTTTTATTACATTTACTGAATTCAATGAGTTTAGTGTGATGTAGTTAGTGATCAATTCATAAAACTCGCAGAGCCTTTCTGAACAGTTACAATAAGTTTGGCATCTATTTAAAGTTTCATAGTGTCTTTAGGGTAATAATGCTAAAGTGAAAATCTTTGTGCCAAACTTGATTGTTGTGCAAAATCTAAAGCTGACAAAATAAGTTATTTACTTGCAACAAAAATGAAGTGTGGCTCTTTTTCCTCTCTCCTGTCCAAACCTGGTCAATGACTTATTCATGGGGATAGAGTGTTTTGTTTAAAAACTAACTCAGAGCTACAAATCTAGCCTTGCACCAGAAAAAAAACGTGTGTTGCATATTTACTATTTACTACTCTGAGAATTGAAAATCCAGTACAATTTTGGCAATTTTTCCCATTGTTGAGGTTTTAAAGTTAATAAAAAAAACTTACAGAAATACATATATCTACACTTCACTGATGAATCATTTAGGCAAAGTATTACCCAGTATCAAATTGAGTTTTACAGGCCTAGAAGGAACCAGGTTTGATTCCTAGGCTGTGCTGAGTAAGTCATTCTCATCCAGGAGGCAGTTTGGAGTACCAATGGTGATCCCAGCACTCCTCGGCCAAATTAAGCTTTAAGGCCCTCTCCTGATCACTGGCCATTCTCCTGCTTAAAAAAAACATGGTGAGCATCAGATGAGGACATAACCTTCATACCTGAGAAGATGCTGTAGTAAAGTAATTGCCTGAGGGTCTTGTAGAGAAGCTGGGTTGAATTGAGCTTGTGGTCCATTTTCATATGTTCTCTGTATACTGAAAATACATCATTGGGATTGATACAGAAGAATGAGAGCAGACCAATAGCGAAAACACTTCATTGCTTTAGAATCACTAATTAGTTCACACTACTTTGATGCTATGGTAAACCTGTAATAGTTCTTGCAAACAATGCAAAGCAAGTCCTAAACTGACTACATTTATTTTGGTCAGCTGTGTGTCTGACACATTCCTCACCTGCAGAGCCTTGCATGTGTGTATTGCAGGAAGACTCCAGTATCTCCCTGGCTTTGGAGTACGCGATCCCAATCAAAGTCATAATCGGACAAAAGGGGACCTTTGAAGTCCTAGGATTATAGAAATGCAAAATCACCTACATAACAACAACATTACATTTGTAAAGCGCCTTTCATGTCGGGAGGACGTCCCAAGGCGCTGGACAGAAAGAGTTACGGACCCGAGTGGGGGTTGGGATGGGGGAGGATGGAGTGCAGGGGGGGTAGCAGGGAGATCAAAAGCACGGTCGAAGAGGAGGGTCTTGAGACGAGTTTTGAAAGTGGCAAGGGAGGGGGCGAGGTGGAGGGACTACAGAATGGAGTTCCAGAAGGTGGCGGCAGAGTGGCGCAAAGCCCAATAGTGGGGCGAGCAAGGCGGGGGACGTGCAGTAGACCAGAGCCCGCTGAGTGGGAGGAGCGAACAGGATGGTAGTGGGTTAGGAGGTCGGATAGGTGGGGGGGAGCAAAGACTGTGGAGGGCTTTGAAGGTGAGGACCAGGATCTTGAACTATATCCTTTGTGTGATGGGAAGCCAGTGGAGTTGGGCGAGGATGGGGGTGATATGGTCGCGGAACCTGGTGCGGGAGAGGACACGGGCTGCAGAGTTCTGGATGATCTGCAGCCTGTGGAGGGAGGAGTTGGGGAGGCCGACAAGCAATGAGTTTGCATAGTCGAGCCTCGATGTAATGAAAGCGTGTATGAGGGTTTCGTCGGCCTGTGGCGCAAGACAGTGGCGGAGCCGGGCGACGTTGCGGAGGTGGGGGAACACGTTTATATAGCATAGGTGGGGAGTGTGGAGGGCAGGGGGGGAAGCAGGGAGATCGAAAGCACGGTCGAAGAGGAGGGTCTTGAGACAGGTCTTAAAGTGGCAAGGGAGGGGGCGAGGCGGAGGGACTGTGGGATGGAGTTCCAGAGGATGAGGCCAGAATGGCAGAAGGCCTGTCCGTCAATGTTGGGGCGGAGCTGGGGGTACACATGTTTATATAGCACAGAAATCTATATTTAGAACACACATGCGTTTGCATAACATATTATGTTTGTAGAAACATCTCAGCTTGAAAAGAAAGGGAGAGTTGTATTTGAAAGAAACTATAGCAGCATACAAGAACAACAAATGACATTTATATAGCACCTTTCACATCAGGAGGACATCCAAAGATGCTGGACACTGAAGGATTTGCACTCGAGCTGGGGGTTGGAATCAAGAGCGGTGGAAGATAAGGGGGTGTGGGGGTGTAGATGGGAGGATGTCCAAAGGCACAATCAAAGAGGAAGTTCTTGAGACAGGCCTTGAAGGAGGCAAGGCAGAGGGACTTCAGGATTGTGGGTGGAGACAGAAAGGCTGAAGGTCCAAACATCAATGGTGAAGCAAGCAGGGCAGGGGACATGCAGCAGGCCAGTGCCCACCGAGTGGAGGGAGTTGGCAGGCGGGCAACGTTTTTCAAGTCACAAAGGCAAGAAAGAGCAAGGTTTTCAAAGCTAGGATGTGGCTCTTGAACTCGATCCTCTGAGGGATGGAGAGCCAGTGGATCCGGGTGAGGGTGATGGGGTCACAGAGCTTAGTGCTTAGTGGACACAAGCTGCAGAGTTCTGAATAATCTGCAGCTTGTGGAGGGAAGAGTTGGGAAGTCCAGCAAGCAGGGGTTAGCATAGTCAAGCTTGGATGGAATGGAAGCGTGGATGAGGGTCTTGGAGGCCTGAGGGGAGAGGTAGTGGTTGAGGTGAGCAATGTTGCGGAGGTGAGGGAAGGCAGAACGGGTCATGGCACAGATGTGGGGTTTAAAAAAACAGTTGAGGGTCGAACAAGACACCAAAGTTCCATACTTGCTCGGTGAAGTGTGCATCCATGAATAGTGATGCTGATACCCCTGTGTCAATAAATACAACTTCCCTCTACAGTAATATAATCTGTTACTGTCCTAGAATGAGTTAAATTTGATGGAATTCACAGTGTCTTAAGTCCTGCTGGCTCCAGCACTCAACATTTTATACAATTTTTCCAGGCTGCTCCACGCCTGAAATGTGTGGCACCAAACTGGAGGTGTTCCTTCATTCCAAGACTATCACTTATAACTGACCTCTGGACTTCCAGAGAATGCTTGTGCCAAATGATGCTCCTCACAGGCATTATGATGACCTTTGTGCATGTGTGAAACTTCATTAGCAATTTACATTTTGCAATGCCCGCGACCTAAGTAATGATAGTGATGGCTGAGAGATGTGCATGAGGTTCTGATTACTAGCCTGGATCTACAACTACTATTTAGGCAGTGAAGATTGTGAAACAAAATTCCATACGTGGGAATGTCACTGGTGCAGACACTCCTGCAACACACCTTTTCATTATGAAATCGGATCTCCTTTAATTTTACACAAAGAATTGCCTCAGGAACAATGGGATGGTGACTTTTTTGACATATGAGGAAGCTCAGTTTGTCTAAGCAAGCTATTTTAGGACCATGGTTATGGGACCTTCGCACATTCTCACTGTCTAGTCACTTTCCTGTTCTCACTTCAGTTCCATTCGCTCACTTATTTAAAGTTAGAATTAAATTGCAAGCTTCAACAACTACAATATCTGGTCTTTCTCATTTTTTACAACCTTACCATACAAATGATCACCCTATCATCCAGTGTATAACATTGTGACTAGCAAGAAAAAAATGAGTTAATACGTTAGCTAGCTCGTTAATCTCTGCTTAATCTTGAATTTAGCTACGCTTTGTGTCGACTAGCGAACATCCTTGGTTTTGTTTTATCTAAATAATGCAAATGACCTGCAACAAACATATAGGTATTTCCTTTCAATAGAAACTGACAGACTTTCAGAATTCACATTTCCCAGAAACAGGATTTATTGGGGTTAACTTTGTCAGTAGAATGTTAATTTATGTCGTCCACATGACCCAGATTTCTGTTTGTAACTCAGTCCCATCACATCCCAAGTTAGCTGTAATTAAATTTCAAATTACAGTAATTCTGTGGTAAAGAATTAGCCATTCAGTAGCAACGTGATGAAAATTTCCTCATGTCAGTTCTTACCTGGATAATAAGTGCAGCAATGCCAACTTTTTCTGCTGTATCTGCAGGGTCTTCAAGTTCCTTTGTTGCTGTATGTTAATAAAACAAAATCACACAATAATCTGCTTTCCCAGAAGAAAACATCAATGGAAATAGCATTCAGATTATTAACAGGTTTTCTTTGAGAAAGCTAATCCAAGAATGTAAATTTTCATGGTCAGTATCTGAATGCTTAACTTGATAATTGATAATTTTGACATTGAATTTTTATGGATTTTTTCTTACAAACTAAGTGGAGATGATTATATTTCCATCAGCTTCCTGTACAGCAGTATAAATGAAACAAAAAAAAACAACGCTCTCTGAACTGACCTACACATGGAAATCTCCCTGTCTCTGGAATGGGATGCGCACACTCTCCCTGAAGGAACATATCCTGCTTACCTAATTCCAGAGAGTATTAGGAGCAGGGGTCAAGGCATAGGAACCCCAAAGAGTGCATTGAGGTACTGCTGGAGTCTAACCAGCTAAAACTTGCTATTAAAGGCACTGTCTGGTAATCTTCATGCTGTTTGTCCAATTAGAACCACCCTACCCGTTAAGGCTTTGGCTTGCAGGATTAACAGGAACTGAGTGGGAAGAATTCCAGATCCCCTTGCCTCACTTGGATGGTCTCTGCTTCTATTCCGGCTGATGAACTAGCCTGGCTGGGTTGCCATCAGCAGTGCCCAAGAAAACTACAGACCCTCCTGCCTCAGGAACTGGAATACTGAGACCACCACGAGTGTTGGCTCAATTTTGACATACTGTTGCCAAGCAGGTTTAAGGAGACCTCACTTGCAGGATAATAAGGAGATCTCCCCCAGGATAATAATTCTTTTAGACACAGCACTCACTCTTTGAGGCAGACATGTTTTTCAACATTCTGGAGCGAGCTTCATTCAGAATATCTTCTAGAAAGATTACATCGCCCTTCCTGGTCTTCATCCCCTGAACTACCCCAAAGGGTATGTGCTGACAGCTGCAAACATTATAAGTAAAATATAGTAAGTGTGCAAACAGAAGATCTCTTAGCCCTGAAGTTCCACCAAGCCTTAGCCTGTAGAATATTTTTGTCTCAAAATTTATGGCAAACTTATAGAAAATACTTAAATTCAGTCGTAATTTAGAAGTTGTTTTTCTGTAAACAAGAACTTGCATTCATATAGCACCCTTCATGTGGGGTAGCGTCCCGAGCACTTAAAACTAAAGAACAGTCTCTTAGAGATCTACTATACCAGAAAAGAATGACTCATTGGTAAACAGTTCCATAACCACAGCATAGATCAGTTTTCTTTTCACCCTATACACCAATCTTGAAGCATTTGGAAATTCATTACTTGGGAGGATTTGGAAAGGGTCCTGAATTGTAAGGTTTGTACAACAAATTTTACTCTCTAGGGTCCCATTCTAAGCAGATGTTGCATAAACTCATTCATTCAATTCATTTATTGAAGCACTTCTGCCAATGTGCCACAACGTGCAATATCATGAGTGCAAAGCAGTGTACAAGAGATTGGTAATCTTAGATTCGTGTCTGTAAAGGCTGAGCTCCTAAATTCATCTACCACAATGAGGGAAGCACTAAATGAAATCCAGGTTCTTATCCATAGAAACAACAATAAATAAATAATAATTATCCTTTCATTTCATATAGAATTGCCCACAATTATAATTGTGGGTGAAACACGACAATAATAATTCTTGCATCTAACATTTTGGATAAATGTCAGTCAGTCAGTCACCCTGTACTAATCTCATGCAGCCAGTTACAGCGCAGTACAGGCAAAGATCTGAGAGCATAAAACCTGATTTATCTTTTGGGCAGGAAATAATAATTGATTTGGGAACACAAAGAGTACAAAGAGTGATGGGGCAGAACGAAAAAAATGCTTTTTAAAAAAAAGCAAATCCAACAACAGAAAGCACATGATTAACTCACTCTGTGGCTCTTGCTTTTCCTGACAGCAATTGGCGATGTTCCTCTGAAAATCCCACTGTTTCCACTTATTCTATTAATTTGTGACCAGAAACAGGTGGCACGGTATGTTCAAGCACCATTGCCCGGCACCATCAAGTGGAGTTCCCAATTACATTGGACAGTTGCAGAGTGAAATCTAATTTTCCCACACTTAGTGAAGTGGAAAAAAATTACCCTCAATATCATTCTTGTACAACTTCTGGCATCCAGTTTTGGAACAGCTTGACCCATTAGTTGGGACTGGGACGTGGTGACTGTAATTAAAGCTGAGCCCATAACAGTATTTAAAAGGGAATTGGATTGTTAACTGAAGAAAAATAATAATGTCAGCCTGGCTCTCCTCTGGCTCAGAAAGTTTTAGGTTCAAGCCCCAAGAATTGGCAAAGTAACAAAGGGATACAAAGGGTTCATACAGACTTTTGCAGTCTATCTCGCCAGTGTCAAAATTTGAAAAATACCATACAACATTCTATCTCAGATACCCTTCAATCCAAGGACAAAGAACAATAACTGTGTGTTGTCTTTTGTTTTTTCACCTACCGTTCTGCCCAGTCATAACCCATGATTTTCAATGTTTGAAAAACTTGCTGGAAATGCGTGTGCTGACCTTTATCTGTCTGAGGAACAACAAAAAACATTAATATAAAAGCTGCATTAACTCCAAGTAAACGTGCAGTACTTCCATACTTTTAAAACCTAAATCTAACACAATTCTCAAAATAATTAACTACAAAACACTAAATATTCTGCAATATAATTAACATTTTTATAGCGCCTTATAGCATGTCTCAAAGTGCTTTTCACAGCTACCTGAACCGGGTGGCCTGCCTGCCCCATCAGTTGGAACTGGGATGTGCTGACTGTAATGAAGGTTGAGACCACAACAGCACTTAAAAGGAAACTGGATAAGTACTCTGAGAAAATAACAAGGATATGGGAAAGTGGGAGAAGTAGCAGCACAGAAACAAATAGGTCAATTGACTGTGTTGTGGGCTGCAATTTTTCTTTTGATTCATTGAGTTGTGAGCTCCCAGTGTGGCAAAGGTAAAACTCATGCAGCACTGAGCCATACAACACATTTGTAGAATCATGTAGCTCAGTGGTTAGAGCAATCGCCTCGCAAGCGAGAGGACCTGGGTTCAATTCCCGGCAGAGCAAAATGTTGGGCAAGTTTCCTTACTCCACACCCCTCTGTTTACCTAGCAGTAAGTAAGAACCCAGTTGTCAGTCGATTGGCGGATCACTTTTCCGGGGGTAAGAATTCCTTCAAAATAAATAAAAATAATTCGGTCACTCAATCCACTACTGTTTCTGGGACACTGTTGTGCGCAATTGGTTCCAGTGTTTTGCCCACAAAATATAGAGTCAATTCACTTAATACTATATTCTGTGAAGCCGTGATAAGGCATTATATTAAATGCAAGGATTATTATTTTATTATTATTTAGAAAAAGCCCTTCCCTTCACGTAGAATAATGTCCTGAAGCACTTCACAGTGGCGAGTCTGGAAGCTGAGCAAGTGAGAAGGTGGAGGTGATGATAGATAAAGGTTGCAAGATGGGATTTAAAACCAAATAGAGGGGTAGAGGCAGGGAGACCCAGAGGTTAAGGGATAGTGACTGAAGGCTTGGCCACCAACATTGGTGATGACGAGTGAGGGACGCGCAACAGGCCCAATTTAGCTGAGCCAATGGGGCGAGCAAAGAAATGGGGTAAGGGAAGCTCAGCAATAGGGAGGCGGCTAGGGCGTGAAAGAATATGGTGCAATTCCCAGTCAGCGCAGAGTTAATTGAGCTCAGTTGGATGTTGAAATAGATAATGCACATTATTTTTCTGGAGGAGGAAATTTTCCAAAATATTCAAAAGAAATTTAATGTCTCAACCTTTTAGTAGCTACATTAAGGGTATAGTCAAAGGTCATGGTGTTGATCTTGTATGTAATGCTTTTTTTGTTGGAGAATTGGAACTGAAAAAAATATCTTGAAAAATAGGTCCAGTTCAGGGAAGAATGCCTTTCATAGAACATGTTACCTCAAGAGGGTTCCACTTTATTACAATTTATTCAAATGCACCCATTTAAAATAATAATTCTTACATTTGATGTAGTATTTTATTATGTCAAAATGTCTCAAAAGGTTTCTATAAAGCATAGCGATTGTGTATTTCATAGGCAAATGGCCAATTTGGGCACAACAATGTCCCACAAACAGCCATGACATAAATGTCAAATTTTGTTTGCTCTTGGGGATTGCTGACCAGGGCACTGTGCAAAATTCCCTTTTCTTTTCCCCCAAAATGGCATACAATCTTTACTGTACACCTGAACCAGTAAACAGACAACTCATCTGAAGGACGGATCTGAGTCAAAGGTTATGGGTTCCAGCCACACAATGGGATGTGAGCTTATAGTACTGGCTCCAACGCAATACTGAGGTGCATCTGTTGGATGAAATGTTAAAATAAACTCCAGTCTGCCTGCTCAAGTGGATGGTAACGATTCCATGACACAATTTCAAAACAGAAGCAAGTTTCTCCCAGTATCCTGGCCAACAATCTCCACGTTAATTAGTCATTCCTCCTTTGGCTGCTTGTGAGCCCTTGCTTTTGCTGGCTGTTGCCATGTTTGCATACAAAAAACAGTTACTAACTGTGAAGTGTTTTGAAAAGTTTTGACATGGTAAGATGACACATAAGGAAATATTTTCTTTTGTTGGTCATTTCCCAACTGTGTATTTGTGCGCAAACACGGCAGCATAATTGTGTACAGCAATATCCCACAAACAGCCATGAAACGAGTGACTAATTTTAGTTAGAGGATTTTTGGCCAGGACACCAGGAGAAACTCCCCTCTTTTTTTCGAATTGTGTCATGGGATCTTTAACATCCACCTAAACAGGCACCTAAATAGGACGGGACCTCGGTTTAACATCCCATCCAAAAGACGACACCTCCGACAATGCAAGGTACCCTCAGTGTTGCATTGGATTGTCTTCTCAGAGATTTGAACCCACCAACCTTTAACCTCAGAAACGAGAGTGTTACCACTGAGCCAAGCTGACACACATTTTAATTTTAGTATATTCCTTCAGTTACCTACCACATAAATCATTTTCTCAAAATTGTATTTTTCCATTCGATCCACTGCAGCTGCAATATCTCTGAAAATAAAATCAGGAAGTTATGGATATGAACTTATTTACGTCACTTCAACAACTGAGGCTGCTGACAATCAAGAGTTTTTCAACCCGAAAGCATATACAAATACAAAATATCACAACGTAACTCAAGGAGATTATTTACATATATACAGAATAGAAGAAAATAAAACTTCACAACTCTGATCATATCTAAAAGAAACTGTAGCATTCTGAGGACCTGTGTTGTGATTTTGATATTCTGTGAAGTTCTTTTGTGAAGATTGTAGCAATTTATATCATCGGTACAATGGTGAGTGCCAATGGTGAGTGAAGTCACCATACTTTTTTGGTGCCATTAGTAAATTGTATGCCAATCCCCCACCATTCTGTCATTATCCAATGATCAGGGAGATTCCTTAGAATGACATTAGCCAATGATCAAAACAAATATAATAGCAGAGAAGCTTGAAAAACAACTCCACACAACATCAAAAACAAAGTTGAATGGGTCGTATTGGGTTCGAATGGCAGATTTATCAAGTCAGTTTTCCACGTAATTAATTCCTTGTAATTTTCTCTCACCCATTCGGTATGTTCTCTACTTGGGTAAGTTCTAATCAGAAAGCAAAGTTTGCCTATAAAAATGATTATGGGGATGGGGTGGGTGGGGGAGAAAGAAGTGACTTTTGTTTTTATGAGCATGTTGATAGATTGTACAACATGTACTTTCTACATAATTTGATAACAGGAGGCTTTACAGAATGTACTTGCTGTACAGCTGGACAAACAATGGAGCTGCCAATTATCTTGAAAAGTGGGAGGAAATGTCTCTAGAGATTTCCGAATTTTATGTTTGATGAGTTCATAAATCATGTTCTACACTACTGGTAAAGAGCCACACACCTCATAAGCCACACCTAATCCTGCAAAATGCTCATTTATAGCTTACAGTGAACTGCTAATACTCTCAAACAAACTGGTTTACCGCCAGGCCAGTCAACTGACTCAATTGGATGGCCTCTCCTTCACTGAGTGAAGAATTATAGGAATGGCCATTCTGTGGTGTGGTGAATTAGTCCAACAAAATTAGTCCAAAATCAATTCTGCCATCCCTGCTTTTCTCATCTTTTTTCTCGGTTCCTCTCCTTTCCGGAAGAAATGTGACTTTTTTTTCCCTTTGGAACAAAATATTTCAGTACCTCACATACATTATTGTTGAGCGAGTGCAGCTAGCAGGGGCTACAGCTGCCTAGTCTTGACATCTGCCAGGCTTACAGCCTGGCTGTATGGAGCGCTCACCTCCGAGGCAGAATGTTGTGGGTTCAAGCCTCCACTGGGGCATCAAACTCAAAGTCTAGGCTGACATACTAGTGCTATGCTGGGGGTGCAATGCATTGTCAATCTTTGGATAAGACATTAAACTGAGATTCTGTCTGCCTGTCCAGATGGATGTTAAAGATCACATTTGAATAGCGAAGGGAGTATCTCCCGATGTCATAGTCAACAATCCCACAAAATTGGTGTACCACTCCATGGCTATTTGTGGAACATTGTTGCGCACAGAATTAGCTGCTGTGTTCATCTGTAAAATACAGTCACTTCCCTTTAGATTACCCCCTGTGAAGCGCTTTGAGACGATTTCCTGAAGTTGCTATACCAAATACAAGGATTAATATTTGTATTTACCTCCAACAGAAAGCACTCATAGGAAGAAAACCCAGCTGATTTTTGCTCAAAGAGAGAGAGGGAGGGCGAGTCCAATTATCATGCTCCAACACCTCTTTGGCTGAAACCTGCTAACTCGGCAATGGCCACAGATGAAATCAGTGAACCACTTTGTCAGCTACTGAGTGAATAACAGCGCTGAGCCATTGGGGAAACCACAGGGTATGCTTCATTGCTGCAGCTATGCTTCCTATTTCTGATATTTATTTTAACTGCAGCTTGTCAAAGTGCATTTATTGATCTTGTTTAAAATTGTAATTCTGCTCAAAAAATGTGGTTGACTAGAGTCAAGGATACTACTCTTGTCAAAATCACCCCCAAATACATTACTTTTAAACTCGATGTTCCTGAACACTAGACGGTTCCAATTTTTAAGTCTCAATTTTTTTTCAATTTGGATAATTTAAATTTATATGAAAAAACTAATAGACAAAGCAGCACCGCAGCAAGGGCAAGTAGTTCACCCAGCCAAAAAGAAACTGAGCTCCTTTATCTCTTTGAATTTGTATATATTAGCCCTTATATGTACAGTACCTAAAATAAAATGTTTTCAAACCAAAAGAAAATAATAATCCTTTCCTTTGATGTAGCACCTTACCACATGGGAAGGACATGTCAAAGGACTTCACAGGATTTATTGTGAAGCACAGCACACTGTGTATTTTGGGCCAAACATGGCAGGTAATTTTGTACACAGCAATGTCCCACAAACAGCCATAAATGAATGAGACCAATTTTATGTCCCTTCTCTTTTCAAATAGTATCATGGGATCTTCAGTATTAACCTGAACAAGTATTAACCTGAACAAGCAGACAGGACCTTGATTTAATGCCTCACAGGCAGGACGGCTCTTTTAGCAATGCATCGCTTCCCCAGCACTATAGTGGATTGTCAGCCTAGATAGCGAGGTCAAGTCCTGGCATGAGGCTTGAACCCACAATTTTCTGACTTAGAGGCTAAAGTGCTACCAACTGAGACACACTAATACCTCAAGTGATGATGGACATTGCTTTCAGGTTTCTCCAGAAAGTTCTGCGATAGAAACATTTCAAACACAAGGTTCAAACAATCATTTTTTTTCAACAAAGGAAAGCTCTTGCCTGGTCAAATACAGAGAAGTCCCATCGCTTCGAACCACCGTTGCATAAATGGACAGGTCACCATTCGGTGAAAGATCAACGACACCCGTTCCTTGCCTTTAAAAACAAAAAGTCAATTCAATGGGTAGAAAAAAACAATCAAGTGTGTAATTTTACATTATTCTTCACTCTCAGAATCGCATGTGGCTCACTTCTGCATGATGAACTTCCCAGGGAGGTAGATTGTGTCAGCATATTCAAGAGAATTAACTGGCGACAAGTTAATTGAAGGGAATAAAGATGGTGCATTTCTTTGCCTTGCCAGCTGCAGCTGTATTTTTCGGTCCTGTGTATTCCTGATTTACACCACATGGATTCAACATTGGAGATCAGAAACTAACACACCCAAAAGTGCAGAAACACACTCCTGTCGGGAACTAAGGTTAACATTTTGGAGCACATCCATGAGTAAACCATTGTGGGGGTGGGGGAATAGAAATGAGATAGAAAGTTAATGTATTATTGGTTTCTAAATTTTGGTCCACTTAGATGAGTCCATCCCATATCTGTGCGCTAATTCTCTACAACTCAGGATTATCCTGCAGCCTGGCTCAATTGCTGGCACTCTAGCCTCTGAATCAGAAGATTTGGGGTTCAAGCCCCTCATTGAGACTTAATGAGCACAAAGTCTTGGCTGACACTCCAATGTAACGCTGAGGGAGCACTTCATTGTCAGAGATGCCATCCGTCAGATGAGACCATGAGGTCCCACCTGCCTGTTCAGGTGGATGTTAAAAATTCCATGGCACCATTCAAAAAGAGAAGTTTCTCCCAGTGTCCCCCTAGTCAACAATCCCCGAGCTAAAATTGATCATTCCCTTCATAGCTGTTTGTGTGACATTGATGTGTGGAAATTGATTTCCAGGTTCACCTATAAATTCATAGTCACTAAAATTTACAGTATTGAGCCTATTGTCCTGCATGTTTCTTTTGGTGGGAGTGAGATTTAGTAGGAACATCAATGAAGGTGGATTTAGGAAAAATACACGGTTCAAGGTTCAAATCCCAGGAGAGTTCACTCAGGCGATTATCCTGCTAAGGTAGAGAGAATAAGTATCACATCTGAACACATTCAAGCCTAATGGAAAGCAACCTTCTCAGGCACCGCACCCTCTTTATCTCTCTGCCTGAAATTAACACAAGGATGTCTGAGTTACAAAAATGGATTTACAAAATTACAAGACTAAGTTAACAATTGGTGTACTGAAATATACGTCAGCCATCCACATCTGGTTTTGTACGCATTCAAAGAAAATAAAGGTTGTATTAAAGACACACACACACAAAATCCTGAATCATAAAGCAAGCAGTTACTACTGTTAGCTTATGGGACTATTTATTCTGGGCCACCTGCTATTTACGCTATTGATAAATGGTAGAGGCAAGTGTTTCCTGCATTATTATAACATTTCCTGAGAAAACTAAGCTATGTCAGCAGGTGATTGGGCCAGTTAAGCAGATGGGGTGAAGATGGTGGGTGGATTTAATGTGGCCAAAGGTAAAGTAATGCACGTGGAAACAGGAAGCATGAAATATGTACATATGAAAAGGCATCTGTTAGAAAGGTGAGACAGGAAAAGGATTTGGGTGATTTTCATTATTTACTGAAAATGATTTGTCAATACGTACTTGTATTTTAAATGCCCTTGCAACATATTCAAGTTGAAAACAGGTAATTTACACTTGTATAACTAATCTGTGAGACCACATTTTGAATATTTATGAAGACGATAATGACAAAGACTTGGATTTAATAGACCCCCATATAGAGAGAGTCACAGCACTGGACTGGTTTGCCACTGCTGAAAAGCAATAACTGACCTGGAGGCCAATGAAAAAACTCAATTACCAAAGGACATGATCCAGGATTCTTACCCCCAGAGAGATGTAGATAATAACCTAAACAATCTAAATAACATGGACTGACAGTATCAAACTAGAGGACACAAATACAAAATTAAAAAGCCTCAAGGGAAATAAGAGAACTGAAATTAAATTTTAACATCCATAGTTACTGATGAAATTAGGGAGCAGGACTTGTTCTCTCCCTCCCTTTTCCCACTTTTGTTAGATAATAATAATCCTTACTGCTTACTTAATAATAATATTTACTTTCTCCTCTCTCAAACAATCACATTCTTACACCTTCCATATTCGCTCACTCTCTGCCTCACTCTCATTTACTCTCAGTCTTTCTCTACCACCTGCCATTTTATCCAGGAGCTTATTGGCCAGGCCACCAGCTCTTTTCAAACTGTGTTTGAATGAATTAAATCAAGTTCCTTAATTCACAGATCTTGAAACTACTTTAGTGGAGAGCCTGACTGTAAACGGGCTGAATCTAAAAGTGGGGGTGTATCTTTATTGAAACTATACAATAGATTTATGTTAAGAGAGACTTTCCAGGTGCACTGGGAATTATATGTAGAAATTTCTTTATTCCCATCTTCCCAGCTGTGTTGAAATTCTTCCAAGTTATTTCAATCCATTGCTCAAGTCTACTTCCAGCCTGTGCACCTACATCATCACGATCTATAGCTGCCAAACTCTTCACTTTATTTGGGATTCAACATTGCTAATCACGTCATCCAGCAAATTACATCCACGGCCTCGTTTTTTCACAATACAATGACTGTGTCAAATCTTACTTTGTTTTCTTGAGCAGTCCTTTCTTTTCCAGCAGCCGTAGAAAATCATGTGATCTCTTCTGGTAGACCGATTCCCCAGAGAACTCATCGAAGTGCACGCCAAGGCGCTATTGGTGTAAAGATAACATTTAAAACCTCAATCACAAATTTACTTCCATGACACCTCTCAAACCAGAACAGAAACACCTGAATCCCAAATATTTTGCAGAATTCCAAAGCACAGGTGACTGGGTCAAATTGTACCTGATCCATAAATTGATATTGCCTTCAAGGCAAACGGGGATTTAAGACTTGGTACTTTGTGTGCTACTGTTCAATTCTATGTATAAACTGATGGTGGCTAATCTGTGGCTCGCTGGGCCATCAAAAAGCGTCCCCCCCAACATTTGCACCAGTCTAGGTAAGTCACTGCTCGATCGGTATTGTGTTTTCAGTTTCTCTTGATTGAATAATTCTTGATTTATGGCATAAAACAAAAAATATACAAACAAGAAAAATTATTTTGTTGGGCAATCATAAAGGTCGGCCACCACTGGTACAAGCCTTATCCACTGCACTTCAACGATACTGCCGTACAATCAACAAAACAACTGCAGGCATGTTAGTTGTGAAAAATTATTTAAAAGCTCAATCATGGACTTCAGCCACCTTAGGGAGAGGAGAGAAGCGTTGTATAGATCAGTGTCTCCAGTCGCATTCAAATAAAGTACACTTATCTCACACATACTGACTGAGATCAGGCAAATAAAGTAAAATTTCCTCCTGGGAACCTTATGCATGTCCCACAGACTCACAAGATCTTAGCTCTGAGGCCATCTACCTGCAGTACACACACTGTACACCCCGAGATGATTTTTTTCCGCAACAGACCGCCGTCACATTGATGTCTCATGATAAATGCTTTTATTATCCACGAACACAAAAAGAATGATAAAGCCAAAGGTGAGATTACATGTTGCAGACAGAAGTGAATAAACTCACTCTGGATAGGAAATAAGAGCATAGATGGGGGAGGGAGAAAACAGAGGAAGAAAAACGATTCGAAATCCAAGAGTTTAGAGCTACACATGGGTGGGAATAGCTTAACTTGCAATATCAAGAGCATTGCAGTCATAAAGAAAACCTTAATTAAGAAATTGATATAAACCAAAACGACCGAATACTAATGCATTACTCCTAAACCAAAAGGCATTTGATAATAAGTTTAGATCAAGGTATCATTTATGTGGGCCCTCCATGTAATGGTGTATAATCTACCCACCACTGCCCACCCAGAACCAATGCCTATCACAGAAACAAATTTGATAACAATGAAACCTCCACCCGTCTTGGGTTTGGTGGAGTCGAGACACGAGGGAAAGGAAAAGAAATAACGCTTATTCTGCAGAACTCTGTCACCAGTATAACAAAGCAGTCACAACTTTACATGCATTACCTGGTAAATGTTTGCATATTCCTCGATGCTGATGCACCTAATTCGTTCCCAAAATGCCAGTGTTGACTTGTCCCCTGCCTCCAGTTTCCTGAAGAACTCTTGTGCTGCTAACTTGATGTTTTCATCACTCTCTGCCATTTTGTTCACTTGGACATAAACCTTAAAAATACAAATAAACCAAGTGCTGTTTAGCGCTGATGAATTAGTCCAGAGCAGGTGCTTTTTTGTTGAATCGTTATTATTACGCTAACATTTATCAGGATTCTTATGTACTGTCCCCATTATTTTGTCCACAAAATATACAGTCAATTCACTTTAAAGTATATTCTGTGAAACGCTTTGGGATGTCTCAAAGACATGATAAGGTGCTATATCAAATGCAAGGATTATTATAACCAATAATTATTAATCAGATTGTATGAATTAGGGCTTTGTGTATCTCTGAATTTAGAGTCATTTCATTCATGAAAAATATAATCCACCAACAATTAATAAATGACAAAATGTATTAAAATCTTGGTTTTAAAGTTTTTACTTACATCAAAAAGATGTTCCAATGGTTTGGATTTCAGTTTCTCTTCCGAGCCAAACTGTTGAAATCCGGCTCCCAGCAACCCTAAATGGTTAATGAAAAATAAATCCCCAGAACAGTAAAGGATTTTATTGTTCAAATTATCCAATAATAAATAGATATGTGCAGTAATTAGAATGCCAGGTTCTCTCTCAAAACACTGACTGGTTGCAGCTCTCCCACCAAAGGTCATACACCTAACTTGATTTAGTTATTATTCCTCATTTCTGAGTTTCTAATTGAATCTCACTTTACAGATTAGTTTTCCTTGTTAATCTACCAACTCAAAAAAGGACCATTAGCACTAAAACCAAAGAGATAGCTCTGCTATGCTACTCCTCCTTCAGACGGCAGTACAGGTGAAGTGGAAACGATGAGAAATCAAGAGTTCAATTCAGGGGACTCTTGTTCTCTCCAGGTAATATTGTGTCATAGTTTCAATACAGATATAAACAAATCCCTGTAGTTGAAGTACTGAAATTCCTCCCGTCTTCTGAACATGTGCTAATCTATTTTCCATTGGTGTCGATTGCTGGATACACCCAAGAGTTCATTTATCATGTGGAAGCCTCGCCAATAAAATACAGCCAGGATATGGAGACTAGAGAAGCTGGGATTGTTCTCCTTAGAGCAGAGAAGATTAAGAGGAGACTTTACAGAGATGTTCAAAATTATGAGGGGTTTTGATAAGAGTAAATAAGGAGAAACGGTTTCCACTAGCGAGTGGGTCGATAACCAGAGGACATAGATTTAAGATAAAAGCAAAAGAACCAGAGGGGAGATGAGAATTTTTTTTTAAGCAGAGAGTTGTTACGATCTGGAATGCACTGCCTGAAAGGGCGGTGGAAGCATTTTCAATAATAATTTTCTAAAGGGAAGAGGATATATACATGAAAAGGAAAAATGTGCAAGGCTGTGAGGAAAGAGCAGGGGAGGGCGATTGACTGGATAGCTGTTTCAAAGAGTGGAAAGACCTCGTGCTGTGCTATACGATTCTATAATTCTATGTTATTTGGTCCATGGAAGGTTTCACAGCTGAGATTCATCCTAACTTAACTTCATTTTCCAGCAGTGGTCTTTGAGTTGTGATCTGGAAACCAATCCAATCCATGGACACTGAGGCCAACTTTAGCATAAATAAGACTGCAATGTTTCATATAAACTCACCAAATTGCATGCCCCAGTCTCCGAGGTAGTTCATCCTGATCACTTCATTTCCCAAAGCATGCTTTAGGTTAGCTATGAAGTTACCTGCCAAAATAACACAAATATATTGATTTATCTCACTATTGTATTATGCCTTTTTAATACATCAAAATTATCCCTCTAGCTAAAATTGTTCTAAACCTATGCTGACAAAATAAGTACAATGTCCCTTTTTAAATCTTCCTGCTATCTGCTAATACAGTTTTTTTAAATAGAAAAAGGGTTTGTCAGATCTATAAATGCTGCAACACTTTTTGCACCTACATCAATGCAACATTTCTTTAGGAAGGGAGGGGGCATCTACTTAAAAAATAACAAACATGCACAAGAATGTTCTAAAGCACTGCAGCACCCCACCCCTACATTGCTCGAGAGTAGTGAATTATTTTGCATGAGTAGTTCCCCTTTATCCCGTCACAACGGAGTTCACCCTGATAGGTAACTGAAAAGCAGGAGATAACAAGTTAGTAGCCGTTTAAGCACAAAGGAACCCAAAGCTATTCTTTCCTCCACAGAAGTCAGGATTTGTTACTGCGATCACTGAATTAAAAGCAACCCAGATCTCCCTTCTTAACATCCACACAGTAGAATCGGTGCTCACTATTAGACCACTAAGGAATTCCACTAGAACTTCCTGAGTCTCTGGCAGGAAGCGCAGGATGCAAGTTATGCTTTATCCATTTAATGAATTAGTTAGGGTGTCTCATTGGGACATGGAACTCTCGGACTACATGAGCCAAGAATATGGTTTCCTTAAAACATGGCGACGAAACAATAGCCGCAGACAGAAATGATCCTAAATATTGATTTATTAAAAAACACAAAAGGTGAAGGATGGGTTCCCTGAATCAATGTGATGCATCCGTTGGGATTCCCCACACCCGCAGGTTCCATGGAAAAGAGATAGAGCAAGCACGAACACTCAAGGGAATTAGAGCAAAATACTCATTTGAGCAGAAAATGTAAGTAGCTCAGAACTGCACAAACTGCACAACTTAATTTTAACAAGGCAACCCTTTTCTACTTCAAAGAGAACAAAAAGCCACAGTACTTTTAAACCATCTCTGCTATATGAAAATAAGCACCACCTCCCTCCCCACCATCCAAATTCATGGTCATCAACCAGTCTACATGGCAAACTGTCTAAATGATTGTGACCATTTTAATACACAAAATAATATCCATGTTTCTGTAGTCAGTTGGGGGATAAATGTGAACTCTTCTTTCCTCCAGGAGACCACAAAATGTTTAAACTGCAATCTTCCTTTTTTTTGGTCAATCGAGTATCTTGACACATGCAGAAATTCATTACCATAGTTAAGAGTATCCAACCAAATAGAGTTCCGTGCATCCCACTTACACATGGAAATCCATGTATATTGGAATGCAATTCGCACTCTCACCCTGGAGGAACATATCCTGCTCACCTAATTCCAGAGTGGATTGGGCGCAGGCAAGCAAGAGCCAAGGCTTTCTAATCTGTTCTACTGATGGAACATTTGATACCTGGGAGCCAGGGCATGGGCCCTGGAGTAGGTGTTAGCTCCCATTTTCATAATCAGACAACAAGGAACCGTTGTGAGGCCCAAGATATGGTCTACCTGACCCAAGAATCAGTGGTGAAATCTTCCCACTCACTCACAAGCTTGACCAGGTGTCCTCCAACTGAGGTTTCCTGCTTGGTCGTGAAGCGTCCTTATCTCACTGGATGGTCCAATGAAGCTGGGGATTGAGGAGAGAGCAGGGTCTCTTGAACCCTGTAGAAAACAGATCTCATTGACTCAAAAGGAACACTGCATGGGCTTGCAACCGTGGTGGCCTGTGGCCTATGGAAACCCATTACGATTAACCTAGAAATTTGGAGTTTCCTCAATCCTTTCCAGAAAGAGCGGCCTGTTGTCAAAAGCCAACCTGTGTTGTATGTTTTGAGGGGACGTCAAAAATATGAGCAAGGCAGGTCATCACAGTGCGACTTCTTAAATAGGACAACAAAGTGCATGGTAGCATCTCGAGCTCAGGAACGCACACCTCACTTAATAGTGGAGAACTGTGCCATATAGTGCACATCCTGGCCCTAGCTGATAGTACACAATATTTGTCAATGTCCACCCAGAGGACAGCAGTCTGTGGGTTTGAGCAACCCATATTATCAGACTCTATTTTTCCAATGTTGTATCTTTGTAGTAAGGATTTTCGCCAGCATCAACATTTGGACCTGGCAAGAAATGCTTAACGTTTTCAAGCCAGGTTGTATTAAATTAGAGATCTGACAAATTGCAGTATTTAACAAATACCTTCTGGAACACAGATAATTGACGTGCGTAGTTAGTTTCACCACTTGAGAAAACGTTTGGAGGAAAAAACGAGTAACTCTAGTCGAGGTGATGTGATGGTTTCACCTGAAGTATTACTAAGTGAACACTCCGCAAGTTGACACGAGAGGTTCGGTAAAGAAAGACTCGATCATTTGATTTCAGCCTTGAAGAACAACAACTCTGTATCAACTGTGACACAACACAACAGTCGCTACAATTTCCTGTAAATCCTCTAAAGCACATTTAAACACATCTCTAGAACCTGAGCTTTAATCCAAACCGGGTGATGAGATGATGACTCCTTTATTTGCTGGCTGTAATGATCATCCCATGTGGAATGAATTAACAGTCTCAACATTTTGTCTAATAGTACAGAGTTACACCAATATACAGAGCAGTGGTGGCAATCTCACCCAAAGGTGTGTACCAAACAACAGTGCCAGACTGATATGGCTTGGAGTGCTTTTCTGAGATTGGTACAAGATATTGTGTGTGCGCGTACGCACACAATGTGTGTGTGGGTGTGTGTCTGTGTTGTGTATTTGTGCGTGTTGTGTGTGCGCGTGCGTTGTGCATGTGTCATGACGTACGCGTGTGTTGCGTGTGTGCATACGCTGTGCGTGTGTGCGCGGTGTGTGTGCGCGCGCTGTGTGTATACGTGCGCATTGTCTGTGTGTGTGCTGTGTGATGTGTGTGTGCGTGTGCAGTGTGTGCACGTGCTGTGTGTATACGTGCGCATTGTCTGTGTGTGTGATGTGTGTGTGCTGTGTGTGTCTGTGATGTGTGTGTGCGTGTGCTGTGTGTGTGTGCACGTGCTGTGTGTATACGTGCGCGTTGTCTGTGTGTGTGATGTGTGTTTGTGCATGTGCGCACACGCTGTGTGTGCGTGCGCACCTTGTATGTGCGCGCAGGCCCTGTATTTGCGCGCATGCTGTGTGTGTGCTTACTCTCTATGCAATTGCACTGTGTGTGTGGTGTGCGCGGCGTGTGTTTGCGTGGTGTGTGTGCAGTGTGCGCATTGTGTGAGTGCGTGCACTGTGTGTGCGCGCATGTATGCAAGCGCGTTGTGTGTATGTCTGTGTGTGCGCTTTGTTTGCGTGCTGTTTGTGCATCCTGCTTTGTGCACGCGCTGTGTATGTGGTGTGTGTGTGTGCGCGTGCTGTGTGTGCACTTGCTCTGTGTGTGTGTCCACTGTGTATGTATGTGGTGTGTGTGCGCGTACTGTGTGTGTGCGAGTGATCATTGTGTGTGCGTGCGGGTGCTGTGTCTGTGTGTGTCCGCTGTGTGTGTGGTGTGGGCGGTGTGTGTGGTGTGTCTGTGTGCGTGCTATGTGAGTGTGCGCATGTATGCAAGTGCGCTGTGTATATGTGCTGTGTGTACGCGCATTGTGTGCGCGTGCTGTGTGTGCGTGCTGCTTGTATGCACGCGCTGTGTGTGTGTGCGTGCTATGTATGTGTGCACTCTATGTGTGTGTGCGCATGCGCACTGAATGTGTGTGCATGTGTGTGCGCTGTGTGTGTGCACGTGAGCTGTGTGTGCGTGCGCTGTATGTGCATGCTGTATGTTCGCGCATTGTGTGTGCGCTGTGTGTGCGCTGTGTGCACTGCATGTGTGCGCGCGCTTTCTGAAATATTGGTGGTTGATAAAATATGATTTGATTGAGAATAAAACAATAAAAAGGAATCAACTTAAATAAAATATTAAAAACAGTATATAAACTACTGCTGCTGCTCTGCAGGAATTCACTGTAGATTAAATTCAGGTAATAATTTAGTGATTGTGTCATTAGAGAGTTCTTCAGCCATCAGCATTTTAAAATAAATTTGTACAGTTTGGAACAGAATACTTCACAAAAATATTTTTACTAAAAATATAGAGCATTATAATCTTTTGACCAAATGCACAATGTTCAATGACAATGTGCAAGTGCAAATTGGCATACAGTATATGCAATCAAAGTTATTGATGTAACCGGGGCAAATGAACCACACATTTCTCAACATCACTATGAAGCACAATATTACATTAAATATTTACTTTCTAGCTCTTCAATTTTTTTAAAAAAATACTGAATTTGCACCGAGTTTCATAGCAAAAACAAACATAGCAGCTGACAAGGGTAACCCCCCCACCCCCACACACAGCAAACAAAGTGTAAGGATTATTATTATAGTGGTATTTTCAGCACACACTGATCAGTACACAAATCAGGTACAATTCATTATAGGTTATGCACAGACACTGAATGAAATATTAGCTGGGTGGAAGTGATCAAAGAGGAAGCCATCTTACCTTTGTATTCAGAAGAAAAAAAGGTTAAAGCTCTTGGTTACATACAGTTGCATAGAGTGATACAGCACAGAAATAGGCCATTCAGCCCAACCATGTCAGTGTTGATATACCACACAAGCCTCCACTCCTTCTATTCCCCTCACCTATACCCCTCTGTTCCCTTCTCCCTCATGGATGCTTCATGAGGTCCTCGCATTTTATACCATCTGAAGCCCTTGAGATATCTTCATCCATAATTTCCACCATTTAAATAAAGAGCAAAGGGTTCTTTTACAAGATATGACATCTTGCAACAATAAATTAAGTTTGCATTAAATAAACTTTTTGATGATATCGTTCTGTAATAAAAACTATAACGTAACGTAAATATTTCAATTTTCCAACATTGGAAAGTTTACGACAATACTTAAGGTCACGTCTCTTTCAATATTGTTTGCATTTAACTTGTACATCAGTTAATATCCAAATAATTTTGAGATGATTACTTCTAAAATAACTCAGTCCGCACTTACCTATTATTGTTGAACGCAAGTGACCAGCATGAAATCGTTTTGCAATATTGGGTGAACTGTAGAAAAGCAAAAAACCACATTACTCTTAAGAGGCCTATTCGTGAAAACATTTACACAGTGCATTTATATAGCGGCCTTCATGTAGGCTAATGCCTTAGGGTGCTTCACAATGACAGGATTGAGTGCTGAGCAAGGCAGGGTGAATGTGACCATAAACACAGTAAAAGACGTAGATTTTAATTTGGGGTTTAAAGACAAATAGAGAGGAGGTGGGATGGAATGATAGAGGCAAGGAGTGCCTCGTGATAGATGGGGCATAGTAATTGAAGGCTTGGCCCCAATGATGGCATGGATGGACGAACGACACACACGCAGCTGGCCTGTGTTAGCTGAGCGGAAGGGGCAAGCAGAAGGTGGGGTATAGAGAGATAGGGAGGTGCTACAAATGCCGACGGGTTCATATGTGAGGGTGAAAACCTTAAAGTTGATCTGTTCGGAGTCAGGGAGCCAATGGAACCTGACAAAGATAGGAGTGATGGGCAGGCAGAGTCTGGTGCGGGTGAAGACATGGGCAGCAGAATTTTAGACTCGTGTCGTCAATTCACTTTACCTAATAAAAGTCAGCTAATAAGCTAGAAGTCAGCCCGATTGTTTAAAAAGCATTAATCAAAGAATGTTCCCCAGCAATAGATTTAAAATGATTAACAATTCTTTCATTTGATAAAACGTTTACGATATCAAAACTCCTCAAAATGCTTCACAGAAGCAAAATGCTGTCAAATGTATTAACCGGGTATTTACAGGTTATCAGGTTTTCCAAAATAACAATCAAAACAATTCAATTCACTGTGTGGTGGTTTTATAAATGCTGTTTTTAAGGCTTTCACTGTGCCTTATTTCAGCATGTGCAGTCACTGAATGTGACAGAAGCTTCAACAATCTCACATACTATTATTATTATTCACTTGGGAGCCTTTCATGAGAACCATATCCCATCAATTTTGCCTAAAACCATCTGAGTTTTAATTTTTTTTTGAAAGTAAAACATGGTACAGTCTTGTTCACACAACTCCTTTCACCCACAATTCAAGCAGCATTTTTTTGCACTCAGGCTATTTGTAAGTCTAAACACTATCGCCAATCGACAAGGGACCATTTAGTTATGATGGAGACTTTGTCTAATGCCACTCTGCTGCCTGTGTCCGGGACTTTTATATAGTTATCACTTCATCGAGATGCCTCAACACACTTAACAAGATTTCACAGGCTGCCAATTCACACACAGCAATGTCCCATAAAGAGCTTTGAAGTGAATGAGTGATCAATTTTATTTGGGGTAAATTTAAATAAGAGACAGACAGTTTAGCTTGATGTCATACAAGGAGGGTGTGAAGAAAGGGAGTAAAAGGTGCATTCTTTTCCCTTCTCCACTGTGTGGCCTTGACCCAAAGGAAGAAACCAAAGGAACCCTGCTCTAAAATTCTGCATTTGAGTCAAATAGTGGCTTTTCAACACCAGAGAACAGAAGCCAACTAAACCAAGCCAGGTTTCTTCGTACCTTTTATCAAAAATTCTACCACAAGGACAATAGATGGAGCTGAGATTGAGGAGGACATTTTAAGGTGAGAACTGTGACTCCCTCAGAACAGGCACACTGTGCTGATTTGACAGGCAAGTGCAGGCTGGCAGCAACCACTGAATGAGATAAAATTTGCAGTTTCATAATAATCACCACAAGAAACGAGTTCTGAAATGCTGCAAATGTCAGCATTATATGTCAGCAGTCGCTCAGGCGGAACAGGAGGCAGCTTGAAAGTGGGAATTCAACAAAATAAACAGTGCAACACCAAGTGAGAACAACAACTCATTGTCAGGATTCCTCCCAGGTGCTGTGCAGCCTATTTTTGACCACACAAGCAAAAATGGGAAGGCTGCAGGTGCCCAGTCACTTACCTAAATTCCACTATAATTCGTCCACGGGGATAATCATTAAATAGTTCACTTGAGAGTCCATAGCTTGAGCCCTTCTTGGTAACTTCATTCATCACATTCTGCAGAGTGGAAGGAAACACTGTAAAAAATGCAGCGGAGGGAACAAAAACAACAGGATGGCCTAGTTGCTAAATAAATTGAGTGTCTGAATCTCATTGGAAAAATTAAGGTAGTGAAGTTTTAGAGGATGGCAGGTATTAAGGCATAAAACACAGTAATTTATATAGACTATAAGCATTCACCTACAAAATACAGTCACTGCACACGTGAAGCGCTTTGAGACATCATCTGACATGAAAAGCACTATATCAAATGCAAAGTTGATCAATTATTATTATTAAATATACTCAATTCTGTGAGTGTAACCTTGAAAATGAACACTCCAAGTGTGCTTGGAATTATTAAATATTACCAATAATAATCTTTAACTGAGAGACACCAATAGAAGATACAAAAAGAATAAAACGTCAACAATTGTTAAAAGGAAAACGATAATTTATTTCAATGTACAGTGTTTATCCTTTTAAAGGGCAATGAATTGGTGGGGGGTGGGGGGAAGAGGAGAAAGTAAAGCACTCATCAGAAAAAGCATGCCAGTTGTTGCATAATAATAATGCTTCCATTGGTATAGAACCTAATCATGTTGTCGAAAATCTCTAAGCACTTCAAAGAATATACTATAAAATGAATTGACTGTATTTTGTGGGTGAAACTCGGCAGCCAATTGCATACAGCAGTATCCCGTACAGTCGTGAATTGAGTGACCAAATTCTTACTATTTTTTACACATGGATCCATAGTTGTACATGCTGATAAATAATGCTACATGCTCACCTCAGCCAGCAATGTTCGGTTCACTTTGAAATTGATGGTTCCTTGACCCACAGCAATTTCAGTTAGTACATCATCACAAGTCAACTAAAATAATTAAAGGAAATGAAAATTACACTTAAAACTTGACTAACATTAAAACAAAATCAGATTTTGTTAAACTGCTGAAAAAATATTCAAGGATCAAGATTCAGACTACCTTGCCTTGATTGTATAATGAATTTCATGCCAAATTTAAGGTCATAAATGAATCTTGCTACTCCTAAACAATTGAACCAAACTCAAAATAAGTGGATGCACCATGATGCCATCCCACAGCTGGACTCCAACAACAATGTGGAAGCAGCGCATGGATTGGATGCAGAGAGACCACCTTGAACCTACCAACTGGTTGCACCAACATGCACCAGGCACTACAACGCCCAGCGAAGGTTAGAGCATAAAGATATGTGTAGGCAGGTATTGATGATGCAATCATAGCATAATTTCATCCATATAACATGCATCATTCAGCCAAGTATCACATTAAAATCCAGTTACTGCACGGTATGAGATCCTTAAGAAAAAGCTCCACTAACAACCTTAAAAGACTGGTTGTGCTCTAAATTTCCAAAATTTGCAAACATTCAGGCTGATTTTGTTTGAAAAACATTAAAGGCATTTGAGGAGCAAAATGTAGCAAGGGAACTGCAGTTAACCATTGGGGTTTGGTGCAAAACATGTAGAAGATACAATTTCTTGATAAAACTTCGTGAAATTTTTTTCAACATTTTTCTCCTTGTACTAACCATCTATCATTACACTTTACATTGATCAACCTTGACCAATTACATTTTGTACAGAACACTTTTATGGGCCCCACAGAACAGAACTGGAGTGCGCAAAAGAGAATTGGACAATATACTTTGATACTTAACCTTGGGACCATGAATTCTTTGTTTAAATGGATAATTAGTTATAATAATAATAATAATCCCTTGCATTTGATATATTGCTTTTCACGTCTTCTCGACATCTTAAAGCGCTTCACAGAATAGACTGTAAAGTGAATTGACCGTATATTTGTGGGTGAAACGCGGCAGCCAATTGCGCACAGCAATGTCCCACAAACAGTCGTGGATTGAAAATGACCAATTTATTATTGTTTTGTTTGGAGGGATTATTATTAGGTGTGTGGAGTAAGGAAACTTGCCCAAGGTTTCACCCTGCCGGGAATTGAACCCAGGTGTCTCGCTTGCAAAGCGAGTGCTCTAACCACTGAGCTACAGGACTCCAGTTACTTTCTTGAAGGAGCTAGTTCACAACTCAATTGTTTTAATGGCAGTGTAATGTATATATCATTGCTCTGTGAGAGACAAATTCTTCTAATACTGAATTTTATTTGAACCATGCCAATTTTTCATCTTTAAATAACCTGCTCACAGTTAGATTATCTACGCCTTTCAGCATATTAAAGTCCTGAATTTCGTTGCATTTTGACCTCTCTGTTCTCCAGGGAAAATGTACTCAATTCTACGAGCTCTGAACCCTTTCCCCAGGCATCAATGTATTTTTCAAAACAAGTCACCAAACCATTATACATGAGTAAAATTTGAGTCTTTCTATGAGATCCAGCACCTTGGGACATCCTCCAGACGTGTAAGGCGCTATACAAATGTAATCTTGTTGTTGTTGTTGATACACAGGGTTAAAACAAGTCATTTTTCTTATAATCAAATACATCCCCCACCCCGGTTGACAATAATTTCACAATAACTGAACATTTTCAGTGCACAACCAAACCAAAATATTGTTTCCCTCGTCTCGCGACACTCAGTAAGTTTCATGCCCCTGTAATCAATGTGCATTCATCATACATATGCATATTAAAATTGATATGCAATTGCTTACCTGTCCTATTTAAAAAGTTCAAATCTTAAAACTGTCCTACATATCATTTACAAATATCATAAACCAGACTTTGTCCTCATTCTTCAAATCATTTGAGTAGAGTTTGTGCTCCTACGGCAAGAGAACTATGGACTACCCAAACGTGAAACGTACAGTCTGAATAAAGAGCAATGCACTCGGAAACACAGCTATTAGAATCTGCTTTTTCTGAAACATAAAGGATTTTTGTACAAAGGAGATAAGACAATAAAACACAGTTTCTTGTTGAATACCGGAGGTGAGCTAGATTTTTAAACTAGTGCCGCCGTACTAAGTAGATTTTCTTATTGGGATAATTCTTCAGAAACAAAAGGAAAGTGGCATTAAAACACTTCAAATGTGTTTCAGTAAGAAAGCTGAAGGAACAATACCTGTTCTGCCAGTTGCTGTGCTTGACCCTGGATAGGTGAACCGGATTTCAGACAGCCATGTTCTAGCAGAGAGCTCACTGAAAGCCTAAAGTCCAGTGTCTGCCTGCAAAAGCAAACAAAATGACAGGATAAGCCATCTTGAGAATTACAAGTAAACTCCTATCAACAACATCATATGAATCACCTTTTAGTTTGTGTGTGCACTGTACACAGTACTCGTTAGTAGGTTTTTCCATTACAAAAATCATGGGGACAAATCAATCATATAATTACAGAATGTTACAACACAGAAATAGGCCATTCACACCATTAAATCTGCTCAGGAATTTGTCTATGCATGTGCACTAACCTAATCCTACTCTCCTTTAGTGCATTCCCCATTCTCTCACTTTAAAATTCCACATTTTCATCCACCTAATTCCCTTTAAAATGGACATTTATAAAATTTCTGCTTCAAAGGAACCATATGTTGAGAAAAGGCGAAATGGAGAGTTGTCATGGAGCTTAGGGGCCGCAATCTTGAATTGAGGAGATCTATGAGAGGGAGGAAGGCAGCGTAATGATAGGCAGTTCACCCACAAGCTGTGGAGACAACATGCTCAATGCACCACATGGTCTTTTCTCTTTCCAAGTTACAATTTCATATGCTCCCACTTTCAATTCGATGTACACCCTAACTCTGTGACCCTTTAGCCCCGACCCCTCCCTTTACTCAGCAAAAAAAAAGGCCTGCTTCATTCCCCGCCCAACCTCAGCCACTCTGCTCTCTGAAATTCTATCCTGGAGTACTGTGTTCATGACAACTCGGAAATAAATGGAGACTGCCCTGAAGCATTTTGCATAAAATCCTTAACCAGCAGAGAAACAAGATTGTCACTGCATCTGTCTAGACTAGATTCAAACTCAGCTGTCAGTGATGAAAGGACATTATTGTACTCATTATGTCACCCGTTATGTCATTAGATATTGTACAAGACACATCTTTTTTCTCCCCTTTCAAATAATAGCATTGTATAAAGTTCAGTGGATTGCACTAGCATCCATCTTACTGAAACACACTCTCCTCCCTCCACACAGGTTCCCCAGATCAGGGTAGAAAAACAATGCAGTCACAACACATCTGTCACCAAACCCATTTTGCCAGAAACATCCAGTTAGACTGCATGTCCAAAGGTACAGTTAATGGCCACTTGTTAAGGCTCAGCTGCTGGAGTCTTCAATAGACTGAAGGGAACCATTGCCCTGCCCTCTCATACCCAGTACAATTTCCCAAGCCTGTCTGCACTCGCAGGATAAAATTCATGAAACATCTCCCAGCTAAGCTTCTTCCGACTGAACTCTTACGCTATCTAATTTGAGAAACTGCTTTTCTTAAAAAATGCTGGGGTGATGTAGCTTATAACCTCCTGAACCACTTCATGCTTAAAATAATCAAACCATCATATTAAAGATAATGCCCCAACAGGGACAGCATGTCTCCAAAACCACGCTGATTTTTAGTGATATCATGATACTCATATGATACTAGCGATTGCATTTCTAACAAATTTAATTCATTCATATTGCTGCTTTTAATAATTATTATTATTCCTTTAACAATAGATGATTTAAACATTTTAAATATTCCATTCAAGAGCGAATCTGCTTTCCATTTACATAAACAGAGAAATGGCCTCAGAGGAGTTAGTGAACCTGATGTGTGATCGAACAGTTTAACAACTGAAAGATTGCTGAGATATCCCTGGGTTAATAAGTGAAACATTTATTCTGCCTCCACAAACTGTTGTACTCAATAGCTTCAGGTGAGATATTAAGCCAATACGACACAATTTACATTTATATAGCACTCTTCACCTTAGGAGGATGTCCCAAAGCAGTCACTGTGGGACCTGGGGCAGCCGAGGGGGGGTGGGAGCTGCAGGAGGTAGGACGAGGGGACAGATAACCAAAAGCGCAATGAAAGAGGTACATTTTGCGATGCGCCTTGAAACAGGGAGGAAGGGAGCAAGTTGGAGGGCTCCAGAATGCAGTTCCATACAGCGGAGTCAGAATGACTAAAAGCCCACCCGCTCAGATAGGTTGGGGGATATACAGCAGGTGAGAGAAGGAAGATTCACAGAGGTAGGATGGTTCGAGACTGTGAAGGGATTTAAAAGTTAGGAACATAGGAATATAGGTTCAGGTGTTAACGACAACCACGATTGTCAAGGTGCCCAGGCTAACAATCTGCCAGATAAAATTGGTTATGCACAAACTCCATGACTGTTTGTGGGAAACTGCAATAAACAAATTGAGTGCTGCCCTACAATATGCCTGTAAAATGCACAGTCACTGTACCCTACAGTAAACCCTATCAAGCACTTTGAGAAGTTTCAACAATGTATTATATCAAATGTAAATCCACCCATGTCCTGGCTGCTCCCCGTCTCTATGATCTGCTTGTACCTCCTCCTCTGTCCGCACCCTTGGCTCTGCTAGTACAGGACTGCTCATGCCGCTTCCCCCTCCACAAAACCATCATTGACCTTCAGTCTCTATGTCCCTAATCTCTGGAACTCCCTGCCTTCATCCATCTACCTCGCTACCTTCTTTAAATCCTTGCTTAAAACCTACCTCGTCAATCATGCCATCATACCCGCACCCTCCTTCTACCCTTGCTCAGTGCCCAACTCCGCCATTGTGAAGTGCTTTGAGATGTTACCCTAAGAGAAGGTCACTACATAAATGCAAGTTATAACTGAATTTGTGTTATAAAGAAGCAATTTTCATTGAGCAGCACTGTTTACAAACTACATTGAGGCAACTTTGATTACAAACTACGCAGAGTTATCACAATGTTTATGGTACTATTGTATATCGGAAGAAATAAAAGAAAATCATCACACTTGGACTAATATGCTTCAATGGTGTACCAGTATATTAATGGACTATTACGTTTTTGTTTATAATTCTGTCAAATTGCTCCCACAAGTTCCTCTGAGTTCTAAACAACTCATTGTACTGTCTGTAAAACAAGTCTGGAATAAAAATCTATACAGCATGACAAATGTTTCCAGAATTCAATACAATTTATATAGCACCTTTCATGTTGAGAAGACATTTCAATGCGCTTGGCACCCGAGCTGGGGATTGAGGAGGGGAAAGTTGATCGAAAAGCACTGTCAAATGGACATAGGACCTTCAACAATGTAATATCAATTACAATCTGTGTCTGGAAACCGCTCAAATTCAAAGAATACCAACATGTTTTTGATATTTATGGTATTAAAAATATTCATTTCGACAGAATAGCATCATAGAAATTACAGCGCTGGAGGAGGCTATTTGGCCCTTGAATCTGCATCAACTCTCAAGGTGTTCATTCAATGCCACTGCCCCGCCCTGACCCCATGCTCCTTCAAAGCTTTATCTTTTATATATATACCTATCTGCTTCCCTTTTGAAACCCCAAATGGTCTCTACCTCTACCACCTTACTTGGCAGGGAATTCCATATCCTGTGACAGACCCGCTGCCTGAGAGGGCTCAGGATTTTAATGAAAAAGTGGGGTGATTTGTGGGGGGCTCCAGCACCAAAAAGCATAAAACATCGCACAAAGCCACCCATATCGGTATCATACAATCACTCGCACCACCGTGACCACTTTCAACTCCCTGGGCTTGGGTGAGTGCAACTGTGAAGCGCTCTGGAACACTATCCTGCGTGAAGGGCTCTATATAAATGCAAGTTGTTGTTGTTGTTGACTGTGGGTGGCTGGTGGCTACCACACTCAGGAAATATCCCAATTTCCTGAATAGCCCTGGTCCATAGCCTAACAACTCATTGTGTGAAAAAAACAGTCACAACACCGATAGAAATTCAAACCATGCATTCAAGTATCGGTAGAATATTAAACAGAGAAATGGGATAGATTTACTGTTTCTTTGAGACAGGAACCGCTGACACAACTGGAATAAGCTGTTCCGTTGATACACCCAGAATTTTAGAGAGCTGGAAAAGATAAACAGAAATAGAAGAAGCGTCAGTGAAAAGAACACCCTTCAAGCAAACACCTACGGGAATCAGACGCAGAATAGCAGTGTACAATTTAAGCAGAATTTGTGTATATGCAGTATATGGAAGGAAATGACACCTGGACTTTAGAAAGTCTTATGATCTGAACTTGAAAATTAGATTACTGTCTTACAGGTAACTGTGGTTTTACACCATTTTTAATTATTATTAGCTATTTTTTGTGCTGACTATCTCTTAGTTTGACATTGCTGATTGGGAGTGTGCTCCAAGTCACCAACACAAACCACGGAGGTCACTGTTGTAGGATAGACTGCAGCAGCCATCACAACTCCAAATTTATCAAAATGTAATTTGTATCCAGTTACAAACTGCTTATTTAGAACTTTGTGGGCCAAATTAAACATCCCATAGGTTAGAAATCACTTTATAATATCCAGAAAAAAATAGAACAATCATAATACACCTTGTATTTGATATAGCGCTTTAACACGTTGTTGAATTGACTCAAAACACTTCATCCGATTTTTACTTTGCATTGACTATATCTTTGTCAGCAATATGTCAGTTATACTATTCACTCTCTCCTCTATCCACATATCAACAGATGCTTTAGTAAGAGTCACAATTAATACTTCATAACTGCTATAATTCATATTTCAAACAATTGTCTTAATACATTTGAAACCTAAAATAAAATCTGGAAACTAAGTGAGAGCCTTCAAGATTAGAATGCAGTATTCCAGTTATGGCTCAGTCAAACAATGCTCTTAGTAGCAATGTGGTTTCCTCGGGCAGTTACCGATCCAAGTAGGAAAATCTGACCTGAGTCCTGCAAGCTAGTATACTTGTATATAGCAGTCTGACTAGATGTTTATTTTGGGAAGAAAACAGCCTTCCCACTAGTTTGTGTGGTGTCTATGTACTCTCTCTTGGAAGAGAAACTTCAAACTAAAAGACTATGCCTTATTCTAAAGCAAATGTGTTTTTTTTCTCAAAAAGTTTTCATTAGAACGTGAACGTAATGCTTTGCGTTCAGGCATTTTTCAATTATTGTCAGCAGTTTATTTTAATTCAAAAATGGCATCTTATACATATGTTCAAACTTTTTTTTAATTATAGTCTTTGTCCCCATTTTAAAAACATTTCCATTTTTAGCTTGACAAAATTTTGACAATGTATTTTCCTATATTTCTGTGTGCTCTACCCGAAGTATATTTATTAATAAGGGCCACAGCTGGCTGGAAAAATGGACTGGAATGGTTCTATTAACATCCTAGCGTTCACATGTATAGCGTTATTGATTTGCTGCTTGCCTCATTTGCACGTCCTTTTCCTGTCTGTCTCAGATCCCTTTCATTTATGCAACTGTTAACCATTCCATTCAAAACAGTCAGGTGTTAATTCCCAGTATTTGCTAATGCTGAGAAACGTAGCAAAGAGTCCAAGGCCCATAAAAAGCATCCTCAACTAATGTTAGAATGAGTAGGAGTGCGGAATTACTAATTTAAATTATTCAATTAACCTTGCGGTGATATTGTATGTACAGTTGGGAAAAAATAAATGAACGAAAAGTTAATGGAATAGATACAAACTTTATCCATTCCATTAGACGAGTTGGTTCCATGATGTTATGAGGTTTTTTTGAAAATTTACAAAAAGTATCAGATTGTTGAGTATCTAGATGCATCTAGATTTGTGTGTTTATTCAAAGGTACAGTCTAATTCACAGTACACTGATGGATTGGCAAGACCTGAATTTAGCTTCACTTTATGCTCAGGATTTTATTTACAATACTTACTATAATTATTTTAGAAATGGATACTTTGCTTACAGACAACAGGGCTTTCATAAAATTATAAAGATTGCATGACATGCCCATTTGTTGGCAAACTTTCATTTTATAGATCAAAGGAAAACAATGTCATTTTAATCAACTCGGCGAGTGTCATCCAATACAATATATTCACAGTGCCATTAACATCATATTACAGTATTAATTTTATCAATCGCAGTCAATAATAAATGATTTCAGAGAATACTTCTTGAATTACTCCGACGCACAACTACAAATATTTTTATGCTTCTATTTATGGATCTGCCTCGGGGAGGAGGTAAGATGGTCTCCTTGGAAGTGAACTGGCTCCAAGGTGACATGTTTGGCAACAGAATGTCAGAATTGAGTCAATCGTCTGTGATGGTCTCGGTAGTCCAGTTCCTGAGCCAGGTGGGTCTGCACAGCCACGCTGCCTCGTTGGCAGGACTTGGAAGGGCAGACCAGTCCCTGGGGCAGGGACTCACCCCGCTCAGCTCCTGTTAACACTGTAAGCCAAACCCAAATGGATAGGGTGTTGCAGCTGATAATCAGCAGGAAGGCTTGTCAGGCAGTGCTCCCAATGGCAAACTGTGCGGATTTAGCGGGTTAGACTCCGGCAGTACCCCCAACGCACACTTTGGGGTCCCCAAGTCCCCAAGCCTTGGCTCTTGTCAATCTGCACCTAAAGCATTCCAGAATTAGGTAAACAGGACGCGTCGCTCCAGGGATAATTATAGGCGAACACATAATTATAAAAATACATTTCAAATGTATGTTTCCATGCGCTGGTGGGACGCAGGGAACCGTTTGGTTGGGATACCCTTTAGGCACTGTGTTGGGTTTTGCTCACGTGTCAGACAGACAGTGACCCAAACCGTTACAACATTCACTTTGCAGACACTAAACATCACATTGTACGTGTGGGATTTATATATAATTAGAATAATAATAACAATAATACTATAAAAAAACTCATAACCTGATTGCAACCCACAAGGGACAGACACACACACACACACACTGTGCTGACGTGAGGTCCCTTTAAGCTGAATGCTCCCTGTGACCCCCTGACTCCCTGTCAGTGCAGTCAGTGCCCCCCCACCCCCCGCAGGTCTGCAGCCCGAGCAACTGAAGGTCAAGCAGAGCTGAGCTGAGTCTGTCTGTCTGTCTGTCTGACTGACTGACATCGGTGCACAGTATTTACCTGAGTTGCTATCGACCTTCGGAAAAGACAAGCCATAACAGGGCATAACGTGGGCCCCGGTCCGCCCGCGCGGCCACAGCAGCTCCGACACCGACACCAACACCTCCCGCCCTGAGCCTCAGCTCAGCCTCAGCCTCAGCCCCGCGGAGCCCTGACTGCCCCCTCCCCCCCCCCCCGCGCTGACCCCTGACCTCCCGCCCGCCCGCCGGGAGCCTCGGCCAATCAACCAACCCATTGCCGCTCTCCTCACCGTCGATTGGCTGAGCCCCGCGGTCAGGGGGCGGGGCCGCTTCGCTGCGCGTTCCGGAACAGAACGTGAGGCGGGAGGTTCCAATGGAACGGAGAGACAATGGCCACTTCCTCTGTGTCCACTTCCTCTGTGTCCACGGTACTGCTCTGTGTGTGTGTGTCTGTGTCTGTGTGTGTGTCTGTCTGTGTATGTGTGTGTGTCTGTGTATGTGTCTGTCTGTGTCTGTGTGTCTGTCTGTGTATGTGTGTGTGTCTGTGTGTGTCTGTCTGTGTGTGTGTGTCTGTGTGTCTGTGTGTCTGCCTGTGTATGTGTGTGTGTCTGTGTGGGTGTCTGTGTGTGTCTGTGTATGTGTGTGTGTGTGTGAGTGTCTGTGTGTGTGTGTGTGTGTCTGTGTGTGTGTGTGTCTGTGTGAGTGTCTGTGTGTGTCTGTGTATGTGTGTGTGTGTGTGAGTGTCTGTGTGTGTGTGTGTGTGTCTGTGTGTGTGTGTGTCTGTGTGAGTGTCTGTGTGTGTCTGTGTATGTGTGTGTGTGTGTGAGTGTCTGTGTGTGTGGGTGTCTGTGTGTGTGTGTGTGTGTCTGTGTGTGTGTGTGTCTGTGTGAGTGTCTGTGTGTGTCTGTGTATGTGTGTGTGTGTGTGTGTGAGTGTCTGTGTGTGTGTGGGTGTCTGTCTGTGTATGTGTGTGTGTCTGTGTGAGTGTCTGTGTGTCTGTCTGTGTATGTGTGTGTGTCTGTGTGAGTGTCTGTGTGTGTGTGTCTGTGTGTGTGTGTGTCTGTCTGTGTGTGTGTGTGTCTGTCTGTGTGTGTGTGTGTGTGTGTCTGTGTGTCTGTGTGTGTGTGTGTCTGTGTGTGTGTGTCTGTGTGTGTGTCTGTATGTGTGTTTGTGTCTGTCTGTGTGTGTGTTTATCTGTATGTGTGTGTGAGTGTGTCTGTATGTATGTGTGTGTATGTGTGCATACAGTAAATCCTGTGAAGTGTTTTGAGATGTCTCATCGATTTATTAAGGCACTATATCAAATGCAAGGATTATTACATGTGACAGACACACACACATCCATGTAATAATCCTTGCATTTGATAGAGCGCCTTAATAAATCAATGAGACATCTCAAAACACTTCACAGGATTTACTGTAAAGTGGTTTGGGATTGTGTATTTTGTGGCGAATTGCAGCAGCCAGTTGCACATAGCAATGTGCCACAAACAGCAATGGATTGAGTGACAACAACAACAAATTACATTTACACAGCGCCTTTCACGGCAGGAGGATGTCCTAAGATGCTGGACAGTCAGGGATCCGCATCCGAGCTGGTGATTGGGATCAGGAGCAGTGGCGAGCAGGGAGGTTAGGAATATGAGGGTGACCGAAGGCACGGTCGAAGAGAAGGGTCTTGAGGTGGATTTTCAAGCAGGCAAGGGAGGGGGCGAGGCAGAGAGACTGTCGGATGGAGTTCCAGAGGGCGGGGGCAGAGAGGCTGAAGGCCCGCCTGCCAATAGTGGAGTGGGCAAGGTGGCGGATGTGAAGCAGGCCAGAGCCTGCTGAGCAGACAGGTTGGTAGGGGGTTAGGAGGTCACAGGTTGGGAGGAGCAAGCCATGAAAGGCTTTGAAGGTAAGGATCAGGGTCTTGAACTGTGTACACTGTGATGGGAAGCCAGTGGAGCCGGGCGAGGATGGGGGTGATATGTTCGCGGAACCTGGTGCGGGAGAGGACACGGGCTGCAGAGTTCTGGATGATCTGCAGCCTGTGGAGGGAGTAGTTGGGGGTGTTTGTGCAGTTGAGCCTAGACCAATTTTAATTCTGGGATTGTTGGCCAGGGCACTGGGAGAAACTCTTTTTGAATAGTACCATGGGATCTTTAACATCCACCTGAACAGGCAGAGTGGATCTGAGTTTAACATCTCATCCGAAGGAAGGCACCTCTGACAGTGTAGCTCATCCCAACACTTCATTGGAGTGTCAGCTTAGACTATGTGATTTTAAGTTTGAGGTTGGATTTGACTGGATTCCTGTAGTTTAGTGGTTAGAGCACGCACCTCGCAAGCGAAAGGACCTGGGTTCGATCCCTGGGCAGGGCGAAAGGTTGGGCAAGTCTCGTTACTCCTATGCTTCAGTTTACCCAGTATTAAGGAGGAACCCAGTTGTTAGTCAATTGACGGATTGCTTTTCTGGGTGTAATAATCTCTTCAAAAAAAGATAAATATAATAATAATTTGGTCATTCAATCCATGTTAAACTCAGATCCCATCTGCCTGTTCAGGTGCATGTTAAAGATCCCATGGCACGATTCAAAAAGAGAAGGGAGTTTCTCCCAGTGTCCTGGCCAACAATCCCGCAAATAAAATTGGTCTTTGTTTCACTTTACGATATGCTCTGTGAAGTGCTTTGAGATGCCTCAAAGCTGTGATAAGGCGCCATATCAAATGCAAGGATTATTATTATTGAACCACAACCTTCTGACTCAGGTGAAATTGCTACCACTGAGCCACGCTACCACATAATATGTGTGTCTGTCTATGTGTGTGTGTGTGTCTGTCTAGCTGTCTGTGTCTGTCTGTTTGTCTTGTTACATCTGTTGGTCTAGCTACGTTTGTCTATTTAGCTGCGGGCGCGCATGTACGTACATAGTTAAGTCGCGTGTGCGTGTAGCTACAACAACAGCAGCAAAATTACTTGGATGTCCTAATGCGCTGGATAGTCAGTGTTTCAGACCCGAGCTGGGGGTCTGGATTGGGGAGGGTGGAGATCAGGGGTTAAACAAGGTGATCGAAAGCACGGTTGAAGATGAGGGTCTTGAGAAGGGTCTCGAAGGAGGCAAGGGAGGGGGCAAGGTGGAGGCACTTCAGGATGGAGTTCCAGAGGGCGGGAGCAGAGTGGCTGTAGGCCCGCCCGCCATTGGGGGGTGAGCGAGGCGGGGGTCGTGAATCAGGTCAGAGCCCACTGAGCGGAGGAATGGGTAAGATGGTAGGGGGTTAGGAGGTCGTACAGATAAGGGGGAGCAAGGCCATGGAGGGCTTTGAAAGTGAGGACCAGGATCTTGAACTGTAACCTCTGTGTGATGGGAAGCCAGTGGAGTTGGGCGAGGATGGGGCTGATAGGGTCACGGAGCCTAGTGCGGGAGAGGACACGGCTGCAGAGTTCTGGAGGGGGGAGTTGGGGAGGCCGACAAGCAGGGAGTTTGCATAGTCAAGCCTCAATGTTATGAATGCGTGTATGAGGGTTTCGGTGGCCTGCGGTGTGAGACAGTGGCGGAGCCGGGCGATGTTGTGTAGGTGGGAAAGGCAAAGTGGATCATGGATGGATGGAGGGTAGAAAGAATGGGTAGGAGATGGGTTGTGAGGGGGAGTTGGGGAGTAGGTCATAGACGTGAGTGGCTGCGTGTGTGTGTGTGTAGCTGCACGTATGTGCGGGCGGCTGGGTGAGGGCGGCAAGGCGCGCGCGGGTGTAGCTATATGTAGCTGTCTGTCTGTCGGTCTAGGACAAGCACGCCTGGGGCTTTAGACAAGGCTTATTGAAGGCAGGCACTCAGAGACTTAGTAGAGAGGCTAAAGTCCTGGGTGATGTAGATTGGGAAAGAGGTGCGAGATTGGAAAATCAGGGCCTGGATTGTTTACATGAAAATTCAGTCCAGTGTATTTTATTTTAAGTAGCTTTTGATAGATCATCAATTGTGCTGGGCTAAGCTGCTTCCGGGCCTAGTCGTAGAAAATAGGACTCACCACGACGAATGTGATTCAGTAACTTCGGTCGACCTTGTATGAACTATAAGGTCTGATTTGCAGATCGTCCTAGTCAGATTGGATGTGAAATAAATAAACTATTCAGTACTTGCAATTGGTATACAGGTAGAACCTTATTAGGTCAAAGTATATCATTGCTGCTTACAACACTGAATTATTTTAAAGTGATATGCAGGCGTACATAGCTGCTAATAAAGTCCCACAAACTTCATTAAGTTGAAACAACAACAAGATTTCATTTATAGAGCGCCTTTCACGTCGGGAGGACATCCCAAGGCGCTGGACAGTTGGGTCGGGACCCGAGCAGAGGGGAAATGGTCAGGGTGAGGGGAGGGAGGGAGCGAGGAGGGGGAATTGGTCAGGGTGAGGGGAGGGAAGGGAGGGAGTGAGAAGGGGGAAGAGAGTCGAGAGGGGAGCTGAAGGCACAGTCAAAGAGAAAGGTTTTGAGATCGGCCTTGAAGGAGGAAAGGGAGGAGGCGGCGAAGGCATTGGGGGATAGAGTTCCAGAGCCTCGGGGCTGAGAGGCTGAAGGCCCGGCCACCGATGGTAGGGCGGTTGGGGCGGGGGACGTGGAGCAGACCGGAGCCGGAGGAACGGAGGGTACGGGCAGGTAGGTAGGGGGATAGTAGGTCGGAGAGGTAGGAGGGAGCGAGGCCGTGAATGGCCTTGTAGGTGAGGATGAGGATCTTGAATTCAATCCTCTGGGGGATGGGGAGCCAGTGGAGGCGAGCGAGGGTAGGAGTGATGTGGACCCGAAGCCTGGTGCGGGACAGTACACGAGCTGCAGAGTTCTGAATGACCTGCAGCTTGTGGAGGGAGGTGGCGGGAAGGCCGGCGAGGAGAGAGTTCCCATAGTCCAGCCTTGAGGTGACAAAGGCGTGGACCAGGGTTTCAGCAGCGTGAGGGGTGAGGTAGTGCCGTAGTCTGGCGATGTTTCGGAGGTGATGGAAGACGGTGCCAGTTGTGGGAGAATATGAGGGTATGAGGGAGAAAGGACAGCTCAGGGTCGAACAGAACCCCGAGGTTCCTGACGGCTTTGAGAGGTGGAGAGTGCAGCCTTGGATGCTGATGGTGTCGGCGCCTGAGGTGCGGAGGCGCTGACGCGAGCAAATCAGGAGGGCCTCAGTTTTCCGCACGTTATAATAATAATAATAATCTTTGCATTTGATATCGCGCTTTTCATGTCGGGAGGACATCCCAAAGCGCTTCACAGAACACACTGTAAAGTGAATTGACTATATATTTGTGGGCGAACGCGGCAGCCAATTGCACACAGCAATGTCCCACAAACAGTCGTAGATTGAAAATGACCAATTTATTATTGTTTTTGGTTTTGGAGGGATTATTATTAGGCGTGTGGAGTAAGGAAACTTGCCCAAGGTTTCGCCCTGCCTGGAATTGAACCCAGGTCTCTCACTTGCAAAGTGAGTGCTCTAACCATTGAGGTACAGGACTCTACGTTGAGCTGAAGAAAGTTGTCTCTCGTCCAGCACTCGATGTCAGACAGGAAGGCTGTCAGGACATCGGTGGTCGTGGAGTTGAGGGTAGAGGAGGAAAGGTAGAGTTGGGTGTCATCCGCATACATGTGGAAGTTAGCCCCTTGTCTGCGGATGATGTCACTGAGGGGGAGCATATAGAGGGTGAAGAGGAGGGGACCGAGGACAGAGCCTTGAGGGACACCGCACGAGACAGTGCGGGGGGTGGAGGAGAAGCCATTTGTGGAAACAAAATGAAGACGGTGGGAGAGGTACGACCTAAACCACTCAAGGACAGGGCCTTGAAGGTTGAGGTGGGAGGACAAGCGGTGGAGGAGGATAGCGTGGTCGACCGTATTGAATGCGGCCGATAGGACGAGGAGGACGAGGAGGCAGAGGGAGCCCTGGTCACAGATGGTCAGGATGTCATTGGTGACCTTGACCAGGGCAGTTTCTGTGCTATGGGCAGCACGGAAACCCGACTGAAGGGGTTTGAATAATGAATGGGTGGAGAGGAAAGAGTGCAGCTGGGAAGCGACAACCAAGGGCCTTGGACAGGAAGGGGAGGTTGGAGATGGGCCGGTAGCTTGATAACTGCGACGCATCAAGGGAGGGTGTTTTCAAAGTGGGAGTGATGGTGGCAGTTTTTAGGGGAATAGGAACAGAGGAGAGGGACAGGTTGATGATGTCTGTGAGAAGTGGGGCAAGGAGGGGGAGCTGAGATAAGGAGTGGAGTGGGGATGGAGTCAAGGGAGCAGGTGGTGGATTTCAGGGACAGGATGAAGTTGGTGACAGAGGGTGGGGAAACGGGTTCGAAGGTGTGGAGGGGAGGATGGGTAGGAGTCGGAGTGTGGGAGGGAAGGGGTTCGGGGGGTGGGTGGAAGTTGGAGGGGGAGTGACCGCGGAGCGGATTCCCTTGATTTTGGATTCAAGGAAATCCAGCATCTGAAAGCATAATCTGGAAGGTTGAGATCAGATGGTCTTCTCCATCCAGACTGATCTCATGAATCACAAATTTATCCATTTTGTTTTGATGAATTTCAATAAAGCAACAGGATACTGAAACACCTTCCCTTCTCTTCAAAATCGTGCCATGAGATTGCATGGACAGGCAGATGGAGGCTGGGGGTGGGCTTGCTATTCATAATCCTTGCATTTGATATAGCACCTTAACTCATCAAAACATGGCAGAAGTGTTTTAGAGTTCCTTTACAGAGTGTAGTGATTATTCATTTGTAAGTGAACTCAGCAGCGAATTTGCGTGCAGTAGTGTCCCACAAACAGCCTTACTTTCATGCAAAAGTCAAGACATCCAGGAATACGTTAAAGAATATTAGCCCAGATTCTGAGCACAATTCTTGCTTAGAATGTGACCTGAACTCAGACCCATTCGAGCCAGACTGAAAGACATACACTTGGATCCAGTCTTATTTGACCTGAAAAATCTGTTGTGTGTCTTAAGTAGGTTTACTTCTATTGTATCTAATTAGGGAAGGAAAAACGATTTGTAGCCATAATCGTAAATCCTCATAAACCAGTTAAAGTGCATTTATCAGTGCATTTTTCTGGTCAGGGAAACATCTATTGCTTCAAGTAATAAAATAAAGCTATTGATGAATGCAGTCATTACAACTAGAACTGTGTGATAAGGTTTGACTATCCTTTAACTGCTGTCTTATCTAGTTGTATGTCAAGTGGATAAATCTGACTTTTCAATGAGGGAAAGTGTGCAGGATCCAAGCTGTCTTCAGAAATATCCAGAAATAAAGATATATGTACAGTGTAAAGGTCTGCTTGCTTTGTATAATCCTCATTATTTCTTGGTAAGATATGGTGAGGAACAAAACAGTGGAAGCACTCTTGGAACTCTCTCCCTCAATTCCTCGGCCTTGCCTTCTCCTTCCACGTTTCCAGATCACGCCTCAAAACCTTCCTCTTCGACTGTGCTTACGGTCACCCTCCTCCCTCCCTCTAGCTCAGAATCAAACTCTGCCTCTGTTAAGCGCTCTGAGACACTACCCCATGGGAAGGGCACTATATAAATGCAAGTTGTTTGTGCAGCATAAAGATAATATGATGCATAAATATAAACAGAAAAATGTAGAAAATGCACAAAAGGTTAATTGGAAAGAAAAAAAAGCTTAATAATGCAAATGAACTTTCTGTATATTTTCGTGGTTATTTTAGATTTCTAAGCATTTGCAGATTTTAATTTGTCACTAACAATAATCAATAATCCTTACAATTGTTATAGTGGTTTTCACTTCAATGGGTCATCAAAGTGCTTGACAGGATATACTGTAAAGTGTAATGACTATTTTGAAGGTGAACATAGAATAAAGCTGAACACATCAAATTTAGTTAAAAGGAATACATGATTTGAAAATGCCTAAGCAAAATAATCATTCAAAAGTTGTACAGTGCAGCGCTGATTCATTATAACAGAAATAAGATGTGGATCCCATTCAGTGCACATGCCAGTGACTGGCGAGAAAGCTAATTGTAACAACTCGATCCATTACTAAAATGACCAGCTTCCAGATCTGTGCAGTGATTTGGAAGGGCAGGCCAGTCACTGGGAGCTGGGACTCTTCCCACTCCGCTCCCGCTAATCCTGCAAGCTAACCCCTAACAGGTTGGGTGGTCCTAGCTGGACAAGCTTGCTGGATAGTGATATCAATGGCAAGCTATGTGGTTTTAGAGTCCAGCAGTACCCCAATGCACACTCCAGTCCCCAAGCCTTGGCTTTGCCAACCAGCACCTAACACTCTTGAATTAGGTAAGCAGGATGTGTCCCTCCAGGGAGAGAGTGCATTCCATTCCAACAATCTATCAGGAATTTCTATGTGTCTGGGACGCATGGAATTCTCAGTTTGGTTTGGATACTCTGAAGCATAGTGATGGGTTTCCGCATGTGTCAGACACCCAGCTGACCAAACAGAAGGGAAAGGAAAATAAAGTACCAGGAGATATGGCATTCTAGAAATATTCAAATAAAAATAATTATAAAATCGATGACAAATTGTGGAAATAAAAATATAAACTGGTGGGATTTGGGATTGCGTTCAGAGTATTGAATGTTCTGTTTGTGATGTGATTTTATGTGACTGTAAACGTGCGATAATTTGTGCTGTCCTTTAGCTTTAAACAGGCCTGTATTTCCATAGGGTTGGTTTTAATGCCAGAGTATTATTTTATCAAAATGTTCGTATTGTAACAGTGGTTTGGGTGGCTTAATTCTGTTTGTTCAGGAAAGTCTATGCTGGTATGTATACTTGATAGAAATTGCACAAAAATACCACTGGCTCGGAAAAGAAACCTGAAGCTCTTCAGGTCACTTGTACACCAGATCTATTGCCAGACCCATATAGCTTCACACCGCTTGCATTGCGTACATTTCTTTTACTTGTGGAATGTTTCAGTGGAAGACATTGTGAGCCCAGGACACAGGTTGTTCCAAGTGCTCTCAATTATATCCTTTGTTATTGAAGCCTGAGATCAGTCAACTTGCTAAAAAAAAACAGGCCTCTTCTGCCAGCAATTGTAACACTGTACTCCAGTCACAAACTGTCTTCCTTTCACTCTGCAGGGCTGCTTTGTTTTCAAGCCAAAAGGATCCAAAAAGAGAGCGCCTACTTTAACAGGTTAGTGTCTTCTGGTCTAATTTATTCCAAATGTTTACAGCAATTTGAAGTTGTACAGTACCTCTAACCTCTCAAAATGCTTTATGGAGTGGAAGCCGAGTAGGGTTGGAGAGAGGGTAGGCGTGGAAGTTTGTATGCTTATCTATTATGCTGCCGTAAGCATCTTAACTTTTCATTTCAAAACTAGCCATAAAAACGTTTTTAAATGAAAGAAGAAAGAAACATACCGAAGGGTCTTAAGTAACACGTAGAGGTATTTTATTCAGGGTGGCTCAATTTTCTTGGCGCTAACCATTAAAAGAAGTCTTAATTCTTCACTTGTTTGGCAAAGTCTTGAATCTTTGCTGAAGGGTGACCTTTGGGACTAAAGAAAGCAGAGACAAAAACACCTTTGCAATCCTACAGAACTCATAAGATCCAAATATAATATTAGTCTTTGTTACATTTGGCAGGACTGATGCCAATAATCAATTTACCAATAAAAACCTGATTACCTTTCTACTTTTTTTAATGATTCCATTCTTTCGCGTCTCCCTTGCCCTCAGTTTATCGAGATGGATGAGCCTGGGCTTTTTGAGTTTAAAAAGGCCATTGCAGCTTACATAGTGGATCCTTGAAGCAGCAATGAGTTATTAAAAACTGCCATGAGTCTAAATCTACCACTAGGTGAATGTAGGGTAAACTCTGATACAGCCTGAAGCAAGCCACGTGCACTTGTGCTGCCAAAAGAAGGCACCTTGCAATTCAAAGTCAGAGGTAGCGTCACGATGAGACGTAAATGTAAACCTTCCATTTTCCCCCCAAGCCCTAATGGAGCTTGTGTTGGCTGAAAAGTTCATGTGATTAATAACTTGCTTATTCATTCTCTCAGATATCTAATACTGCCAATCTTTAGTCTCATTGAAACCATTCTCCTTTCTACGTTATACAGCTGAGTTTTTTAATAAAGGCAAAGCTGTTTCAGAGAACGTCAGGGTGCGATTTGCTACCTATGAGTCACTATGGCAACAGACAAAAGAGGAGATTGAGGTAAGTAATGCTGTAGCCTTCTGGCTGAGGTTTGAAGTGTGCATTAATAATAATAATAATAGTTGCATTCGCTATTAGAGCCTTATCACATGGGGCAGATGTCATTGTATCATTGTGGGAATCAATTAATTGATAGCAATCATCAGAAAATTGCTCTTTTCTACATGAACATCATTTCACCTCCCCCAGATTTCCACTTTCTTTACTGTAATTCTGCATCAGTACATTCCGCACAGTGTCACTGTGGATTACATGTAACCTTAGCATATCAATATTTCAGTATGGTTCAAAGCTGCTAGTTTTGCTCTCTACAAAATTCAGTGCCAATTAATCAAGTCATTTTAACAGTAGTTTGTATGTTTTTTTTGACTTTGTTCTTCTTCAGAGGAGGAAGAGATGTTTCATTTTTGAACTGAGCTGTTGGATACACATAATCTTAACTATTTTGAAGGGAGAAACCCTGAAATAGAACTTGCATTTTTAGATTCTTATCACATTGGTGAATCTCAAAATACTTCACAAGTAATGACTTATGAGTGTAATGAGTGTTTTGTGGGCAAACGCAGCAGTTATTTGTGCGCACAGAATCCCACAAACAACCATGAAGTGAATGGCCAATTTATCTGTTGGCCAAGGCACAGAGAGAAACTTCTTCCTTTTCCTTCTGAATAGTGCCATTGAATCTTTAATGTCCATCTGAACAGCCAGATGGAACCTTGGTTTGATATCACACTTGAAAATTGACACCTCCAGTACTGTGCTGGAGTGTCAGCCTGTGCTGTAAGCTCAAAGCCCGACTTGGGGCTTGATCAACAACAACAAATTTTATTTATATAGCGCCTTTCACATCGGGAGGACATCCCAAAGCGCTGGACAGTCGAGGGTTGGATCAGGAGGAATGGAGGGTAGGGGTAGGAGGGTAGGGGTAGGAGGGTATGGGTAAGAGGGTGGCCGAAGGCACAGTTGAAGAGTCTTGAGATGTGCCTTTGAATGAGCCAATTGAGGGAGCAAGGGAAGGTACTGTGTGATGGAGTTTCCATGGGTGGGGGCAGAGAGATTGAAGAACGGACTACCATTGGTGGGGCATGCCGGGCGGGGGACGTGGAACAGGCTAGAGACCTCAAGTTTCTGACTCAGGTGAGAAAGCTACCAACTGGGCCAGGCTGACATACTTATAACGGCATCTGTTAAGGGAAAATTAGGAATGGGTATTTTCTATAGAAATTCCGCTAATGTAATGCTATGAAGCTTTGGTGACCTCCCATAGGGCGGAGCATTGAGTGCAGTGCTCTATTCCCATTTATGATGACTTGGGAGTGGAATTTCTCAATAACATAGCAGGGGTAATTGTGCTCAAAAAGTCTGTTCTCCAGCTGTCTTCAGCAAGCGGATCTAAAGCAAGACATATGATAACCAGGGCCAAAGAGAGATCCCTGGAAGTTGTTTTGTTTTTGAGTTTGGCTCAAATCTTTGTTGCTCAAACCATTTCTGTTCCCGAGCAATGAACTTTCTTCCCCAGTCTAATCTCACTTTTTATCGCCTCCAAAAGCATAGCTATCCTAAAGTGCTGATTTTCACAGCACAAATAGAATCTCCTGTAATTCTTTTATTAATTACATGACTTCGGCATGATTACCCTTAGTTCCTTCTGTATACTTGTGGTGCACAATATAGCTACGTTTACATATGGTTTAAATGTGACGAATACTAGACTCTATAGCCTTTAGCAGCACTAGTTTAATTGCATTAAGTTACCTCCTTATCGTCTTCCTTCTGAACTGCCCCACCCTCACCCCACCCCCCACCACCCCCATTTGTGTAAATAAATGCATTTTTTTTAGCGACTAGGGAATCTAAAAGAAAATTTAGACTAACTACTAACTAACTAAAAACTAACTACTTCATACAGAGGGTAGTGAGAATGTGTACCTGCTACAACATCTGCCTGAAGCATTTAGAAGGGAGCTGGATGTACACAAGAGGGAGAAGGGACTAGAAGTTATGGGAGGGAGTAAGGAGTGGGTGAGACTCATGTGGAATATAAATTTTGGCATAGACTAGTTAGTATTTCCAGGCCATACCGTCTTTTTATATGTAAATCTTGCTGAAATGTAACAGCTTTTGTTAAAAAATGTACTGGAAAACGATTAAAATATGTATTTATTTACTCATTCTGAATTAACTGAAAGCTAAATAAATCTAATAGTTCCATTCCTCCGATGACTTGATAAAGTCACTGCCCGAGAATGGAGCTGTTTACAGCCTCGATTCCCAATCTGTGCTGAGGTTAAGTGATCTGTTTAGGCTGAAGTTGGAGTGCCCTACAATAATAATAATAACCCTTGCATTTTGGGCTAGGGTGGAAAATTAACCAGGGTTCCTGATTGCTATGCAACAACAACAAAATTACATTTATAGTGCCTTTCACGTCGGGAGGACGTCCCAAAGCGCTGAAAGTGTACACAAATGAATATCGAATGGATTCAGCACATTTGGACTCTTCTCATTGTCTTCTTGCCCCGTGGGCACATGACCAGAGGTGACTTTGGAACCATTACCCAAACACGAGTCATTGCCATCGAGAGCTGGGATGGGGTTGAATTGTCAGAAAATCTCACGTTTTTAAGAAGCCTTTGAAATCAATTTGCAGATTTTTTTTAAAAAAGGCAAAGTACTGCAGATGCTGGAAATCTGGTATAAGTACAGAAGCCACTGGGAACACACAGCAAGTCAGGCAGCATCTATGGAGAGACGAAAGTGACTTACCTTTCAGGTCAATGACATTTCATCAGACCTTTCCTCTCTCCCTAGATGCTGCCTGACCTGCTGCATGTTTATTGCAGATATATATACAATTTGCACAACTTGATATGAAACGTAACACTTAATATAATATCAAATTGTCTCAAAGCACTTCTCAGGTAATTAGTGTCAAGGGTAATGACTGTATTAATCCAGCCTCATCATCCTGCAGTATTGTGTTGTGATCTTTATTGCAGGCATTACAAGATAATTTGAACAAGAAGATGTTTGGCAGCTTATTATCGTTTATTAAAAATTCCCACTCCGACCTTCAATCAAAATCAAAGAGCTGGAGCTACCAGATGCGGTGCAGCGAGATCCCTACAGCAGCACTTGTTCTAGGTAATCACATCAATCAACAAACAGGAGCAACATTAAGCTCATAGCACCTGATATTGCAAAGCAAAATCCTAAATTTGACATTCCTTTCTTACATGATTTGTTTCTCTCTCTGAGCACTTGCCGATTGAAAAGGATATGAAGCGAAGTAAAGCTAAATATTGAAATGACCCCCACCCCCTACCTTCTTGTTCTCTCTTCTGTATGTCATTCCGCTTAGTGACTTACCGACAGCCTTAGCCACATGAAGCAAATCTATTCAGATGTCAGACAGCCCTGGGACTTGGACGATTGATGATCCGTTTGAGTCGTGCAGTTGCCTAGTTTGAACAACTGGGTCAACCTGGCTCAGTTAGTAGCACTCTGGTAGCCTGTGGCTCAGAAAATTGTGGTTTCAATGTTGGGACTTGAGTTTATATTCATGGCTGAAACTCCAATGCAATAAGGGAAAGTCCTGCTTTATCAAGAGTCGCTATCTTTCAGACAAGGCATTAAACCGAGTCCTGATCAGCTGTTCGCGTGGAGGTCCCATGGCACTGTTTTGAAAAGAGAAGGGAGTTTGTCCTGGCCAACACTCCTCCGTATTAATTGGTCATTTGACTCATAGCTGATTGTGGGCTTGCTGACGCAATTGCTGCTGCATTTAGCAACAAACATAGTCAATATCTTTGGCATGATAAGACCAGTAAAAAAACAAGATATTTTGTCTTTCTAAGTTGAAATTTTAAAAAAACTTATTTGGTGAAATCACTATCTGAAGTGAAACTACTGTATATAATACAGACCTGGAAAGTCCCAGGTTTGAACTATGCTCTTTGCTAAGTTGGTTGACCTCAGCTGGGTGAGGTTACTGTGGGCAACAGAGAATTTGGTCCAAATAGGATCAGTTCTTTTGCTCCCCTCCCCCCCAACTACCATATACTAATGGTTTTGTTTGTTTGTGATAGTTGTGAATTGTTCAAAAATCAACATTCTGTGCTTAGATATTAATCTCCCCAAGACCACATACGCCTCCTCTTCCATCGCTTGAATGCCTGTTTATGTTTTTACCTTACAGGTGTGAATGTGCCTGACCACGAGATGACATTTCAGAAACTGTCTGATCTTCTACAGGAATCGCTTACTCCATATGTAGTTTGTCTGCAGGGCAAAGATTTTACTGGTACGACCTGATCCAATTTATATAACAAGTATTTTAATGCTTTCTGTCTGATTTAAACACATAATCACATGCGAGTATGAACACAACTTTAGTACACGCTTGTATCTGATGTAATAGGGTCAATTTGACAGTGCGTTCAATATTTAATAAACATTGAAAATCCAGATGTCAATTAGACTCTTTCTCATCTCAGCCATTCCTTTCTCAATTATGAGAGGATCAGATGCTCAGCCAGCTGTGTAAAGCGCTTCCCGAGCTGAAAGCTGCTATATTTACGTAAACTGTCTTGTGTTGTGACGCTGAGATCCGCAAGCCAAAAGCTCATTGCAGGCTGGTCTTTGGGGATTTCTGTCCTGATGGAATGAGGACATGAGTGTCCCATGTTCCAGTGTTTTCTTATTTTCACAGCTGTAAAGCAAGTTTTGCAGACAGTTCTGGTTCACCTTATTGGCAGACGTGTGTATGATGATGAAGACGAGGAGGATGTCTTCTCTGTTGACTTCTCACAGAAAAAGATATTCTGCTCCATGGCATCCCTCTGTGGCTGGTATAGAGCTGAGACTCAGGTAACAGCTACTTTTCATTGACAGTTACTTTTCTACAGTACTTCTTGACGTATCTCTCATTTTAAAAAAAAAGTAGGAGTACCATTAAAAACTTGTGATGGTTTCTCAAAACGTTGGCTGATCAGAAACGTGCTGGAGAAGTTTTCCACTTTATTAGTCAATATCCAGCCGAGAATATTGTCAGCATTCACTATTAGTTTGATCCAATGAGGAGCCCTGTAGCTCAGTGGTTAGAGCACTCACCTCGCAAGTAAGAGACCTGAGTTTGATTTCCGGAATCAAAACACTGGGCTGGTTTCCTTACTCCACACGCCTCTGTTTACTTAGTAGTGAGTAAGAACACGGTTGTTAGTCGATTGGTGAATCGCTTTTCTGTGGGTAATTCCTTCAAAAATAATAATAAATTGGTCACTTCAATCCATGACTGTTTGTGGGACACTGCTGTGCGCAATTGGCTGCTGTGTTTCATCCACAAATATACGGTCAATTCACTTTACAGTATATTCTGTGAAGCGCTTTGAGATGTCTTGAAGATGTGATAAGGCACTGTATCAAATTCAAGAATTATTATTAACCAGTGCCGCACAATCTGAGAAGTGGCTATTTTTACCCAAATCCTTTGATTTAAGATAATTTGTCTTGTTATTGATTACAGACCCCTTTTAGAATGTTAGTTTTATGTATATTTTTTAAAAATCAAGTTGTATAGTTAGACTGATGTCCATAATCAAAGTCGCTGTTTTTTCTTCAAAAGCCTGGCTGTTTGTGGAACGTTACTATGCGAAATTGTCTCTCGTTCACCCACAAAATTCATGTTCGCTACACTTTACAGTAAATTTTTTCTTTGAGACATCCTCCCAATGCAAAAGGGTCTACATCAGATGTAAGGATTATAATTCCAACAACAACAACTTGCATTTATGGAGTGCCATTCACGTTATACAGTAATGTCTCAGAGTGCTTTATTAGGACAGGATCTGATGCCCAGCAAAGGAGAGGGGGAGGTGGCTATAGGTACGTTGGAAGAGGTTGTACTTGAAGACAAAGCGAGGGGTGAGATAGTATTAGAGAGAGGAATTCCAGAGGTAAGGGCGAAGGAATTGAAATGCTTGGTTATTATTATAATAATTATGGTCCAAACAAAGAAGTTGTGTATTAAAATCTTCATGGGAGCATCAGACAATATTCCTGGCTGTACTGAAACCATGTTATTGAGGCTAATTGAGCTGTACTTTATTCTGTCAGAAACCCACCTTCAGCAGCCCAGGTAAGAAGAGGAAATCCTCTTCTCCACAGTACGAACAGTCCCCTCCTGTCGTGATCATCTTCAAGGACCTGGAGAGCTTCCTTCCCAAAGTTCTGCAAGATTTCCTGGTCATTTGCAGGTAAAGTCAAAGTGAGAAAAGGCTCAGCTAGAGGGCACAATACTCATAGACATACACCATCAAGTTTAGATACAACCTCGATTATCAATGTCAAATCTGTGCTGTAAATTTCTGTTTTGATGGTCCACGCAAACACTCTCCAGGTAGCAATTCAAAGTAGAACCCAGGCTGTTTTCCCTCCTCTTGCCTCGCCCTGGAGCACTGAGGGCAACTGTAGATCAGGTAACTCAACACACTGGAGATTGTAACCAGCACCATTTGGTCTATGGCTTTATGTGCTGGTACTTGGAGCCACTAGGGCACTTGGGATTTCTCTTAACAATTTTGAAGTACAGTAAATTTGAAGTAAGTGAATACGGTTTTATGGGTTGGAATGGAAATGGTGGTCTTTTCAGGGTAAGATATGGTTTGGACTTCCCAAGTGGAATGTTGTTCCTGGGAGCCAATATTAAACCTGATTTTTTAAATTAATATTTCAGTAATTACATCCAGCAACTCCCTCTGATCCTGATTTTTGGAATCGCCACATCATCTGTCGCACTCCACCGAATGCTACCCCAGTCAGTGTCCTCACTGCTCTGTATTGAACTGTTTCAGTCACTTTCCTGCACTGAACATTTGGCCGCAGTTATCGATAAGGTAATTCTTGCCCAGTAATCTACGACTGAATAGATTGTCTATCATCACACTCAAGTTGGGCAGCAGTGGATCCAGTTTACTGGATAACTGATGTAATTCTGTGCAGCACAAAGCTTCTAAATGGTTTATTTTATGTTAAATTCTTGTTAAATTAAATGTTCACTATTCTTTTGAAGTAAGTTTGTATTTTTTTTAATCTTCAGATGAAGTTGTAACCTGTGTTGCTTTACTTTCTTCCCTTCTCTTCCACCATTAGTGTTTCTTTATTGGTATTATTTGTATTGCAAACGAAATTCCAATCTTACCACTATGTATGTAAACCAGTTTAAATTAAAAGGACAGCAGGAAGCATAATATTTTAGAAAAAGGAAAGTTAATTTGGATTATAGGTGAGGTTCGAGGCAACATAGCTTCATTTTGATAAATCACACACTGTATTGTGCATTTGTGTGTGTATATATATTTGTGTGTGTATATTATATTTTTAATTGTGTGGTTATATGTTTGAGGATATGTGTTTTTATTGTGTTCAATGCAACATTTTTGCTGGAATGAAATCGATGTTGCCTATATGTAGATTGACTGAGAATAACCTTTATCTTAAAAAAGTTCTATTTCTCTCGGTTTGATCTTATGTTTATGTATCCCTCACAGTTAATCCTGACGACCAAATTCCCGTTTAAACTCAGTGGAAAGGTGCTCCGGGTTTTAACCAGCATATTTTTATATCATGATTTTTCTGTGAGGAATTTTATCAAAGGATTCCAGGTAAAGAGAAACCAGGCTGGCTCCAACATTTCAGCAATAATGCTTTGGCAGTAAAAATAGAAATGTGGTTATTCAGTTCCTTCCTTTAATCTTTCCCTTCCTTTGCCTCATATGCACAGCTGTCTCTGCTGGAGCACTTCTACAGTCAGCCTCTTAGCCTGTTGTGTTGTGCACTGAATGAAGCCAATGCCCGAGTACAGGATTTGACCCATGATGATTGTGAGCTGATCCGTCAAGTGCCTTCCTTTATGAGGTGAGTGGCAGCGACTTGTTTTCTAGCAGAGTTGATGAATTCTATTATTAGCATTGTACCGGTAATCAAGTGAAAACTCCAGACTATATTTATTCAGCGCTGAGCTGTTGAATTCTGCGGATGATATCTGTGAGGTCTGAACAGGATTGGAGCAATTAGATAAACAAGCACATCATGGCGGTGCTGAATATCTGAAACCCACAGCCCAGAAGTTAGATTTTTTTTTACAAACGTAAATTGCTCCCAAGTCCTAAACGTAGCTTTTTTTTTAATGAGTGAGGTTAGGCCTGATCATCCTCATTAGGGATTAAGGGATATGGGGATAAGGCAGGGTTAGATTATTAGCTGGAGTTAGATTAGAAGATCAGCCATGTTTGAATGCCGGGACAGGCTCGAAGGGCCGAATGGCCTACTCCTGCTCCTACATGTTATATTATGTTAGCCAAATTAGACCGAAACATTCCACTTAGGGAACGAGGGTTGTCCCCGCAGTCAAGTCCCAATCCCCCCCCCCCCTCCAAGTTCTTCTTGGCCCCAAATTTCAAAGAACGATGTCCCTTTTCTCCTAGACAGAATCAGGCAACATTACTGGGAGTCATGGATTATGTGCTCTCTTTTATCCCATACTGAGAATACAGGTAGCATTGCGTAATTGTCTTGTTATAAATCGTATACCCGCTAAGGCGCATATGCACCAGAGTTCCTTTTGCTACTAAAATGCACTTAGATTTCTTTGCACTAGTCATATTTTACTTGTCAATAAAATGGCTGAATCATAACGATTTCTTGTTCCAAATAATCCTAAATCTGGCGCAAATCATCTCACTCGGATCATCGCTACCACACTTACTGGCTGCATTGATGAAGTACCACAGGCTCACTTAGTGCTGCGTTTGAAACAAGCACAAGAAACAAGATCTTGACTTATTGTCATGTCACAAAAGACAAACTTAGCTTGGGGAAAGTCTTATTAAGTTGGCCGATAAGACTTGTGCGAGTTTACCTGAAATCCAGTTTTGAAGGATTGGAGGGTACTGGGTGAGCCCCAGCTTCATTTCTTACCCTCTGTAAAAGAGAAGGAAGGGACATTTTAAATGGCAGATTGGACAAGTGGGATTTTCAGAAACACATGATTGGAAAGGGCGAGAGAAAAGAGAAGGTTAGAGTCTTAATAATAAGCCTCATAAAGACATATCATGGTGCAAAAATGTAGATCAAATATGGCATGACTGACAAAATGTTCAACAACAACAGCAAACCACAAATTGCATTTATAGAGCAGCGTGCCTTTCAAGTCTGAAGGATGTCCCACAGAATTAAATGTTGGAGATTGACACTTCAAACACTTTTGCTTGAATAGTTGTAATAATTTAGGCTTTTTCCTGACATTGTAGATACGTGGAAAGCCAGGACCCAGAGAAGCAGGTTGAACTGCTGACTAAGGACCATTATTTAAAGGTAATCTGTTAGCCTACAGTTGGTTAGTGCATTTTCTAAAACTCATTTGCCTTCCATATCTACAACAACAACAACTTGGATTTATATAGCGCCCTTCACGCCGGACAGCGTCTCAGAGAGCTTCACATTAACGGATCCCGGGGCTGAGCCAGGGGGAAGGGGGGGAAGGTGACCAAAGGCGCAGTCGAAGAGAAAGGTCTTCAGCAGGGACCTGAAAATAGGAAGAGAGGGGACGAGACGAAGGGAGGAAGAAAGGGAGTTCCAGAGCCTCGGGGCATAGTGGCTGAAGGCACAGCCGCCGAGGGTGGAGCAGAGAACTCGGGGGCAAGGAGGAGGCCAGACCCGGAGGAACGAAGGCAATGGGCACTGTTTTGAGGAGAGAGGAGGTCAGAGAGGTAGGGGGGTGCAGAGGAGTGGAGGGATTTGAAGACAAGGGTAAGGATCTTGAAGTTGATCCTCTCGGACAGACAACCAGTGCAGTCTGGATTACCCCAATCACTGGGGTAATCGGGTAATCTACAAATTTAATAATGTCTTCTACGTCTTAGAAGCTTGTCGTTGTTGAAGCTAAACCCTTCTGCAAACAAGTGTTTTGTGTGAGACCTTTTAAGCTTTTTAAATAAGGCTAGCCTGGCTTAGTGCTTCTGAATCACAAGGTGGGATTTTGCATTCATAGTCTAGGCTGACACTCAAGTGGAGTATTGGGAATGCTATATTGCTGGATGTTTGCTCTTGCAGATCAGATGTTAATCCAAGCTCCCAGTTCGTCTGCCTGTTCTAATGGGTTTAAAGAGATCATTTCTGATCATTCATATTTATTTAGCTTTCTTCTCTCCTGAAAACATCTGACTCTGTTTTCCTTTTACTGGATACAATTCTACAGGCACCAGGCTTCCTGTTCTACTACTCTCAAGTGACCATTATTCATCTGTGAGCCTTGGCAAGCTGTTTGACTGGGGATGAGGGAATGTCACAACTGGCCCTGTCCACATCCCCCCCACAACATCCACAAACACACCTTTCTAATGGAGGTCTCCAGGTCATGATCAGGAGTGGGAACCCTGGCTGATTTCTCCTCTTACCCCCTCCCCCACCCCCCTCCGTTATACAGGAGTGTTGAAGCAGGGCTCGTAGTTCTGCCTGGGGTGAGATCAGCTAACTCACCACAACATCTGCTCTGTTTCTTGGTAACTAGCTCATTGATTGATTTGGGTGGAGCTGCTTTTCACAGTTGTAAATGATCTATAAACCTGCCAGAACTGTATGTGTTTGTGACATTAAAGCTATGATGAGAACAGGTGAAGCACAAGTATGGCTATAGTGCACAAAGAATACTTGGGGATTTTCAGCTCAGTGTTTTGTCTGTGTCCAAGGTAAACTAATTTGCTTTTTTTTTGTCTTTGCTCAATGCGCTGTTTCAGGACACTGTGAGGAAGCTGCTAAACGACCTTCACGTTTATCACGAGAACTACCTCCCGGTGCTGAAGTGCCTGCACATTCTCACAACATCGCTTCCGAAATATCCCCTTGGAAAACAGGTAAGTTCCCGGGCATGCAGGGTGAGACTACAGGGTCTCCGCTGCCTGAAAACTCAACCAGTGTGTTTTGGAAAGGGTCATACGTGGGTGGGGTGGTGAGGGGAGGGGCAGAGGTGTAGGAGGAGAGAGGTAGTTGTTGGGGTTTGGAGAGCAATGAAAGTTGACTGTTTTAAGTGAGTTTTTTTTGCTCGTGATTAACCACTGAGTCCAACGGGTCGCTGGGTAGTGAAGTGATGCGATGAGCTGGACAGGACTTTGAAACCTGTTAAAATGCACCAAAACTGGAGCATTCAGTGACTGCTTTGGAGAAGCAACTGGACACCAAGTTGGAGAGTTACACAGGAGCCAGTGACTGCGGGACTCAGTGAAGGAGCACATTTTGCCTCCCCCAGTCATCGTTCAGTTTTTGTGTTGTGGCAATTGAGCTATTGACATTTGCCAAAAGCACACTGCTTCAGTGCTTTCAATGCAAGAAATCTGGGTTCGATTCCCAGCAGGGCAAAACACTGGGCAAGTTTCCTTACCCCCACGCCGCTGTTTATCTAGCAATAAGTAGGATCCCGGTTGTTAGTCGATTGGTAGATTGCTTTCTGGGGGTTATAATCCATTAAAAAAATAATAATAATTTGGTCCCTTCAATCCACGACTGTTTTGAACTGCTTTGCATAATTGGCTGCCTCATTTTGCCCATAAAATATACAGTCAATTCACGTTGCAGTGTATTCTGTGAATCACTTTGAGACGTCTCGAAGACGTGATAAGGCACTATATCAAATGCAAGGATTATTATCCTTTTGAAGGTACAACTGTACAACGTTTTAATTCTATAATAATTATCGTTGCATTTTAAGGAGCTAGCATCTTTCACATCAGGAGGACTTTCAAAGTGCTTTGTGGGATTTACTTTAAAGTGCAGTGACTAGTTTGTGATTGGTTTGTAGACCAACCTGATGCCAGTTTTGCTGCAGTGTGCATGAATATCAATATTAAAGAATCAACAATGCCACAACTAGTCAGTAGAACAAAGTCTCTATTTATCATTAGGCTGAAACTAACCCAGATGAAGGTAAGATCAGGGATAACTCAATAATAATTAGTACGAACTGGATTCAGCTAGAAATGTACATACAAGTCCCAGAATCGGGGATAGCATTCACCATGGTACGTGGAATGGTTGAAGCAGCACTCATAATAGCTCATAAAAGGGAACTGTATAAGAGCAGACCTTTCTAATTACTCCTCCCCCTCTGCTCTTTTATGGGAATAGAGCAGAGGGGTGGAAGTAACCAGAAAGGTCTTTCCGAGAGCCAGCACAGGCATAATTACAGGAAGGAGCCATCACTAACTGACCAGCTTCCTGTGAAGCAGGGCTTGGTGACGTCAAAGTGGGCAAGTGTCCAGGCTATAACGCATTGGTCATATTTTAATGGACCTCCAGCTACTGCATTATAATGAGGCTTGCCTCTGCTTAGTGGCAGGTGTGGTGAGGGAGTTGTTAGAATAATCATTACCACTCCCTTATCTAAATTAATCACTTGCTGTGACCTGGGTAAGCTGTGTAAATCATTGCCAATGATTAATATTCTGTGTGGGTCGTCTCTAAAACAATAATAATAATCCTTGCATTTGATATTGCGCCTTATCACGTCTTTGAGACGTCTCAAATCGCTTCAAAGTATATACTGTAAAGTGAATTGACTATATTTTCTGGGTGAAACAAGGCTTCAGTTTCACCTTAAACCAATCTGTGTTGCCAGTGTAAGTCTCTGCACAGTTCACAGATGCCATATGATTCTTCACAGATCAGGGACCTGCACAGCACGTGTTTGGAAAAGGAGGTGTGGGAGACCGAAGACTACAGCTCTGCCTTTCAGCTGTTCGGGTAATTATGGTGGATGGACTTTTAGCTTTGAGTGGATCAGTTTGTTGGAATGGGGCACAACAGTGGGTGTGATGCTCCCACCCACCCCCTAAATGTGCAAAGCTAAGCCCTTTATATATGATAATAAGCTTTTCCCTAAAAGGAAAGAATGAAAACAACGGGAGTGGGGGAGGGAATATCTTTCTCTGCGCACAATTTTCCCCTCATACACACATCTTCCAGCAGTCTGTTTATTCCAAGGCCCATCATTAACCATCTGCCCTCTCACCTGGGGTTGGGGCTTCAGCATCCTCATCACTTCAACTGTCAGTTCTTTGTCTCTAGTGATTACAATTCAGCAGTGGGTCATTTACTTGTAGAAGGCTATCACAATCTCCACATCTGCTCTTCCAATCAGGCTCATCCACACTTCCCAGGTAAAAGTAACGGCAGAAAAAACATTCTGAAAAGTTTTTTTTCCTTTATATGCTGTGTTTATATTGGGCATTTGCCAGTGATATTGTGCTAGATGGGGGTTGAGGCACTATCACACAAGAGCTGCTCTCTAAACGTCACCTGGTTTCAGGAGCGATGCAATTCACATTCAGTAGAAACTCAGTCATTGCAAATCGGCATCTCCTTGCCTCCCACCAAACGCACTAGCGCTCTGTTCCCCTATCAAAGCCTTCCTCATTTTTCTACTGCACAAATGCAGGATGACAATACCTTTTCTGGTTATTTTTAATATATAGAATCCACTGCTTTGTAGTTTTTCATTGGGCTGTTTATTGTAATAAAGATGTGTTGGGACATGGAACCCTGATCTTATTTGCTTATTCTGTAAACTGGAGACTGAATCATATCATACTGTTGGGTTGTACTTTAATAAGGTTAGTGAATTTGGGGCAACATTAGTGCAAATGTTGTTTTAATCTGCCCCAGAATGATGGCAAAGGATGAGCTGGTATCTCTGCTGACCAGATGTCTGGACGTGTTGAAGTCTTCTGAGCAGGACAATCTGGAAGACTCTGTTCAAAAGCTGGAAGAACTTCTTACAAGGTTTCAGAATCTGGACAGTAAGTAATGGACTGTGTGTAAGTTGATAATGGTGACATTGGGTGCAGAGAGAGTGTTGATATACAAGCTGAGATCATAGGTGAGCAGGACTTTTTAATCTTTTTTTTTTAATTTTAACATTCAGGCAACATATTCTTTTATATTTTAACTCTTTTTTTGAAGGGCAACATACAGTGTTATTAGTTTAACTGTTATTGTTGAGGTTGCACTGACCCATTTTTGGAAATGAAAATTTGAATGGATTACCTTTAAGTAATGTTATTTCCAGTTGGTTTTCACTACCTGCATCCCAATTAGAACCACCCCAGGCAACTGGATTACCAACCCCAGCCAATTGAAACTCTCTCTCCTCCTCGCCCTTGACTCCCATGAAAACCCACACCACCAGGTACCAATTCAGAGGCTTTGGTATAATAATAATGCTTGCATTTGATATAATGCCTTATCACGTCTTTGAGACTTCTCAAAGCTCTTCACAGAATATACTGTAAAGTGAATTGACTGTATGTTTTGTGGGCGAAACGTGGCAGCCAATTACGCCCAGCAGTGTCCCACCGTCAGCAAATATGGTGATGGAGAAAATTGGACTTGCTGTGATGTGTATTTTTATGTTTAGGTGTTCCGCGTGTAGAGGCAGTCAGAGAAGGTGAAGAAGAGGCGACAACAACCCAGAAATCACTGCAGAGAAAGACTAATCTTTATCAACTCCAAAAGGTTCCTTTATTTCCATTCTGTTTTATTCCTTCTTTCAAAGCAAAAATCGTAAGTTAAACTGCAATATAAATGTTCAACCATTTTTTTAAAAAAAGCAATTATAATATGACTAGCTAAATTGATTTCTTTTACTTAAGATTTCCATAAGCCTAAATATGATAATAATCCTATCCTTACTTTTGGTATGTGCCTTTGACATTGGCAGGATGTCCCAAACCACTTCACATGATATACTGTGAAATGGAATGTGTATTTGCAGGAGAATGCAGCAGCCCACGTGTGCACAGCAATGTCCCACAAACAGCCATGAAACAAATGACCAATTTTATTTGGGATTGTTGGTTGGGACATTGGGAGAAACTCCCTTTTTTCGAATATGGACACAGGATCTTTAGTGTACATTTGAACAAGCAGATGGGAACTGGTTTTAATGTCTCATCTGAAGAACAGAACCTCTGACAATGTAACACAACCTTGGATTCGAATTTCAGCTTAGACTATGTGAGTTCAGGTCCCAAAGTGGAGCTTGAACCCACAACCTTCTGACTCAGAGGCGAGAAGCCAAGCTCCAAAATAACCTCTCACACAGTGCTACTGTTAGGTTGTTCTAATCAGTAGCTACTGCACTAGGATCCAAAGTTCCATCGAGCTTTAAACTACAAGACCATTTTATCTCAAAATGTAAGGTGCAGACATGTGAAAATTTGTTGAATCTTAATTTGTTAACTGGTTTCCCGCAGTTATTAAAAAGAGCCAGCTTTCAAATTAAAGTTGGATTCAAGATTTTTTTCAAAATTTTGTGCAATCTTAAAGTTTAAGACAGTTAATTTTCCACCTGCTTGCAGGCTAAGTCAAGGAGGAATTTCACCCCTCCAATGAGCAGTGCCTGACTGCTGTGTTGCATTGATTTTCTTAGGAGTTGATGGAGAGGAAGACATCGAGGAGATCCAAGAAACTGAGCGGGTTTGAGGTCCTACGTGTAGAAGTTCTTCAATTCATAGACAAGCTTATAAGGTGAGTTGAAGTTGTAGTTCAAAAGTTGGGTAATATAATTTATAATATTAATATTTGTATTGATATAGTAAATCCTGTGAAGCGCATTGAGACACCACCAGTGCTGTATTTGAGTGTCAGCGCACTATAAAATGGCTGTATTTGGGCTATTCTTATATCCTCTTATATTGGATCACATGTATTTTTCCCTTGCCTCTTTTAATTTCTTTCATCAGTTCTCTTCCACCCTCCCAACATCACAGACCTTCCCCCTTGTTTGGGTGGGGGGGCGCTTCCTGTATTGCTCCTGGACCAGCCCAAATGAATGTCCCTCATGGAAAATCCCTATCTGCTGATTCTCTGCCCTTTGTCTGCAACTCTCCACTTGGCTTTGCTGATCCTGGGGATTCAGCAGAGTGGAGAATTAAACCTGCGTCTCCGCACAGGTGCTAGTCAGCAAAATTTCTATTTATTAGCTAAAGTAACCTGCTGGTGTTCCCCACAAATTAGCTCAATAACAATTTTATTGTCAATATGCTGTTCCAGTTGAGCAGTAGGAACTCACTTAATGTGTGTGTTTGCCAGTCTGATGCATGTACAGTTGCTAAGCAAGATGCTGTGCTCATTTCCTGTTGCTAAGAAGGGATGTAATGGGTCATATATTAGATGTTCTGCAGCTGTCTGCACCTGTGACCTCACCATGTGCCAGATAGTCCTGTAAATCCACGGTTATGAGATTCAGGAGACAATGCAGATTCCCAAAATTAGAGGAATGACTGTATAAGCTAGGGCTTTTCAGCCTTGAAAAAAAACCCGGCACAGAGTGTAGTTAACGATCAGAACAAATGATCAGAAATAGTGGCAGAATCTCTCTCCCTATATATATAGAAGAATTAGAGGGAATCTTATAGAAACCTATAAGATCATCAAAGGGCATGATAGAGTAGATAGTGGGAGATTGGTTCCCCTGGTTGGAGAAACTAAAAACAGGGGTCACAACCTTAAAATCAGAGGTCAGCCCTTTCGCACTGAGTTGAGGAAGAACTTCTTCACTCAAAGGGTGGTGAATGTATGGAACTCACTACCCCAAAGGGCTGTTGACGGTCGGTCCTTGAACATATTCGAGACTGAGATAGATAAATTTCTTATTGCAAAAGGGATTAAGGGATATGGGGGTAAGGCAGGGTCAGGTTATTAGCTGGAGTTAGCTCCTCCGTCCCCCCCGCCACCCCGCGCAGGTCATCTCCTCCGACCTTCACTGCGAGGAGATGCTGGATTTCCTTGAATCCAAGATCAAGGGAATCCGCTCCGCGGTCACTTCCCCTCCAACTTCCACCCACCACCCACCCCTTCCCTCCCACACTCCGACTCCTACCCATCCTCCCCTACACACCTTCGTACCCGTTTCCCCACCCTCTGTCACTGAACTCATCCTATCCCTAAAACCAACCACCTGCTCCCTTGACCCCATCCCCACTCCACTCCTTATCTCCCAGCTCCACTTTCTTGCCCCACATATCACTGACATCATCAACCTGTCCCTCTCCTCTGGCTCTGTCCCCATTCCATTAAAAACTGCCATCATCACGCCCACCCTGAAAAAACCCTCCCTTGATGCGTCGCAGCTATCAAGCTACCGGCCCATCTCCAACCTCCCCTTTCTCTCCAAGGTCTTGGAAAGAGTTGTCGCCTCCCAACTGCGCTCTTTCCTTTCCACCCATTCTCTTTTCGAACCCCTTCAGTCAGGTTTCCGTGCTGCTCATAGCACAGAAACTGCCCTGGTCAAGGTCACCAATGATATCCTGACCATCTGTGACCAGGGCTCCCTCTGTCTCCTCGTCCTCCTCGACCTATCGGCAGCATTCGATACGGTCGACCACGCTATCCTACTCCACCGCTTGTCCTCCCACCTCAACCTTCAAGGCACTGTCCTTGAATGGTTTAGGTTGACCCTTTCTCACCGTCTTCACTTTGTCTCGACGAATGGCTTCTCCTCCACCCCCAGTACTGTCTCATGTGGTGTCCCTCAGGGCTCTGTCCTCGGTCCCCTCCTCTTCACCCTCTATATGCTCCCCCTTGGTGACATCATCCGCAGACATGGAGTTAACTTCCACATGTATGCGGATGACACCCAACTCTACCTTTCCTCCTCTACTCTCAACTCCACGACCACCGATGTCCTGACAGCCTGCCTGTCCGACATCGAGTCCTGGACGAGAGACAACTTTCTTCAGCTCAACGTGCGAAAAACCGAGGCCCTCCTGATTGGCTCACGTCAGCGCCTCCGCACCTCAGGCGCTGACACCATCAGCATCCAAGGCTGCACTCTCCACCTCTCAAAGCCAGTCAGGAACCTCGGCGTTTTGTTCGACCCTGAGCTGTCCTTTCTCCCTCACATCCGCACCACAACTGGCACCGCCTTCCATCACCTCCGGAACATCGCCAGACTACGGCATTACCTCACCCCTCACGCTGCTGAAACCCTGGTTCACGCCTTTGTCACCTCAAGGCTGGACTATGGGAACTCTCTCCTCGCCGGCCTTCCCGCCACCTCCCTCCACAAGCTGCAGGTCATTCAGAACTCTGCAGCTCGTGTACTGTCCCGCACCAGGCTTCGGGACCACATCACTCCCACCCTCGCTCGCCTCCACTGGCTCCCCATCCCCCAGAGGATTGATTTCAAGATCCTCATCCTCACCTACAAGGCCATTCACGGCCTTGCTCCCTCCTACCTCTCCAACCTACTATCCCCCTACCTACCTGCCCGTACCCTCCGTTCCTCTGGCTCCGGTCTGCTCCACGTCCCCCGCCCCAACCGCCCTACCATCGGTGGTCGGGCCTTCAGCCTCTCAGCCCCCAGGCTCTGGAACTCCATCCCCCAGTGCCTTCGCCTTGCTTCCTCCCTTTCCTCCTTCAAGGCCGGCCTCAAAACCTTTCTCTTTGACCGTGCCTTCAGCTCCCCTCTCGACTCTCTTCCCCCTCCTCGCTCCCTCCCTTCCCTCCCCTCACCATTTCCCCCCTCCTTGCTCCCTCCCTTCCCTCCCCTCACCCTGACCATTTCCCCCCTGCTCGGGTCATGACCCAACTGTGCAGCGCCTTGGGACGTCCTCCTGACGTGAAAGGCGCTTTATAAATGGAATCTTGTTGTTGTTGTGGAGTTAGATTAGAAGATCAGCCATGATTGAATGGCGGGGCAGGCTCGAAGGGCCGAATGGCCTACTCCTGCTCCTACATGTTATGTTAATCCAGAATACTAGATTCATTTAGGTTTGTAGGTTTTGTATTCTGAAATGATGAGATCAAATGGTCTACATCTCCGTTGCAATATTGTGTGATTTTAAAACAACCTTTGGAACATTGGTTGTCAGCCTCACTCAGGTGTTAGCCCTGCTAGGTTGGTTGACTCTTGTCTCTGAGACAGAAGATTGTGGCTCAAGCCCACCAACGGGACTTTGAGTTCACACAGCTGACTGGGAGCTCAAGCTGGGGTTCGGGGTTCCTGAGGAGTGACGAAGGTGGGCGAAAGGGCAGACAAAAAACAAGGTCTTAAGGTGGGTTTTCAAAGTGAGCAGGGAGTGACCAAGGCAATGGGACTCCATGGTGGAAGGTCACCAAGAGCGGGGGCAGAATGGCTGAAAGCTCATCCAGATAGTAGGGGGGATCAGTCGTGGGGCAGTGCTCCTGCAGCCACTGTATTGAAATGTTAGACTGTGAGCTCAAAATCCCAATGTGGGGCTTGAACCCACAACATTCTGACTCAGGGACATTCTTACCAACTGAGCTAGGCTGAAACAATGTTGATTCTGGCTGTGCAAAGATGTACTTTTTTCCATTTGTTTTTAATCATTGTGTATTTCTGTTTTTTTTGCAGAGATTACCTATTGCCACCAGAGACACAGCCACTGCACGAAGTTACATATTTCAGTGCTGCAAGCACCCTTCGAAGACACTTGAATGCTGCACCCCGCAATGCCTTGCAGACAGCATTAAATAATCCATACTACTACCTGCAGGTAATGCAAAGCTCAACATTTGCAGCCTTAACAAGGTATTTTGCTGTCTTTTACATTTTTGTGTTCTCTCCTGTTATACATAAGCAGGCAAGCAATAAACCCGCTTCTAAACTTCTGCCTGATTTTCTTCGCTCGTGGAGGTTTTCGAATTCCATTTTACTTTTGCTAGAGGCACTCTGGTATCTTGCCTTAGTTTCCCACGATCCCAAATTCCCTTCTTGCACCTGTTTTCAAAACCCTTCTAGAAATCTATCTTTGCACCTCTGGTCAGATTTCCCCGCTCTCATTTGCCACTTTGCTTGGGCTCCAACCCCATCGTAAGTTTTTTGAGACATTATCCAACATGAAAGGTGCTATATAAATGCAAGAAGTTGTTGTTGACTCCATCAGTATACAGGGCAACTCCATTTTAATGCAGGGTCTCAAATAAAAAAAAGTAGACACTGCTATAATGGAGGCGGGGAGGGGGGGGGAGGTGTTAAGGGGAAATCCACAAACAAAAATGACCACTAGTGCATTGAGACAGTGTAAAGTTCCCTGTACGTTTAAGAATAAAGTATTTCTTTATTTTCCTGTGTTGGTTTATTCAGAATGAAATCTTGAAGAGTGAGACAGGCACTATTCCCAACACAGCACCTGATATCTGTATAGTGTACAAACTTCACCTGGAGTGTGGCCGGCTGATTAACCTGTACGACTGGTTACAGGTAAGCTTGGGATTTCTTTTGTTATATGATGGGGGGTTGCAGCTCGGGGAAGAAGAGGGTTTGTTCACGATTAATTCTATTTGGACCTCACCAGGTGTTGTTTTGTTACTTTCTAGTTAACATGTTCATTATATCACAAGTGATGGCTCTTCCACTAACGCTGTCATTTGATGGAGGTGGTGTCATTAGTGAAAACAGATGGCAGTGAGGGGGTGAGGAAATGACAAGGTCGTCAGAAGCTATCTGCAGTCCACATCAATATCATTTGCATTTTTTTTCTGTGTGCGGCATGTTGAACTTTGCCCCTTGAATCCCCCCCCCCCCATCTGATTCTTGCTAAGGAATACAGGGGTCGATTGTCGGGGTAAAGAAAATTTACCAAATATTGTATGATTAACACCATAAATGTTGGTTAAGATAGTCAGCTCCTATAAATCTACTTTGATTTTATTCTGTAATTCCATCCAAGTAACTAGAGCTATCAATATTACTAAAAGTAGTTTTTTTGATCCCAGGCAAGTTATGGCAAAAATCCAAGGGTAGATAAGCTATTCTGATCATAGCGATGGCAACAAGTAATTCAAAGTACAGGGGGCAGTTGACCAGGTGTGAGAATAGGATTTCTGTTCAGGTTTGTGCTAAACACAACTGTTCCACATAATTTCAGGCCACAAGGAAAGAAAAGATGTGCAGAACAATTTTGTTTCTTCAGAAAGCAAATTCACTTCAAATTTAGGTAGAATTAAGAGGAACAACCACCATGGTAGTTCTGTCAATAAAGAGAAAGTGTAGGGTTGAGTTGAAAAGATGTCAAAGGCTAGATATAAGCGAATGACAATAACATAATCTTTTAGTTGGTTTCGGGTTGTGATGATGAAATGTACAGAGCTTTACAATTAATTCCTATCAAGGGCATTAATTGTATGTATAGGCAAATCCAGAAGCTAATTTATGCACCACGAAGACCCTTGAATGATCAATTTATCAAGAACTGCTGGCAATACACAGGAATAAACTCCTTTCTCTTTTTGAAGAATGCAAATGGGAGCTTTAATGCCCACCAAGCCTTGGTTTAATGGCTCATAAAGACCATGCTGAAACTCTAGTGCAATGGTGGGGGAAGGACTGCATTGTTGGAGTTGCTGGCCTTCAAATGTCTTATCTGCCTTTTCCGATGGAGGTCAGATGGATGTTTAAAATCCCATGGCATTATTTAAAACATTGGGGGGTTCACTCGGTATCTTGGCCAATATTCCTCCCTCATCCAGATTCACCAGAAAGGCAGATCAATTGGTCATTCATCTCACTGCTGTCTGTAGGACATTGCCAATGTAGATTAACTCCATTTAAGAACATAAGAATTAGGAGCAGGAGTACGCCATTCGGCCCTTCGAGCCTGCCCTGCCATTTGATAAGATCATGGCTGATCTTGAGACCTAACTAATTATCTGCCCTATCCCCTAATCCCTCTATTTTTAAAAAATCTATCAGTCTCAGCCTTGAAGATGTTCAAAGCCTGAGCATCTACAGCCTTCTGGGGTAGTGAATTCCATAAATTCACTACCCTCTGAGTGAAGAAATGTTTCCTCGACTCTGTTCTAAAATGCTAACCCTTAATTTTAAGACTGTGACCCCTGGTTATAGATTCTCCTACCAGGGGAAACAGACCCTCAGTGTCTACTTTATCCAGCTCTTTAAGAATCTTATATGTTTCAATAAAATCTCCCCTAATTCTGCTGTACTCTATAGCGAATATAGCCCCAGTTTATTCAGCCTATCCTCATAGGTCAGTCCCCTCATCCCAGGGACTAACCGAGTGAATCTACACTGCACCCCCTCTAGGGCAAGTATGTCCTTTTTTAAATAAGGAGACCAAAACTGCACACAATACTCTAGGTGTGGTCTCACCAAGGCCCTATACAGTTGCAGCAAGACTTCCCTACTCTTGTACTCTAAACCTTTTGCAATGAATCTTGTGCTCTAAACCTTTTGCAAAGTAAATTGCTACAATTCAAAATAGCTCATTGTATGAGGCTGTTGAAACATTTATGTCATAAGCTGCTATATCAAATGCAAGTTATTAGGAGTTGTAGTATTCTTTATCATCAGAGGTACTTTAACATATAAGAGGTTTTGAAGCTGGCTGACATCAACAACAAGGTCAGTTTGGGAGGCTGGAATGTTTTTGTAAAAAAAAAGTTTGTAATGCAAAACCACTTTCTATTACATTACACATTCCCAAGACAGGTGTGTCAGTCCTTTTCCTTTTCCACGGTAGAAGCTCCAACATTCCTAAGCCTCCACTGATAATGTGAGAATATGGGGAGGGTTAAATAAGGTCTGCAATAGTTTTTGAAATAAACTAATCCCTGATATTAAGCAGATTGGAGGAACTGGACATTTTCGGTTGGAAAAAAGAAGGTAAGGGCGACCTGCTAAAGGTCTTTAAAATGTTGAGGGGTTTTGAAGTCAATAGTGAGAAATTGTTTTCACTGATCACTGTGACTAGAGGACATCAATTTAAGATAGCTAGCAAAAGGGGAGATTAAGAGATTTTTTTCTGGGAGTGATGGTTGAGTCAGAATCCATATAAGCTTTCAAAAGGGAACTACTGTAGAGAGATTTAAAAGGGAGTAAATTATAAGAGTACGAGGAAAATGCACTGAATGGGACTGAAAGGATTGCTCTTTAAAAGAGCCAACAGAGACACGATGGGCGGAATGGCCACCCTCACTGCAAATTTCTACAGTTCACGCACACACACACTTTTGAATGAAATTGGTGAGCTAGCGATAACATAAATGGGATGTGGATTTTTTTTACAAGTCTGGAATATAAAAGTAAGAAGGAACTTCTTCAGTTATCTAGAGCACTGATCAGACTTCATTTGGAGTGGAGTACAGTTCAGTTTGGGCACATGATCTTCAGAAGGAGTTACATTGAAGGTTCACTAGATTAATACCCGGTGTGAAGGGCCTTGTATGATGAGAGGATTGGTGGACTGGGATTATATTTCTTAGACAGAGAAGGTTTAAGAGGATTTAACATATTGAAAGCAATTGATGTTACATACCGGACAGCTATCTTGGTAGAGGCATTTATTTCAAAGGCTGCATAAAACTTTAAAATCAGAGCCAAAGCATCTAGAACTTGGGTCAGGAAGTGTTTCTTCACACAGAGGATTGTGAAGATGAAGAATTCTGTGCCCCCAAATTCCGTGGAGTCAGAATCAATAGGGATGTTTTAAAGAGAGAAACATGCTTGACACCCAGTATAGATATATCAAGGGGTATGGCAAAAGGACAAGGCATTGGAATTGAAAGATCTAAGATTCAGCACTCTAAACAGCCTATTTTTTCCACCTGTTCTTTCCTATGTTCCCAGCATTATAATAATCCTTGCTTTTGATACATGATAAATGCCTTGTCATGTCATCAAAATGTCCCAAATCGCTTCACTGGATTTACCCTAAAATCCAGTGACAATATTCGTAGGCAAACTTAGCAGTCAGTTTGCCCACAGCAAACCCCCCACTAACAGCCAGGAAGTCAATGACCAATTTTATTTGGGGGTTTGTTGGCCAGGACACTCAGAATCTGCAGTTGCAGAGTGGCATTCGGAAGTGTTAAAGTTAGATTTTGCTTAAGTCAAAAAAAAGCTGCAAAATTAGGTTTGTTAATAAAAGTTGCTGGATCTATTGTGATGGAGAAACCTGGCAGACTTATGCTTTGCCATAACTGAAGTGTTGATTTTAATTGTGAAACATTATTCATTATTATTGTAAATATTTGTTCTGCTGTGACTTGGAAGGGAAATTGTTTTACCTCCAGGCCTTTGCGATGGTGGTAAATGCTGCAGAAGGCAATGACCCAGACACGCAGGTCGGCAAACCAGTGGATAAAATTCTACAGTATCCTTTTTGTACACTTTCACATCCATTGTGGAAACATGAAAAAGGACTACAAAATATCTGTAAGTAATCTCTCATCTAGTCACTTGTCCAACTAAATCTCATGATTTTTTACCTTAAGACTGTTGACATTTAAAAGCATGCAAAATTTTGGAAAATTATTTTGTAAAGCCCATACAAAGCAGTAAGGTGCTGGTTAGAATCCCAAGTTAGTGCTGAGGTTAATTATAATAATCCTTGTATTTGATATAGTACTTTTCACGTCTTCTAGATGTCTCAAAGTGCTTCACAGAATATACCGTAAAGTGAATTGACTGTATATTTGTGGGTAAAACACGGCAGCTAGTTGCGCACAGCAGTGTCCCAAAAAGTCGTGGATTGAAAATGACCAAATTATTATTGTTTTTTTTGAAGGATTATTACCCCCAGAAAAGCGATCTGCCAATTGACTAACAACTAGATTCCCACTTACTGCTAGATGAACAGAGGCGTGTGGAGTAAGGAAACTTGCCCAACATTTCGGCAGGCCGGGGATCAAGCCCAATTCTAATTGTAGAATTACCACAAGTGGCCGTGGTTAGGGAAGGGAAAGTCAAAATGGGTTTGTTCCTGATCATTATCCACAGCCCATTCCTTGAAAGTGTGCATGTGAGAGTTGAGGATAGGATTAAGTCTGGTTGTGATGACCCTGTAATCAAACAACCTTCCAACACTCAGGGGAAAGACTTGCATATGGATACTGAAAGGCAGAACATATTCAGGTGGGGAGAAAATTCAACAAGGAAAATTAGTTGTGGTAGTGGAAAGAAGAGAAATATTTCCACATCTTATTAATATATTTGCCTAGTTTGATGGTGTAAAAGGCTCAGTAATCATTCAGTGTCCACCAGGCAAGATATTAAATTTAGGGAGACAATGTTAAGTAGGACTGCCCTACATCTCAGGGTTAAACACATCTTTATCTCGACTGTCAACGGTCCCTTGGAGTACTCTAGACCGGGGTTGGATTGCATGTCTCTTCTGAGCCCGTTCACCCCTAGCAGAAGGCGTATATTAGACAAGACCTTAATTTTATCAGATTAAACCTGGTTTTAAGCCCAGGTTTAAACTGACTTAAATTTAGAAAGGGAAGTATTTGACACTTAAAGTTGATGAAACATTTTCTTTTACTAAAAACTGGGAAATGTTACAATATTGTTTTTTTCCTTGATCAACTTCATCAGTGCTCGGTTTATTCGAGCAGTTTCTGAGCTAGAATTTTTAGGCTTTGTGAAACCAACCAAAAGGAAGACTGATCACGTGGCAAGACTGACGTGGGGTGGCTGCTGACCACAAGAAAGCTTGAAATACCTTCCTACTTGTTCTGTTTGCCTTACAAGACTTTTTGACCAAGGAATCAGTATGCCTAAAGCTATACACTTTCCTAGTTACATAGTGATCTGGCACAGAACCAGGCAATTTGGCTCAAACAGTCCAAACCATACAATTATACAGTATTGTGAAAGAAAGTGAACTAATATGCCTAGTTTCACCATTGATGGAAGGTGTAAGAACCACCAGGTTGATAATAAAATAGATATTGGGTAATTGAGTCTGGAAATGCAAAACATAATATGTAATCCTTTTTTTCTCCCCTAACCAACTGATAAAAACTGCCTATGTACTGTAGTTGATCAGAGGAACAACCTACTTATCCAGTGGACTACCTCTTAATATTTTGGGAAGGTTTTTATTTAACAAACCAATAAAAGTACAAGCTTGGCTCTTTACTCTAGCATACTGCGTGTGGCTGTCTATTCTTACTTTAGAACATTTCAGATGTCACTTTGTAAAAGTTAACAACCACAATTTGGCCACTGAACATCCAACACTATGGAAGGTAAAATGAGGCTTATAATTAAGCAGATGTATGTGGGTTTGTTCTAGAACAGGTTTTCAGGCAAGCCATTATAATTAGAGCAATTGCATCTTGCAAAGTAAGTATACTGTATTAGAGGTTAATCTATACTAAAATGTCTGTCTGAGCCATGATTTATACCTAGTCAGAAAGGTCTTGCATAGGGGAGTATTGGGGGCATATTTTGGGGGATCTCCTATTGTTGAAATAGGAAATATAAAAAAATGCTTTAGTTAAACCCTAAAATATGCGTTATGTATGGTATTCTGCAACAAAGTAGTAACAGAGGAAATCACTCTTCTAGAGATACATCAGAGAGAGAAGGAGTGATGAAAAAAATTCAACGCTACATTTTTAAAATCTCTTCCCCTCCCTCCCAAAATGCACCGAGTCCCATAATCTCTTGAAGGTAAGAAGGTTATATTGGGGAGGGGGAGAAGGGAGAGGTTATATGAGCACGTGTGTCAGGAGGGAGGGGTTAAAGCACTGCTCAGACTGACTAAGCACCAGGAGCCAAGAGCACAGCTCACACACCAGTGTCTATCCGCCAATAATGCAATAATCGATTGATGTTAAATATCTCGACCTTGTCGGAAAGGTCCCGCACAGGGAGTGTTCACAGGCTTTTTTGGGGATCTCTTATCTTTCATGGGCTATGACCTAAACAAGCTCATCACACATGTATGGCAGTGTTGCTCAAGGTGTAGTGTTTATGGCATGTTAAATGGTTTGAGTGGTATCACTGAAATCTACATTCCATTATGGATCTTCTGGTACAGCTTGTATTTTATAAAAGGATGTCCCCAACCATGTAGATAGTTAACCATGATCCCTTGATAGTATATTATAGTATTACTTGTTGGAAATAAGACACAATCTATCGAAGTGTGACGAAAACCTGAGTCCCGTTAAATGTGAGAGCTGGTAGGACAGAGACAATAAAAAGGACCAGAGTCCTTTACCATATCTTTTTACTTGTCCTTTCAAACATCAAGCTCTGACACTCAGGTTTGAAGATCATCTTGAAGCTTCCAAATTCCTCCAGTCTCACTCCAGCACTCTGTTCTGACTCATTTACATTCCTTAGTCTCATCTCAACAGGCCAAATAACTCGACAACAAGTGGCTCAAACTGGCACCAAAATTTTTCTTAACATAAAGTTCTTAATATAATCTTTATCCATTCTTTTTGGAAAAGCAAGCATTTAAACTGATTCCCCACCATTTTGGCAAAACCACAAGATGCCCATCACAAGGACTGCATTAATTTAAATAGAAAGCCCACCACTGCCACCTTCTGAGAAACCAAATGCCATTTCAAGATTACATGATCCCATTTATCATTCCAGCTAGAATCTAAGCTCTGCCTTTTGGCTTGTAGCATGCTTGAGTCAATTCTGTGCTGATCCAATTTTCAAGATCACATGGATACCAGTGCCCACCATCTTTAAATCCTCTCCCCAAAGCATGTTAGGTCCTCCAGTTGTACCCTTATTTGTTTTGTAAACATACTGGCTGTGGTGAAAGGGGCCAGAACTTGCCTAGGAAACTGCTTTATTAGTTTGTGCAGATCACAACTCAAATTACACATCTAATTCACCAGAGGCCATAGAGCCAGTACAGAAGAGAGCAACGAAGCTCATCCAGGAACTATTGGCTAAGTTCTGGTCTTGTAGAGGTCTCAGAGACCTCATAAGAGATATATAAACTTGCCTTGCACCTTTCACATTAGGATAAGAAAAGCCCTTTAAAAAGATTGATGCTTTAATGGGAAAATGCAAGATGTCAAAGGATGAGATCAAATGGGCTGAAGGGCTTTCTTCCTTCAAATATGTGATATTGTAATCAAGCATCACTCAAAAGAGAAATTGCTCAGATTACACAGACTATACAAAAAATACACTCAGTCATCAAGACCAGATCACCATATTATTTAAATCACTTTTTAAAAAACTCAAAAAAAGGATGTAAACTTTTTATTGTCAACTAAACTCCATTACACTACAAAGGACAGTAAAATAATGGTACATCAAATGCAGAAATAAACTTTGAAGGATTGCTAGAATAAATAAAAATGACTATTTTACTCCAAAATTTATGAAGCTTCAGTTCCCCTCTTCCTAAATTTATTTTCCTTTCTCAGAACACAGATACTCCCTGCTGATCCCTTCATTTGACAGGTAATACCACATCAATGTGCAGGCAATCACTTCTATTTTAGGGTATGGAATGTCCATCACCTAACATCCAAACTGAAGAGTTGATTTTTGCCTGCAGAACTGTTGTAGTGCACAATGAGCCTTTGCAAACCTTTGCTCTCCAGCCAACTTAAGGCATTCTAGACACCAAAAACATTGCTAAGTTGCTGCAATCTTCACAGCTACTTGTTGGAGACTGTGCACATCAGGTTTACTGAAAGTCCGCAGTTAGTTAACTGGGCCCAATTTCTGCAGGTCATTTTCAGAATTTGCCTACACCAGTAAAGCCAGGAGACAAGAATGCAGGTTACAAAAAGTCAAATTTGTGTACAATTAAACACCCCGTATTCAAAATATTAGTACAGCACAATTCCAACTAGTATTGAAATAGGTAAATATGCAAACTACTCTACTGCTGCCAATTTACACGGGAGGACAATTGAAACAGTTCAATCTGCCTCACCCCAGTGAAGTAGTTTGCATACATTAGCATAATTAACATTGATACTAGATTGAATTGCATCTTACTAGCTAGTTTTAATCCAATACTAAATCACGTAGAAAAACAAAGAAACCACCTTGTTCTACCTGAACATCTACTGGCATCCAATATTAAACCCCACTGTTGTTAATATGAATGGATTCTAAAAAATTGGACAAATAAAAATCTCCAAGTCTCAATTCAGGTAAGAACTTGGAAATATGAGAAAGTTTAAGAACACCTGTACACTATGAATAAAAGATATCAATGGTTTACTCCCCTCTTCTGTTTTTAAGGCTGCTAGAAGTCAAAGGTTGCAAAAAAGGCTCATTATCAAACCATAATCGGACTGATTTTTCTAAAATCTGGCATGTTAAGATACAATCCTGAAACTATATGTGAAGGGCAAATTCTGGAATACCAGTATTGCTCTTAAATTTGTTAAAGTAAAAAGCTTTGCAGATTTTAATACAGCAAATTTATAAACAGAGGGAGACACTGGTATATAAGTACAGGTAGCGAAGGTCCAATAGGTGATGACATCAGGGAGCAGTCCAATAAACATATGCCGCAGAAAAAAGTGGTGGTGGCCACTGACACAAGCTGAAAACACCCTGTGCTCACAGGTGGTTAATATGGCACTGCCGTAAGTCTCAGAGAAACAGCCAACTTGCAGTGATCAAAAGGAAAAGGGCACTCCGCAGAAACGTGAGACAATTCAAGACACATCTGTTGACAAAAACAAAAGAGCTTAAGAAACAGGGTTATTTAAGCATAACTTTCAATTTTGTTAAGAGTACAGTATTAAAAACATCGCTACCATTAAAAATTAACCTGGATCAGTGGGTAAATAGCTGGTGTGGGACTAAGTCATACAGGCCAGCAACAAGATCTCAACTTTGTAGTTATCAGTCGGGCTTTTGGGGAGGGAATCTAAAACCTTTATATCCCATTATAGATTTAGTAAATTAAGACATCTTAAGATTCAATATTCCAAGTAAAACGCTTTAGTTTCCAACATAATATACAAACCATCAATAACTTGAGAAAAATCATACCATTTACAATATTAAAACATCACCAATTTTTTAAAATACAACAATTTCCTCACTGAAGGCCAACTCTTGCTGGATCATTAAGCATTCCTACTCGGAAGGATAGAGCAAACATTCATACATACACCTATGTACTGTTCAGCAAGGAGACGCAAAAGTTATTGGAAATACAGACCCAGGTTTATCAGCAAACAGTGGACGTTTCTACAGTGGATGCCGCACTAATCCCAACCCCCACCCAACAAAACACCAATTCAAAAGGGCCATATAAATAAATACATGTCAAATAAATAGTATAATATAAAAAAGACAGTATCAAAAATTTTTGGAGACTTGTTACCACATACAAATAGATGCATGGCAAAAAACCATCAGTGGTGCCCAACTAGCTTTTGCCAAAAAAAGCTTATAGGCACAATATAAAATAAATACATCCTCACATTAGATATTATGCCTTTTAATTTGGGAGGACATGTCAAATAAATAGTATAATATAAAAAAGACATCAACACAATTCACAGGCTTTCCTGTAAAGTGTGGCGACTACATTTTTGTAATGACCATCCTTACATTTGGTACATAGGTGTAGGTGATAGAATGGAGGTCCATTGGTTTGGACCTACTAGTCTCGAACCTATGCAGTCAGAGCAAGGATTGGATGAGAAATACACCAAGACAGTCACAATCAATCAACTGCTTCAAAGTAACTCCTGGGAGAAGGCCTGCTTCCCTTCATGCGCATACAATAATCTAAAATGAAAATAAACTATCACAAGTCTTTTAAATAAATGTTATTTAAATTTATCGAAGGAATACATACAGCTGGCAGGTTGCTCTCCATATCGTCGCATTATCTGGTCATGTGTGAACTTCACAAAAGTGTCATATTGTTCTGGAAAGAGCAGATGGTCAGTTCAGTGATTTGTGCCATGTAATACAATCTACATAGCACCTTTCACATCAAGGACACAGCATTTTACACAGCTGGACAGTCAATAGAGCGGGTGTGGGGGACAGACAGACAGACAGGGAAGACCTGGAAGCAATGACTGAAAACAGTCAGAGGCGAGTGTTAATGTGGGCTTTAAAAGTGAGCAGTCAGGGAGACTCCCAGGTGGAGTTCCAGAGAGCAGACTAGAATGGCTCATTCCTACTCAGAAATCAAAGTAGGATTGAACGAAATGGAAAAAAGACTAAGTTACTTTGTTGAAGCCTCATAACTCACTCACACAGGATATAGTTGTTAAGCACTCCAAGGCGCTACCCCATGTGAAGAGCGCTATATAAATGCAACAACAACAACAAGATTCCATTTATAGAGCGCCTTTCACATCAGGAGGACGTCCCAAGGTGCTGTACAGTTGGGTCAGGACCCAACTGCAAGTTGTTTTTAAACCAGAAATAGTTATAACAGTGTGCATTCACCTAAAAAAACACATTGAAGGGCCAGAGAGATGGTAGAAAAAGCTGGCAGAATAGGCTTTGCCACTGCTAATTTACATTTTTAAAAAATCACTAATAACTGATTTTGTATTATACCTGCCAGCTTTGTATCCAGTATTTCTTCATACTGTTCACGAATTTTCTCTTCTCGCTCTTTAATCAGGCGTTCACAGATCATTCCAACTTGTCTCAATGTGAACAGAGGCTGGTCTTTCTTTGACTGTGGTGACAATGATCCAGATGAAGTACCTGAAAATAAAAGCAATTATTTTAAATCTTACAGACCTTTCCTTGGAATCAACCAACTGTAGTTTGGCTCAGCTTCTGCGCTTTGTCTCAATCCTTTTCATTTTGAAATAGATACTGAAACAGAATTTAATCCACTACATGCATATATAATAAAACTCAGTCTTATCTTTATCTTATCTCATCATAATTGCCCAAGTTGTACATTCACCCAAGTCAAATTCAGTTTCCTACTACTTAGATTTCTACTTGTTTATTTCTTTGAAATATTTGTATTAATCACCTCCTAACTCATAATGTCACCCCTCCCCCCTACTCCTGCATTTACCAGCGGCCTTGAACCGCAGGAAATGATGTCCAGACCACTGAGGCATGTGCACTTACCAGCTGACCATCAAATCTTGAGAAATGTAGCTTTGATCAGTCCCTGCATGATTCCAACACTTGTGGGTAATGCATTGAATCGTGGGAAATGTAGTCTTGTGCAGTAAATATTGATTAATCAGATTTTCAACAACTTAATTTGCCTGCAGGTTGGATTCATGCAAGTCATTAAATGGGATGATCAGACGTGAGTTTTACTGAACTGATTAGCTATTCATTTAACTGAAATGTGGGACTGTTGTCCTCCGTGTGGTGCAGAGATTTCCAAATGTCTCCTTTTCTGAATTCCTGTATCTACAAGGACACTCGCAATGTCAGACATTAAAAATTAAGCAAACTTTTTTAAATCCAGGCTAAGCATTCTGGCTTCTCAAGCAGCTTCAATGAGCACCATATGATGGTTTTGATGCTTGACCTTATTGGAGAATAACCAGAAACTATTTTAAGATTAGCAAATTGTACTTTCTGTAGGAATACATTTCAAAGAAAAAGTTTTCAATGTCATTGCCAACTGTATTCACCACACAGCAATTAAAGAAACATTAACTGCCCTCAGCAGAAACCATGCTGGAAGCCCCACATACCTTGCAAGGCATGGTCATTTAAAACTGAAACATGGGATTGTGCGTCACTTGAACAGCTGGCCTCCGTCTGGTGCAGAAAGCTTTCTAAATGTCTTCTTTTCTGAATGCGTTTGTACTCCTGTTTTATGTTATGCAGAATTTGTTCTGTAAAGAAAAAATTACACATCAGATCTTTTCCACTGAAGGAACAGTTTTGGAACCTGAAGTAGAAGTATTTTAAACACAACTGGTAAACAAGTCATTGTCTGGTCATGGGAAATAAACTTGTGATACTAACCACATTGCTCAAAAATAGGTTAGAATGAGAACATGTATTTGAATGAAATTAAGCCACTTTTAGAACCATAGAAATGTACAACACAGTAATGATTCATCATTCTTTTGCATCATTTCCATGTGTTCAATGGTGCAGTTTTAAATTATCCTACAGATACTTGAGAGCAAGGAATATTACAATTAATTTGTTGAAGTCATCAACAAATTGTGTATGGCACAAGATCAGTAGCCTTATGTCACCAAATTGGTTACACTTCAGTAAGGAGTACATGAGAAAATGGTGAACTGTGATCCAATTCCAACTCAGTATCTTTGTACACCTTGTAGGCATCAGCCTGGCTCAGCTAATAGTACTCTCACCTCCGAGTCAGATCATTGGGAGTTGAACTCTGACTAGGCTGATACTCCAGGGCAGTACTGGGGGAGTGCTGCATTGTAAGAGATACCAGTCTTCGAATGAGATGTTAAGCCAAGGTCACATTTGCCCATTAGGGTGCACTTCAAAAGGTCCATTGACATAATTCTAAAAAAGGGAGTTTCTCCTGGTGTCCTGGCCAACTATTCCCAGATAAAGTTGGACACTTACTTCATGACTGTCTGTAGGACATGGTGTGTACAAAATTAGCTGCCACATTTGTGTGTCACAAATACATACCACACTGTACAATACAATCCTGTGAAGCATTGAGATATTTTAACCACACAAAGTGCTATATCGAATGCAAGATTTATTATAACTTGATTCATTAACTGAAACATCAGCATTCTAATTTCCGAACAAGTTATTCTACCTGTTCCACCTATGCAGTTCCCAGCTGCCAATCATTAAAACCTTCACTATACATCTAACTATAAAATTTATATAGCGTCTTTCACATTGGGACGCCATCTCAAAACATTTGACACGGTCCTGAATTCTCACTTTTCAGATTTTGAAAAAAGGACACAGTTTACCAACATTGTACCAGAATAGCAAAATGTAAAAACAAGCAAAAGCAAACAAGAGCAGTTCAAAATACTGGACCTGACTAGAGCATGAACACCTGCATAAACAAACTAAAAGGAACAGAATGGCTAATATTGCAAATTAACAATTCCCTTCCCAAAGGCCAGCTAGCAAAGTGATGCATTTTAATAACTGTTTACAATACCAACATTGATGTACAAAGTATACAGAAGATAATTTAAAATGAAACTTGCTTTGAGGAGTCAAGGTTTAAAGATTCTAATGTTCTAGACTCAAATTGATAAGAATCCCTTTAACCATAAAAGCTATACTGTATAGCTTACATCTCTAGCTAGATTTTAAATATGCAGCTAAAGTGCACATTCCACAAAGATGAGTGCATTATTACACTCAGAAAATGTATTGCCAGTGATTTAGCCAAAATTGCATACAACATAAAAAACAGAAGAATCAGTTTTCAAAGTCTCAAAGATGTCTATCAACAGTCAATTTCTCATGATGCTGAAATATTAATTCAGATATGGTCAACAAGCCTTATATAGTACAACCACCAGCCTACACAATTCAAACACCTAGCAGCTGTCTAAAATGACTAGTTGAATTGCAATAATAGCAGTATTACTAAAATTAAACTCAGAATAATTATACAAATCCACCCACAGAGGAACACCTCCATGACACCACATATTTTTAGTTTTCAATTTATTGCTTCTAATTTAATTTTTAAGTATAATAAGTTTCAGCTGATCAAGTCTGAAAATCAGTTTCTCCAAATCCTTTAAAAATAATGAATGACCTTACCCTTCAATTGCAATGTTCACACCAATTACCCATGATTGTGTGGTGCTGTGCATAGTGCTGTTCTTCTGTTGGTGGATTTGTAACATAACATGTAGGAGCAGGAGTAGGCCATTCGGCCCTTCGAGTCTGCCCCGCCATTCAATCATGGCTGATCTTCTAATCTAACTCCAGCTAATAACCTAACCCTGCCTTACCCCCATATCCCTTAATCCCTTTTGCAATAAGAAATTTATCTATCTCAGTCTCGAATATGTTCAAGGACCGACCGTCAACAGCCCTTTGGGGTAGTGAGTTCCATACATTCACCACCCTTTGAGTGAAGAAGTTCTTCCTCAACTCAGTGCGAAAGGGCTGACCTCTGATTTTAAGGTTGTGACCCCTGTTTTTAGTTTCTCCAACCAGGGGAAACAATCTCCCACTATCTACTCTATCATGCCCTTTGATGTTCTTATAGGTTTCTATAAGATCTCCTCTAATTCTTCTATATTCTAGAGAATATAGGCCCAAATTGGTCAGCCTATCCTCGTAACTCATCCCCTTCATCCCTGGTACTAACCTAGTAAATCTACGCTGCACCCCCTCCAAGGCAAGTACGTCCTTCCTTAAATGAGGAGACCAAAACTGGACACAGTATTCCAGGTGTGGTCTCACCAGCGCCCTATACAGTTGCACAAGACTTCCCTACTCTTATACTCTAATCCTTTCATAATGAACGCTAACATACCGTTCGCCTTCCTAATTGCTGCTGCGCCTGCAGACTAACTTCCTGTGATTGGTGTACAAGGACACCCAAGTCCCTCTGGACGCTAACACGTTCCAATCTCTCCCCTTCTAAAAAATAACCCGCTCTGCTGTTTTTGCTACCTAGGTGGATGACTTTGCACTTCCCTACATTATACTTCATCTGCCACCTACCTGCCCAATCACCTAACCTATCTATGTCTCGCTGCAATTTTTTAATGTCGTCCTCTGTTTTGACACTTCCTGCTAGTTTTGTGTCATCCGCGAATTTAGATATATTAAATTTGATGTCCTCATCTAGATCATTGATGTAAATGGTAAATAGCTGAGGCCCAAGGACTGATCCTTGTGGCACTCCACTAGTCACATCCCGCCAATCTGAAAAGGACCCGTTTATTCCTACTCTTTGTTTCCTACCCGTTAACCATTCTCCAATCCACGTTAATATGCTCCCCCCAATTCCGTGGGCCCTTATCTTTTGGATCAACCTTGTATGCGGCACCTTATCGAAAAAGGGTGGTGAAGTTGCATGAATAAAAAGATAAACAAAACCGAAAGAGAAACTATTCAAATTGAAACGTTTTATTCTAAGAAACATTTAGGGCAAGAGAAACTCAAATGACTTCTATATTCATGCCAACCTGTCAAGGTTATGATATGAACAGATGTACCAATGTCTGCTGTCATAGAAAATTAATTTAGCCCTCAATTTGATAGGTTTTATTAAACTTCAGAAACATTCTGGGAGCAAATAGTTTACATATGATAAAGGACTTTACAAAAACACTCGAGGCATTCCACAAGCAACAACAAAGCCCTGTTCAATCTGCATTGTTATATTGCAATCATGTTGAAAACATCGGAATACAAGTTAACCTTACAGTGCAGAGCACTGGGGCACAGCCAAGGAGACACCATGTAATAAGAGTTAAATTTACAGTCAACTGGGAGATTTTAATTCACCAAATAAAAACACGTACAACTGTATTACATTTCTAGGCCAATTAAACAGTAAGAAAACTTTAAACGACTGATCTGGAAACAATAAAATTACATTTGTACAGCGTCTTTCACGTTGAGGGGACGTCCCAAGGCACTGGACAAACAGTTTTGGACCCGAGCTGGGATCGGGGAGGGTGGGGGGACAGGGTGATCAAAAGCATGGTCGAAGAGGAGGGTCATGAAGGAGGCATGGGAGAGGGCAAGGCGGAGGGACTGCAGGATGAGAGTTCCAGAGAGTGGGGGCAGAGTGGCACCTCAAGGTAGACAAGCTCTCACACAACATGTGTACATCAGCATCACAATTTGGATAAACTGCTCTTCTTTCTCTCACAACCCAAGATACTAATGTATTTGTAGAATTTGAACCAGGCATCAAATATATAAAAACACTACAACATGAGCTGCCCTTGGATTTGCTTCTTCCTTAGGAAACACCTAATTTTCATCAAGGGTCTTCTCTCTGGGGAATTAAGATTAGAAACCCAGCAGGTAGATAAAGATCACGTACATATGAGTGGTTTCCATGGTGTATTGTTATTCAATTCAAACAGTAGCTGATAAAGACAAAGGTATTGGGCCTAATTCAATTCCAATTCAAAATTTACACATTGCATTTGTAGGCCCATTGTTCTGACTGCCTCTGGCTGTGAAATTTCAAATTCAACTTCAGGGGCTGTAGGAATTTATTACTCAATAAAACCCAGAGCGCACAGGTGGCCGAGAGAGCCCCTGCACATTTCCCTTTGATGGAATGTGTGACCTCAGATTGACCCATAGACAAAATTGCCTACATGAAGGACTGCCACATCAAAAATGAAATTTAAGTGCTACAAAATAAGCAATCTGCAAAATCTCCACTCTACTTCATAATGAAGAAACCTCATTCTGAAAAAGCAAATAGTCTATGCTGCTGAGCTAAGTTTTTAAAAGAACTCCTGATGTTCTACATTGTTCCCAGTGAGACTATAACTCCTATTTTATTAAAGCGGGGAAGCTGAGTTCTGCAGATGCAATAGTAATCCACTTAATTATTTATCTGCAAAATTTTCAAATGGAAATGTAGGTCAAAGCAAGTAGTTTTGGACACAGATTTATAAACTTTCAAATCAAACCATTCATAATTGAATGAGTTTCTGCCAGCAACACTCCCGATTAATTGGTCATTCACCTCATGGCTGTTTGTGAGATTTTGCTGTGCACAATATGGCTGACACGTTTGCCTGCAAAAACACTCATGATACTTGACAGTAATGACTCAAGTGTCTTGAGATACCTGCATTTAATATACTATAAAAATGAAAGTGCTATTGTTTTATCTTCACGGATTGAGAGCGAGTTTATACTAATTAGATAAAGT